GGCAATTACTACTGATGGAAACTGAATATTTAGGCGACAATATTCTGCAGAGGTTGGAACTGTATAGAAAAGCTATTCCAGCTCAGATATTCCATGCCATCGGAAACAGGAGATGAGACTCAAATGACGCTCCCAAATAAAGGAGAAGGAGCTAGTTATTTTTACTTGGCTAGCTATTAATAAACAAAGTGGTATTTATCATTAACAAAAGCTTCATTTAAAAAGCTTTTTGCTCCTGCTAGCTGAAGTAATTATTTGTAAACCATTAAAAGCATTTTTAGGCCAATTTTGAACAATTAAGAATACCTTTATTTCCTTAAAGCCCTAAAATTTAATCCTGACATCAGTGTTGGCTTGGGACAAAGTTATGTTACTATTTGGCTGATACTTTTGCGATGTAACTGTTTGTAGAATCAACATAACTAAGTTCCAAAGGTGCTTTTACAAAAGGCAACAGGACTTTTGTTTTTCTTTGAAGACGTTTCACTTCTCATCCAAGAAACTTCTTCTGTTCTTCAGTCAGAACTGAAGAAGCTTCTTGGAAGAGAAGTGAAATGTCTTCAAGGAAAAACAAAGCAGTTGCCTTTTGAAAAAGCACCTTTGGGACAACCATGACCTGGATGACCGAGAATCTCCATAGACATCACTAAATGTACATTTGGCCAGAATGCAACTTATTTGTTGCAACCAAAAAAAAAAAAAAAAAAAACCACCAACTTTGGTTAAACTATTCTAGGCAGAATACAAGCATTTCAGAATCCGACTTGCCTTCCCAAGTAGACTATCGAGTTCTGCAGAGCTGACAGTTAGAGAAACATGGTCATCTGTTTGAATTATGTTAGTAGCATCGAAGTCCGCATCTGGTGTCTGGATCATTTTTGAGAGGCCGTCCACAGCAGCTTTCAATTCATACAAACGTTTCAAGATCTCTTCTTGGCGGAATTCAAGCGTCTGGAGTGTCGGGTCAACTTCATCCTGAATGAAAATTAGGTTAGCCTTCAGTTCGTCGTTTTGTATTGGGTCAGAACAAAACCAGGTATTCTGGCTATCCCTTTTTATATGCAATTTATTTATATTTTTGTTCGAATATACATATTTATATTAGTTACATGTTTCTAGATCACCCATCTCCCTCAAGGACCCAGTTTGTGGGGGCAATAAACTGACTTTGTATAAATATACAAAAGTATGAAGGCTATTGCTTAACGCAGTGTTTCTCAAACTTGGCTATTTTAAGATGCATGGACTTCAACTCCCAGAATTCCCCAGCCAGTATGCCTGGTTGAGAAATTCTGGGAGTTGAAATCCATACATCTTCAAAGGGTCAAGTTTGGGAAACACTGGCTTAACGCATTGTAAGCTGCCCTGAGTCTCCAGAGAAGGGCGGCATATAAATCAATTTTTTTTTTAAAAAAAAGGAGGGGCTGTAGGCATTGATAGTCAATGGATTTCAATAAAGGAAAATATTTGTAGCTCAGGGTTGACATGAGGGGTCCTTGGTGCTCCCTGAGCTTGGGTTTTTTTTTTTTTTTTTTTTTTGCACAAGTTTCATTACCCAAACTAGGTAACTTCATCAGTGCTAGAAAGATTGGAGTTTGCAGGGAGGACGAGGATGAAGGGAAGAAGAGGAAGGGGGAAGGGGAGGACTGTGGGCTCTTTGGTGCTCCCTGAGCTTGCTTGTTTTCTTGCAGATGTTTCATTACTAGTAATTTCATTTCATTACCTAGTTTGGGTAATGAAACAACTGCAAGAAAATCACATTTCTTCATTCTGCAAACCTGACTCCCTTCTAGCACTGATGATGGTACCTAGTTTGGGTAATGAAACGTCTACAAGAAAAGAAGCAAACAAAAGAGAGCACCGAGGACCCCCTTCAATGGGTTTATATTAAGAGTTTATCCCAAATTTTAATTCTCTCCGTACCATTTGATTTTTATTGTAAGCTACATCGAGTCACTTTGCATTAACACTGTAAATACGTTTTAATATACATTTGGTATGCTCACGAATACACACAAGCAATTATTGCAAATATGTTCCCTAAAGGAAAAGGAAGAGAAAGTGAAAGTGACAGGAAGGCGGCCTGATCTGGATCCAGGCGCTGAAAGGGGGGGGGAGGAGGGGAGTCCCTTCTCCTACCCGACCCTGTGTGGGGCCCCAATGGGTCTCGGAGGAAGGCCGCCTCTCCAAAGCTTTCGAACTACAACTCCGACCATCCTGGGCTGGGGCTGATGGGATCTGGGGCCAGGCACCTTTGGGAGCAACCGGAACGATTTAAAGCAGACTCGAAAGAAGTAGCCGGACCGGAGAGGATGGGGATTGTAGTCTGAAAGAGGAGTGGCTTGGGGCAGGGCCAAAAGCATGGGGTTGGGGAGAATGGGGATTGTAGTCAAAATAGGGAGTGGATTCAGGCAGGGCTGAAAACGGGGAGGATGGGGATTGTAATCTGACAAAGGAGTGGTTTGGAGTGGGATGAAAAACGGGTGCTGGGGAGGATGGGGACTGTAATCCAAGGGGGAATGGTTTGGACTGGGGCCGAAAACGGGGCGGGGGGGGACTGGGGGTTGGGGAGGATGGGGATTGTAGTTTGAAAGAGGAATGGCTTGGGGAAGGGAGAAAACCGGGGGTGGGGAGCATGGGGATTGTAGTTGGAATAGGGAGTGGATGGGGAGGATGGGGATTATAAACTAAGGGGGAGTGGCTTGGGCGGGTCAGAAAATGGGGGGCTGGGGAGGATGGGGATTGTAGTTCGAATAGGGAGTGGATGGGGAGGATGGGGATTGTAATCCAAGGGGGAGTGGCTTGGGGCGGGTCAGAAAACGAGGGGGGCTGGGGAGGATGGGGATTGTAGTTGGAATAGGGAGTGGATGGGGAGGATGGGGATTGTATTCCAAGGGGGAGTGGCTTGGGGCGGGTCAGAAAACGAGGGAGGGGCTGGGGAGGATGGGGATTGTAGTCCGAAGGCGGAAACCTTTCCAGGGCGGTCTTGGGGCCAGGGAGCCGCGGCCTGCCTGCCTGTCATCCCCATTCCCCCCCCCACCAGCCCAAGTGAGGCGCCGCAGGGCCGAGCGGCTCCCTACCTGCTGAGGCGGCGGCGGTGAGGAGACAAGGCCGGAGCCCCCGTCGGCCTCGGCCGGGTGGTGGACGGAGCGCACGCGGTACATGCAGGCGGGGAAGTGCTCGGCCAGAACCGCCGGGCCGGAGCCGTCCTGAAAGGGCCTCACCTTGTACATCGGCATCCCGCCCGCCTCGACGCCGATTCTCCTCACGCCACGGCAGACTGCGGCCCCCTCCCCCCGCCGCGAGCGCGCCCGCCTCCCACTGGAGGAGCGCCGCCTGACGCCCCGCCCATCGCGCCTCCCATTGGCCGACCTCCCACGGCCGCCAAGGCTATTGGCCGAAAGAGGCGGGGCTTCCCCGTCGGCCGCGTGCGGTCTTTTTGCTTCCATCTGATGCAAGCTCCGAAGGGAGGGGAAGGGGTGTAGAAGGCGGGTGAAGCGGCCCTTGACCTCACACTTCGGGTTAGAAAGCGAAGCCATCTCATGAGGGGAAGGGGGGGGGGCTTCTATCCAGATACGTTTCTTGGGGTCAGGAGAAGAAGGCTCAGCGGAGGCCTCTGTCTGCAGCCCCTGCTAGGCTTAACCTCGCCTCCTCTCCAAGCAGGTGGAGGACTCTGAGCTACTGGGGGGAATATTGTATAACACAGCATGTTATACAATATTCTATGAAATGGGTGAATTCAGCAAACCAGGTCAGCGTTTCGTGTGAACCCAGCTCCAGAGGATAAACAAAGAACCGAGGAAAAGTTGCTCGAGAAATACTGCTTTGTATATTTCAGGATCTGGGGATTAAGAGTCTGACATCTGCACCTCCATAACTGTCTGGTTTGGCTCTGCAACCCAACAAGACAGACACAGACTACTGAGGATAATTAGAACTGCAGAAAAAACAATGGCTACCTACCTGCCTTCCATTGAGGACCTGTATACTGCACGAGTCAAAAAGAGGGCTGGGAAAATATCTACAGACCCGTCGCATCCTGGACGTAAACTGTTTCAACTCCTACCCTCAAAAGGACGCTATGGAGCACTGCACACCAGAACAACTAGACACAAGGACAGTTTTTTTCCCAAACGCCATCACTCTGCTAAACAAATCATTCCCTCAACACTATAAAACTATTCACTAAGTCTGCACTACAATTATTCTTCTCTTCCTTACTAGTATCTATCTCTTTCCACTTATGACTATTACCATGTTGCTTGTATCTTTCAATTATATTGTTTTTATTTGTTCCCTAGTATGATTTGATAGCTTATTAGTAACCTTGACTATCACTAAGTGTTGTATCTTTTTATTCCTGATGAATGTATTTTATTCTCCTTATGTACACTGAGAGCATATGCACCAAAGACAAATTCCTTGTGTGTCCAATCACACTGGGCCAATAAAGAATTCTATTCTATTCTATTCTATTCTATTCTATTCTATTCTATTCTATTCTATTCTACCCTACCCTACCCTACGCTACCTTACTCCCTACTCCCTACTCCCTATTCTATTCTATTCTACCCTACCCTACCCTACCCTACCCTACGCTACCTTACTCCCTACTCCCTACTCCTTATTCTATTCTATTCTATTCTATTCTATTCTATTCTATTCTATTCTATTCTATTCTATTCTATTCTATTCTACCCTACGCTACGCTACGCTACCCTATGCTACCTTACTCCCTACTCCCTATTCTATTCTACTCTACTCTACTCTACTCTACTCTACTCTACTCTACTCTACTCTACTCTACTCTATTCTAGTATTGGGTTCCATGAGGTACCCGAACTGGTGGCTGTTCACACCGCCTCCCTTCCCCCATATACTAAGCTTCGGTAAGATTTCACTCCACCTTCCTTTTTACTCCCCGATTGGTGCGTAGATGGACCAATGAGAAAGCTTCGCCGCGGTGATTGGAGGAAAAGAATTCTACCCAGAAGCCATCGCGAGCCTGGGAAACTGGGGGGCGTTCGCGGAACCAAGCGAGCCTGTCTCGCCCGGGGAGAAGCGGGGCGCCTCGGCTGCGGGCTCTAAGGGAGTCGCGGGGCTCGGCTGGGGCTCCGGCCCGATCCTGGATTCCCTTCCGTGAGAATCGATTGACGGGAAAAATGGGCGGGAAAGAACCGGACCGCCCCTTTGGGCTCATTTGCATATCATTTGCATACTTCGTTTGAAAAGCGAGCAGGCAGCGAAGGGTTAAATTGCATCAGCGAACCAGAATGGAATTGACTCCAGGGTACGTGCATTTATTGCATTGCTTTATTTTATTATTTTATTATTTGAGGTTATTTTAATTGGAGTGGAGTTTCAGTGCAAGTGCATGCATTGCGTTGTATTGCTTTATTTTATTATTATTTATATTGGCATGGGATTTCAGTATAAATGTATTTATTGCATTGCATTATTTTATTTTATGATTATTTGATGTTATTTTAATTGGAATGGAATTTCAGTGCAAGTATATTTATCGCATTGCTTTATTTTATTTTATATTTTATTATTTGATGTTATTTTAATTGGAACGGAATTTCAATGGAGGTGTATTGCATTGCTTTATTTTATTTTATTTTATTATTATTTGATGTTATTTGCAGTGCAAGTGTATTTATCAAATTCTTATATTTTATGATATTTGATGTTATTTTAATTGGAATGGAATTGCAGTGCAAGTGTATTTATCAAATTCTTATATTTTTAATTGTTTGATGTTATCTTAATTGGAATGGAATTGCAGTGCAAGTGTATTTATCGCATTGCTTTATTTTATTTTATTTTATTATTATTTGATGTTATTTTAATTGGAATGGAATTGCAGTGCGAGTGTATTTATTGCATTGTATTGCTTTATTTTATTGTTATTTTAATTGGAACGGAATTTCAGTGTAAATGTATTTATTGCATTGCTTTATTTTATTTTATAATATTTTTTGATGTTATTTTAATTGGAATGGAATTTCAGTGTAAACGTATTTATTGCATTGTATTGCTTATTTTATTGTTATTTTAATTGGAACGGAATTTCAGTGTAAATGTATTTATTGCATTGCTTTATTTTATTTTATTTTATTATTATTTGATGTTATTTAATTGGAATGGAATTTCAGTGCAAGTGTATTTATTGCATTGCTTTATTTTATTTTATTATTTGATGTTATTTTAATTGGAACAGAATTTCAGTGTAAATGTATTTATCACATTGCTTTATTTTATTTTATTATTTGATGTTATTTTAATTGGAACGGAATGTCAGTGGAAGTGTATTATTGCATTGCTTTATTTTATTTTATTTTATTATTATTTGATGTTATTTTATTTGGAACGGAATTTCAGTGCAAGTGTATTTATTGCATTGTATTGCTTTGTTTTATTATTATTTATATTGGAATGGAATTTCAGTGTAAATGTATTTATCGCATTGCTTTATTTTATTTTATAATTTGATGTTATTTTAATTGGAACGGAATTTCAGTGGAAGTGTACTTATTGCATTGCATTACTTCATTTTATTATTTTATTTATAGCCCACCTTTATTAGTTTTATAAATTGCTCAAGGTTGCGAAGATACCTTCCTCCTCCTGTTTTCCCCACCATGACAACCGTCGTGTGAGATGGGTTGGGCTGAGGTAGAGCGACTGGCCCAAAGTCACCCAACTGGCAGGATTAGAACTCACCACCTCCTGGTTTCTGGCCTGACATTTTAACTGCTAGACCAAACCGATTCAAACTGTAAAGCTTTGACTTCTTGTAAATAGGGAACCATTCTTTTAAAATTATTTTTATTATTAAATTTATATGCTGCCTGACTCCTGGGTGGTTTACACATGGTTCAAAAAAAACACACACATACACAAAGAACAAGCACTTTGGGCAAATGTCTGTGATGTTTTTTTCCTGCAGCATTGCTCAGAGGTAAGTGAATTCTGCAATATGGTTTTAAGAGAGAATATTTTGCTCTCCCACCAAAGTGATTAGGTTGCCTTTCAGAGCGGTTTAAAACCTGTTTCAGAATGAAGGTATAACTTTACAGTCCGAAAGCAGAAGTGAAACGAAACCATAGACTACAGTCCGGTGAACCGCAATATTTTCTGAGTGTAAAAAAAATAATTTTAAAAAAAGCTTTGTTGTTTTTCGTTTTTTTTTAAAGAGTGGAAAAAACGATCAAGCCAATCGATCGCAGATCAGTTCATCGGATCTGCTCAGGCCAGGTGGTGCTGAATCTATGTACCGCTGTAAAAGAGCTGGTGGAAAACAGCCTCGATGCTGGCGCTACTAACGTTGGTAAGTTGCGGGTTGTTTTAAAGTTGTTGGAACTCAAGATTGTTTTAGTCATGCTGTTATCTAGTGCAGTGATGGCTAACCTTTTTGTCTTCGTGTGCCGAAAGTGCGCCCACGTGCATGCACCCATAATACAATGCATGCGTGACACACACACACCTGTGTGCCCTGGCACCCTGCGAATTTGCGTGTGCCCCCTGTGCCCCCCCCCGTTCTGTCCCCTCCCACGAGTGGCCTTGCAGAGGCTCAAATAGCCCGGCAGTAACAAACGCAGGCTAGAGAGACTGAAGCTGGCCCTTTAATAAATAGTTCTCTTCCAAAGCATATATCAGTCCAATAATTACTGGGCAATGTTCCAAAGGTCTTGGCAGACCGCCAGCAGGCTAATGCAGGAATGCAGACTCTTATCAAAAAAACCCTCCAAACTAACAGTTGTAAATCCACTGCATTCAAAACGCCAACAAATTGTTCACCACGTCTTTCCAGCCCGGTCACACCCCTTTTATACTTTGTAGGGTGTGGCCCTCTGTCTCCTGACCTCACCTCTTGGGACGTGACAATAGCTGTTCTCTACGACGTCTCCTACGTCTCTCTCTTGCATCCAATAAGGGCTCCCCCTTGTCGTTACCGGCCTTTGTTTCCTCCTCAATTTGGCTGGGGTCCAGAGGCACGTCAGCAACTGTCAGTTCTTGCTGACTCACCAGTGAAGACGGCCCCTCCGGCACATAGCTCGTGCCAGCTTCCTCCTCCTCCCTATCATCCTCCGACTCAGCATGTGAAGATAAATCAGCCTCCGGGCCCGGGGTCACAACACTCCTGCATATGTGCCTGCGACCCACCTGCGCCCCTTTTTGGGCCTAGTAGGCCTCCCTGCAGCCTCCTGGGACCAAAACCAGTACGCAGGGGCGTGCCATCCCCCCCCCCCCCCCCCCCCCGTGCACCCGTGCACGACCCCCTCGCTCCCTGCATATGCTTGTGCAACCCCTGCCCCACATCTCCCGCATGCCCCCTCCCCACCCATGTACAGCAGAGACCCGAAAATCAGCTGGCCGGCAGGAGGTGCGTGCTTTGTGTGCCACCTGTGGCACTCATGCCATAGGTTTGTCATCACGGATCTAGTGGTATTTGGAGGGAAGAAGGCAGGAAATCGTGGAAATTTAATCTTCGTTATTTGTTTTTTCATTTATAGAAGTGAAGCTTAAAGATTATGGAGCGGATCTTATTGAAGTCTCTGATAATGGTTGTGGCGTAGAAGAGGATAACTTTGCAGGCTTGAGTACGCTGTATTTCTATGTCTACCTCTATTCATTTTTAATATTACTTACAGTTAATACATTAGTTCTTCCATAAAGAACTACTTTTATCATCCCATCTTCTAAAAAAAAAAAGAAGGCAGCTGTTTTTGCATGGCAAGATATTTGAGCCTCTTGGACTGCTGCCTTTTATTTTTATAATGCAACATTTGGAAACCTGGATAACCCAAACCACAAAGCTTACGCATCCCGACCCTAAAATTAAATACAAAACGTTTCAAAATGCGCTAGGATTAGCATCATTTTACAACACTTCCCCAGGGTTTTACAGTGCTGTGAGATTGTGAGAACAGGGGGCAAACACGCAGTTCCCTTTCATCTTTTGCAGCTTTTCCACACCACATGGTCAGATGGCCCTGGTGGGATCCAAAATCATCAGTATAATAAGGATCATTTAGTGACTTTTCCCTCCTCCGAAACATGTAGGAAAATTAAAAAGAGTCATAATTGGTTCCTTGCTAGGGGCCGCAGCCTGTTGTGGCCCGTCAGCGGTCTGTACAGCTAGTAGCTGATTCCGACAGCAAGGAGGCTGGTGTGGTGCTGCACCAGCAGCCTATGCAACTGGCACTTGAGTCAAACAATGAGGAGGCTGGAGAAGATGTGGTGCCAGAGGCGGGGATTCAGCCAGGGCCTTCAGAAGCTCCAGAAGCTCCCATAAGTGAAGAGGACAAAGAGGAGGAGCCTCTTCTCGATGCACGGGCACGCAGAGCTGCCAAAAGGCAGGAGTGGCTCCTCAGGAGGAGGTCTGCTTGAGAGTAAGGCTTGGGGCTAATTGGCCACTCCCTTAGCCTATTTAAGGAGGAACACCGACGGAAGCAATTTGCAGGGAACAACTCTGTTCACATACCTTCCTGTCTTGTCTTGCTTATCTTATCAGCTTCCTGCAAATTGCTTCTGGGCATTCTGCCAACAATAGTAAGCTTTCAGTTATTAGTCTTTGAATTCTTGGCGGCTGTTAATGCAATTAATTCACAGCCGTTGTTGTAAAAGACTGGTTTATTTAGTAAACTAAGGTTTGAACGGACTTCGTGTGTGCTGCGTTCTTTGGGGTCCGTAGCTGGGACAGAACACAGTCTGGTTAAAAATATATATAGTTTTCAGTGCTTTCTGAATTGCCAGGAAAAAATTGGGTGGCAATGAACCCTTGGCAACAACCTAACCCGTCGGTTCTCTAGGCTGTGGGGGGCAGCCTAGAGAAACCCTGTATTGTGGCCTGTCAGCAGCTGGCCCCTCCAGCAGCAGATGAGGAGGAGGAGCGGGAGTCAGGGTCAGCATCAAGGCAACCCGAGAGCTCCGAGGGGGAAGAGGGAATGGAGCTGGCAGAGAGAGAGAGAGACAAGAGGAGGAGCCTGGGCTGTCTGTCAGTCCTCAGATGGAGAGTCAACAGCCCCCAGGTCTGGAGGTGGCTGATGAGGAAGAGGAGGAACAGCTGGGTCCAGTGCCTGATGCACAGAAGGCAGAGGAGAGGAGAGCAGTGGAAATCTATGGGCCGGTCCTTGGGACGGAAGAGCCACCACTGCTAGCAAAGCCCCACCCTAACTCTGGGGATAAAAGGCAGGGGGCGAAGAATAGAATAGATGTGGCAGACAACTATTCATCTCCCTGCCAGACAGACTTGTTAGCCTGCATTGAGAGAGAAACTTTTTGCTCTTCCACCCCAAGGACCGGCCCATAGATTTCCACTGCTCTCCTCTCCTCTGCCTTCTGCGCATCTGCGCGTCAGGCACTGGACCCAGGGTCTCCTAATAAAGGAATCATTGATTTAAATCCAGAGGGTTTGTCGTGTTTGGGGAGCTGAGTCAGAACCCCCTGTTTCCATCCCTCCTCTCACCTCTCTCAAATATCTCTTCCAGCACTGAAGCATTATACTTCCAAGATCCAAGACTTTTCTGACCTCATCAACGTGGAAACGTTTGGCTTTCGAGGCGAAGCTCTGAGCTCTTTGTGCGCGTTAAGGTAAGAAGCTTGTCCACGTGGGGAAGTGTTCTAGCTAAAGCAACTGGTGAATCTTATGCTGGCTTCATTTATTCCCATTTCTGTACATGCACGCCAAACCCTCTCTCCCCACAGAAGCGCACCCTGGTAGGGAAAAAAAATTGAATTTTACCCCTGCAGTAATGATTATAAAGGTAGTCCTTCTTCTGACCTAAGCTTCCCAAAAGCACGAAGCAGACTCCTTGTCCCGACAAAACTAATGTGAATTCTTCTCATTCACATCCAGCGAAGTCCCGGCAAACAGTCTTTCAAGGTTAAATTTACAACCACAGACCTTATCAGGCTTGGAGAGCTGCCAAGCCGATATCTTCCAATGGCTGTAAAAGAAAATACTTGGCAAGGAGTTTCTGAGAGTCACGAACAGATCTTCACCCCAATGAAATGAACTAATTGTCTCCTGCAAACTCCCCTCCCCTTTCGCTCCTCTTTATTCCCTATGGGAGGGGCCATTCACCGTCCACCTGAGGCTTTACTCCTGAGTCGACCCTTGTTCCTTAGCTGTTCCCTTCTCCTGGCAGCTCTGCGCATGCGCACATCAAGAACAGGCTCCAGATGTTCTTCAGCCCCACTGATGTCCGACTCCGAAGGCAGCTGATAACTGTCAGACAGCCCTGGTCCCATCTCTGCCTCTGACACAGAGCCCTCATCAGAGCTTTCCCCAGACTCCAGGACTGGCCCATGTTCCTCCCCAACCTCCTCACTGTCCCAGTCTGCCGCCAGCTTCGCTGGCCACTGGTGGGCCACAACAGTCCTCAGCTTATAACCATTCATTCAGCAGCCATTTGAAGTTATGACTGTGCTGAACCAATGGTGGTTACACCCGGTCCTCAGAGTTCCGGCGGTCCCAGCACTCCTGTGGCGATGCGAGTCTTTCCCTGCCTCTGCGTTTCCTTATTAACCATGAAAACAATTGTGTTAGGAAATGATTTTACCTCACTTGTTGGGTTAGCAATATATAAACCATCAATATAGCTTTAAGACTGCTGTATTGCATCATACTGTGTCCTGATTGGTTAGCTCTGTAGCCAATCTCTTTAAGAGGGAGCTAGAAACACGGTTTGTTTCTCTTTGATGCTGTTTGCTGTGTGCTATTTACTGCTATTTGCAACTGTTTATGTGTATGACTACGACGACTGGTAAGAAGACTTTGTTATTGGATTATCCCTGGACTATTGTTTTACTATCTACTACTTTATCTGTGTATGACCTGGACTGTTTATTGGACTGTGCCTTACTATTTCCTGAAAGTAAACACAACTCAAGTGTATCTCTGTGTTGGCTGTGTTATTTCCTCACTACTCTCAATCACTTTTCATTCGCACACCCTTGCTACTCAAGGGTTGCTCTGCGAATTCCTTAACAAATTGCGTTCCTTCGTACACAGCAACGTTTCCATTGTCACTTGTCACAAGTCCGCCAATATCGGGACCCGCCTGGCGTTTGATCACAGCGGGAACATCACCAGGAGAGTCCCGTTCTCCCGGCCACAGGGGACCACCGTCAGCGTCCAGCAGCTGTTTCTTACTTTGCCGGTTCGACACAAAGAATTTCAGCGTAATATAAAGAAGGTTTGAACCAGTCACCTTGTTTTTAACACTTAGCAGGAAGAAAGGAGCCCCTTCCTGAGGAAATGAAACCAGGGCAAGTCCCACAGGCTAAAAATAAAGCATTGCCCCGCCTTTGCTGAGGTGTAAATTAAGTAAACAGAATTTTCAGTTTAAATCGGACTTTCAGCCTAAACGCATAACGTCGATTTCTTCTTGTAATCCTATATTCAGAAGGGTGATCTGTCCCCGTACCCACACACACACACACAGCCAGTCGAGGGTTAAGGAAACACTTTGGAACGCACCCAGTTCTTATCTCCCACTTGGCAGCGATAGACACACCGTCTGCCAAGTGACTTTATTTTCAAAGTAAAACAGAAAGACAAATACTCAAGAGTCCAAATGTCCGACACTTTAAATCTTTCTCTCAGCAGCTCCAGACGAGGCTTTAGTGACTATCCAAGGTTTGCTTTGTTCGTCACAAAAATCCTTGACCACCACCCTCTATTATATAGTCTCTGGGGTGTGGTCCAGTGACTCAGTTCTAATCCCTAGCACGCCTCCTGAGCTGCTGCAATCGTTTATCACGCCTTCGGAGGCGTGCGTCCAGGAATGATGTTTCTTTATCACTCTGATCCGAATCAGCTGTCTCCTCTCCCTCGGCCGGCACTTGAGACAATGCCAGAGGGGAGGGGCCTGGAGTGGGAGGCCTGGCTGACTCCTCTTCCTCATGCTCGGAGCTTTCTTCCTCCGATGGGACAGGCTCAGAGGGCGGGGCCACAACACTGGGCTTAAAACCCCTCAAAAGTCCACGGTGCTTTGCTATCTTATTGTACTGTTTGAATGCTTAGAACCATAGTCGGTTTGACCTGCCTAGCAATAGCTAAGCTGGCTAAAATATTTGTAATTAGTTCTGTAAGCCGCCATGAGTCGCCATGTGTGAATAGGCAGCAATATAAATTCAATGAATGAATGAATGAATGAATGAATGAATGAATGAATGAATGAATATTTAATCTTAAATGAGAACATTATTTATATTTGATGTCCAAACTGGCGTGCATGTTTGTTTTTTGTCACACGGTTTCACTCGGGAAAAAAAAGAGCCTTGCTGAAAAATAACTGTATAAACATTGTAATAAAGAATGGCTTAGTTTTTAGATGCCTGTAATACCATGTTTCCCCGAAAATAAGACCCTGTCTTATATTTTTTTTGAACCCTGAAATAAGCGCTTGGCCTTATTGCCATGCGCTCAAAAGCCCGATTGGGCTTATTTATTTATCTATCTATCTATCTATCTATCTATCTATCTATCTATCTATCTATCTTATTTTTCATATTTCTGTGCTGCCCACTCTCTGAGGACTCTGGGCGGCTTACACCAAAGACAGTATACTAAATAGCATATTGCCCCCAACAATCTGGGTCCTCATTTTACCCACCTCGGAAGGATGGAAGGCTGAGTCAACCTTGAGCCGGTGAGATTTGATCTGCTGAACTAGCAGTCAGCTGAAGTAGCTGCAGTACTGCACTCTAACCTCTGCACCACCTCGGCTCCTAAATTATTATTTAGGGGATGTCTAAATTATTATCAGGGGATGTCTTATTTTGGGGAAAATAGGGTAGCAGCAAGAAACTTGAGCATATTTCGTGAACTCCCCAACCTAGATTTAAGTTTAAATACAGCATTTAAAATTCCCTGCTCATTTTTGTCTTAATTTTGCTAAATTTACCATCGTCCATTCTTGGTCCACATCTCCCAAGGTCACGGAGATATTGACTAGGAAATCCTCCGTTAAAAAGATGGCAGGAATGCTATGATCACAAGTGGCATTTTGGGAAGAAAATAAGAAAATCTACTCTTTAAGGGATGCGGTGGCTCAGTGGCTAAGACGCTGAGCTTGTCGATCGAAAGGTCGGCAGTTCAGCGGTTTGAATCCCTAGTGCCGCGTAACAGGGTGAGCTCCCATGACTTGTCCCAGCTTCTGCCAACCTAGCAGTTCGAAAGCACGTAAAAAATGCAGGTAGAAAAATAGGGACCACCTTTGGTGGGAAGGTAACAGCGTTCCGTGCACCTTTGGCGTTGAGTCATGACGGCCACATGATCACGGAGACGTCTTTTTTTTTTTTTTTTTTAATTTGATTTATATGCCGCCCTTCTCCGGAGACTCAGGGCGGCTTACAATGTGCTAAGCAATAGCCTTCATACTTTTGTATATTTATACAAAGTCAGCTTATTGCCCCCACAAACTGGGTCCTCATTTAACCTACCTTAGAAAGGATGGAAGGCTGAGTCAACCTTGAGCCTGGTAAGATTCGAACCTGCAGAAATTGCAGGCAGCTGTGTTAATAACAGGGTGCATTAAACCACTGTACTACCAAGTATTTCGGACAGCGCTGGCTCTTTGGCTTTGAAACGGAGATGAGCACCGCCCCCTAGAGTTGGGAACGACTAGCACATATGTGCGAGGGGAACCTTTACATTTTTATTTATTTATTTATGTATTATTTATTATCAGATTTATATACCGCCCTTCTCCCGGAGGACTCAGGACGGTGCACAACATTTACTATTCTTTGTAATAATGGTTTCACTATCGAATATATATGCAAGTCTCGGATCATCATAAAGATCTGATCGAATCACTTTTTTTTCTCTCTCTCTAACACACACCTAAAGGAGTGCAACTTTTTTTCCCCTCTCTTTTCCACGCCCAAAAGGAGTTTACCAAAATGGTCCAGATCCTACAAGCGTACTGCATCATTTGCACCGGGGTTCGAATTAACTGCACCAACCAAGTAGGTCAAGGGAAGAAGCAGGCCGTGGTGAGCACCAGCGGAAGTTCTACTTTAAAAGAAAACATCGGCGCCATATTTGGACACAAACAGGTAAAGAACAGGGCTGATGATATTAGCTCATTTGGCGGATGAAACATCGGCAAGAAAACAACCAAACTCAGAGAGCACCAAGGACCCCCTCATAAATGTGTAGTTACTTTGACTCTGGCGTGGTGCATGATGGTTTGCAAATTCGAGCATCTGGGAATTCAATTTCACTATAGGTTGTTATAGGGGGACGCGGTGGCTCAGTGGCTAAGACGTTGAGTTTGTTGATCAGAAAGTTCGGCAGTTCAGCGGTTCGAATCCCTAGCGCCGCGTAACTTGACTTGTCCCAGCTTCTGGTCGGCAGTTCAGCGGTTCGAATCCCTAGCGCCGCGTAACGGGGTGAGCTCCTGTTACTTGTCCTAGCTTCTGCCAACCTAGCAGTTCGAAAGCACGTCAAAAATGCAAGTAGAAAAATAGGGACCACCTTTGGTGGGAAGGTAACAGCGTTCATTCTGTGTGCCTTTGGCGTTGAGTCATGCTGGCCACATGACCACGGAGACGTCTTCGGACAGCGCTGGCTCTTCAGCTTTGAAACGGAGATGAGCACTGCCTCCTAGAGTCAGGAACGACTAGCACCTATGTGCGAGGGGAACCTTTAGCTTTACCTAGGTTGTTATTTTGTTCCTAGGTACAAACCCTGATTCCCTTTGTGCAGCTGCCACCGAGCGAAGAAGTCTGCGAAGAATACGGCTTGAACGTTTCTGCTCTGCCCACTAAGCTTTATACGTAAGTTAAAAATTGGAATTGTCTTCTTTCTTCCTTCCTTCCTTCCTTCCTTCCTTCCTTCCTTCCTTCCTTCCTTCCTTCCTTCCTAGTGATTAGAATGCAGTAGTGCAGGCTAATAATGCTTAGAGTTTGTTTCTAACTGGCTGAAGGTTGATTCAGCTTTCCATCCTTCCAAGATAAAATGAGGACCCAGATTGTTGGGGGCAAGAGGCTGACTCTGTAAACCATTCAGAGAGGGCTGTAAAAGCACTATGAAGCGGTATATACTGTATTTTTCGGAGTATAAGACACTCCGGACTATAAGACGCACCTACCTTTTTTGGTAAGGAAAAGAAGAAAAAGAAATCTGCCTCTGCCTCCCAGCAATTTTGCCTCCTTGCAGCAAACAGCCTGCTTTACTTTCAGTTTCATTTTCAGCATAGCTTGATTACCACAAGGAAAAAAAAAATCTGCTCCCAGCAATTTATCTCCTTGCAGCAAGCAGCAGAGGCCCGCGCAGCAATAGGCAATGGTAATCTCTGCAGCCTGAAACAGATGAGAGTCGGGAGGCCGATCCAACCGATAATCAACTTGTGCTAATCAAGCTGTGCTGAAGCTGAAAGGGGCTGTTTCTGCTTGCTGCAAGGAGGTAAATTGCTGGGAGGCAGAGGCCAAAGGTTGGGGGCCAGTGGGTGGGCGGGGCTACATTCGGTGTATAAGACGCACCCAAATTTTCACCCCCTTTTAGGGGAGAAAAAGGTGCTTTTTATACTCCGAAAAATACGGTAAGTCTAATTGCTATTGTTATGGGATTCTCTTAACATCGCGTTCCTTTGAAACAGCATCGCAGGATTTGTTTCGCAGTGCAATCATGGCGATGGGAGGAGCACAACGGATCGACAGTTCTTTTTTATTAACCAGCGGCCGTGCGACCCAGGAAAGGTATTTTTTTTTTGAGTAAATTCTCAGTTTTTTTAAAAAAAAATCTCTCTGGGATTCAAAGACCCTCCCATGGAGTGGTGCGGTGGCCTAGAGGTGGAGCTCTCGCCTCCCAATCAGGAGGCTGTGAGTTCGATCCTAGGTAGAGGCAGATATTTCTCTCTCTGGGCACAATGAGAATTATATCTGCCGAACAAAACTCCTCATTGGCAACAGGAAGGGCATCCGGCCATTAAAACACTCTGGTAGTTCCATTCAGTTGCCCAGACTCCACCCTGCAAATGATTATGGCGTCGTTAAATGAAGATGATTCAAGACCCTCTCTTGATTCTCACCTTGTGACTGTACAGATAAGTCCTCAATTTTCAATCGCAACTGAGCCCAACATTTCTGTTAGGTCGTTCAGTGAATTTTGCCCCATTTTGCAACCTCTCTTGCTACAGTTGTTAAGTGAATCACTGATGCTAGTCAGGGGGGGCTTTATATCTTTTTAAATCTCAACCAAATTCAACTGACGTCTGTTATTTATTTATTTTTGAACAGGTTTCCAAAGTTGTAAATGAAATCTATCATATGTATAACAGGCACCAATATCCATTTATTGTTCTTAATATCCGTGCAGAATCTGGTGAGTTTTATAAATTATCTTCATCGTTAGCTCTTGTTTTTGTAAATTCGGATAATTTGGCCCACTTAATTATCATCATAACATTCTGATAAGGACTACCTAATGATCTTAATGAGCCTGAATCGGTGGTGGGGTTCAGCAGGTTCTGACCAATTCTGGAGAACCGGTAGTGGAAATTTTGAGTAGTTCGGAGAACCGGTAGTAAAAATTCTGAGTGGCCCCACCCCCATCTATTTTCTGCCTCCTGAGTCCCAGCTGGTTGGGAGGAAATGGGGATTTTGCAGTATCCTTCCCGTGGTGTGGGAAGGGAATGGAGATTTTACTGTATCCTTCCCCTGGAGTGGGGAGGGAATGGAGATTTTACAGTATCCTTCCACTGGAGTGGGGAGGGAATGGAGATTTTACAGTATCCTTCTGTCACACCCACCAAGCAAGCCACGCCCACCAAGCCACGCCCACAGAACCGGTACTAAAAAAAATTTGAATCTCACCTCTGGCCTAAATGATGGAGCCCGTCCGTAAGTGCGAAGAAAGAGGAAGCTAACCAAAGACCGGTGAATGTTTTTGATTTCAGGATGCGTGGACATCAACGTGACTCCGGATAAAAGGCAAATCTTGCTCCAGGAAGAGAAGCTTTTATTAGCAATCCTAAAAACATCGTTGATGGCGATGTTTGGCACTGACGTTAATAAATTGGCGGTGAATCAAAAGCTGACCGATGTTGAAGGTAGGAAGTCAAGTTGCCGTTTAAGCAAAACCTTTTTTTTTTTTTTTTGCTTAAAAAAAAGGGGGGGAAATCACTTAACAACCATCTCACTTAATAAGAGAAATTGTAGGCTCAATTGAGGTCATAAATCGAGGACTATCTGTACTAAGAAAATCACAACGGTTCTCTTTTTTTTTTTTGGCAGGGAACTTGAAAAGCTTCCTCCAAAACGAGGGAGAGGCGTCTCCCTCAGAGACGTCAACCAGGCCTTTTTCTCCAAATCGGGACGAGACATCGACGATAATTGCCCGTCTGAAGGAATCCGTTTCTCGAGGGAAAACCTTTGCTCTTCGGGAGACCGAGAGAGCCCAACCAAAACACAGGCCAACCACCAGCCAAGGAATATTCCAGATGCTTGCCGGTTTTTCCGCCTCTCCCCGAAAGAAAATTCTTCTCAACGAGGGATCCGAAGACGGAAGCGAGGTGGATTCGAGGAATTCCCCGCTTGCGGGCAGGAAGTTGGAGAAACCGAACGAAGATACGGATTCTGGTTTGGGGAGCGTCTCCGCCGAATCAGATGGGGGTTTGAGCACGCCAGAAACGGCCGTCCATTTTAGAGCCGAAAGTGCTGGGGATTCTTCCAAAGAAAAATCCAGTGTTTCTAGTGGAGAAATCCAGAGCAGCGAATGTGGATCTAGCGGGGTTTTCTTGCCCTCCGAACCAAACCAGAACGAAGAAGGCGGATTCTCTCGACAAGCCGCTTCATCTCCCAAAGCAAAACGTTTTAAGATCAGTCAACCTCTTTCCCCAAAAGCCCATTTCTCGGCGATGACCCCCGAACAGGACTCTGACGCGCAGCCCTTGTATGACGTCCCGGTCAAAATGGAAAAGAGGACGGTGCCTTTAGCCGTCTCTTGGAGCAGCTTAACGGGCCGAATCCAGAGGCAAATTAAGCGCCAGGAGACCGAAGGAGAAATGCTGAAATTCAGAAAATTCAGAGCAAAGATTAGCCCGGGAGAAAACAAAACGGCGGAAGATGAATTAAGAAAGGAAATAAGGTATGGCGGCTCGCCTCTCTTCGCCAGAGAAGAGAGGCGTTCTTGGAAATGCTGTTGACCACTGCTAAGTTTATATCTTTGTTTATTTTTTTCATCTCCCTTTAATGACCCCATAATCCTTTGCGGGGTGGAGTAGTCTGGGCAACTGAATGGAACTACCAGAGTGTTTTACTGGCCAGATGCCGTTCCTGTCGCCAATGCGGAGTTATATTCAGCAGATATATTCTCATTTCTCTCCAGAAAGAGAAATATCTGCCTCTACTTAGGATTGAACTCACAACCTCCTGATTGTGAGGTGAGAGCTCCACCTCTAAGCCACTGCACCACTCTCATTTGTTTATTCTTTTATTTGTATTATATTTAGAAAGATTCTTTTATGCAGGTAGTCCTCGACTTAACGACCACCATGGAGCCCAAAATTTGTGGTGCTAAGCGAGACAGTTGTTAAGGGAGTTTTGCTCCATTTTACGACCTTTCCTGCCACAGTTGTTAAGTGAATCACTGCAGTTGTTCAGTTAGTAACGCGGTTGTTAAGCGAAGACGGCTTTCCCCATTGACTTGGCTTGTCAGAAAGTCGCAAAAGGTGATCATGTGACCTCGGTTCACTGCGACTGTCATAAATATGAACCAGTTGCCGAGCATCCGAATTTTGAACACGTGACCACGGGGATGCTGCAACGGTCGTAAGTCTGAAAAACGGTCACAAGTCACTTTTTTTCTAACTGCCATCGTAACTCTGACGGTCACTAAACAAACTGTTGTAACTGGAGAACTTGTAATCTGTCAGATTTATAGGATGTCCCTATGGGTTATGAAGGGTACGCGGTGGCTCAGTGGCTAAGACGCTGAGCTTGTCGATCGAAAGGTTGGCAGTTCAGCGGTTCGAATCCCTAGTGCCGCGTAACGGGGTGAGCTCCCGTGACTTCTCCCAGCTTCTGCCAACCTAGCAGTTCGAAAGCAGGTAAAAAATGCAAGTAGGAAAATAGGGACCACCTTTGGTGGGAAGGGAACAGCGTTCCGTGCGCCTTTGGCGTTGAGTCATGCCAGCCACATGACCACAGAGACGTCTTCGGACAGCGCTGGCTCTTCGGCTTTGAAACGGAGATGAGCACCGCCCCCTAGAGTCAGGAACGACTAGCACATATGTGCGAGGGGAACCTTTTCCTTTAGCCTTATGGGTTATGACTCTGAGTGACCTTGTAGAGACTCTACAGTCCTTGACTTATGATCACAATTGGGACTTGAACTTCCTTCACTAAGCAGTGCGGGTGTTCAGTGAGTCACACCTAATTTTACACCCTTTTTTTTTTTTTGCCACTGTCGTTAAATGAATCACGGCTGTCATTAAGCAGATCGGTCTTCCCTCAAACTCAAGAAAGGAAGTCCAGCCTTAGATTTGAAGGCTTAACGTAGCTTTTTCTGCGTAGCAAAGAATTGATGGCTTGTGACTTCCGTGAGGATATTAAGAGTTCTGGATTCGAGAATTTGGTGGGGGGGGGAACCCCAGGTTTTTAAAAAAAGAAGGCAGGTCTGACAGTCTACGTCTCTCTGTGTTTCTCCCTCTGCGTGCAGGAAAGAGATGTTTGCTAATATGGAGATCGTTGGCCAGTTCAACCTGGGCTTTATCATCGCCAAGCTGAAATCGGACCTCTTCATCGTCGATCAGCACGCTACCGATGAAAAATACAACTTTGAGATGCTGCAAGAGCACACCGTCCTGCAGGGGCAAAAGCTGATCAAGTGAGTGTCTTCTCAACAGTTTCGGGGCAGGGGGAATGTTCCTGAACTGAGCTATAATTGATTCATCCAAGATGCCAAGCCATGAACAAGCAAATATATGCACAGAATATATGCACAGAAACACACAAAATCTATTTATCTATCTATCTATCGATCAATCAATCGATCGTCTGCCATATTTTTTGGAGTATAAGACGCACTTTTTCCCCCCCTAAAAGGGGGTGAAAATTTAGGTGCGTCTTTCTACACCGAATATAGCCCCGCCCACCCACTGGCCCCCACCCTTTGGCCTCTGCCTCCCAGCAGTTTACCTCCTTGCAGCAAGCAGCAAGAAGAAACAGCTCCTTTCAGCTTCAGCAGAACCTAATTAGCACAAGTTGATTGGATTGGCCTCCCGACTCTCAGCTGTTTTGCTCTCAGCTGTTTTGCGCAGGGCTCTGCTGCTTGCTGCAAGGAGGTAGATTGCTGGGAGCAGATTTTTTTTTTCCCTTGTGCTAATCAAGCTATGCTGAAAACGAAACTGAAAGTAAAGCAGGCTGTTTGCTGCAATGAGGCAAAATTGCTGGGAGGCAGAGGCAGATTTCTTTTTCTTCTTTTCCTCCCCAAAAAAGGTAGGTGCATCTTATAGTCCGGAGCATCTTATACTCCGAAAAATACGGTATCTATCATCTATCATCTATATCAGTGGTCCCCAACCCCCGGTCCGCGGACCGGTGCCGGGCCGTGGAGTACCTGGCACCGGGCCGCGCAGCGGCCGGGGGACATGAACGCTGCAGCGCAAAGGCTCCTGGGCCGTGCGCAATGGGCTGTGCGCAAAAGCTCCTGGGCCGTGCCCCCACCCCTGCGCGCGCTCAGCGGGCCGCGGCGATAAAAAGGTTGGGGACCACTGATCTATATCATTATCTATCTATTATCTATCATCTATCTATTATCTATATCATTACCTATCTGTCTATCTCCCTCCCTACATACATACACACACATATACACACACATACAGTTTATCTTTCTACACAGACATAATCTACCTTTTGTTGCAAAAAGGGACACATGACCTCAGGACACTGAAACCATCATAAATATGACCTAATTGCCAAGCATCCAAATTTTGATCATGTGACCATGGGAATGCTGCAGTGGTCATAAGTGTGAAAAATCAGTCTGTCTCTCTATCCACACACATTCTCTCTTATCTGTCTGCACACATCCTATTCTATCCTATCTATTTATTTATCTGTCCATCCACCCATGCACAGTTTATCTATCTCTACACACAGTCTATCTATCCATATATAACTCTGTATTATGTATCCATACATAAAGCTGTCTACACATCTATTTTTATCTATCTATCTATCTATCTATCTATCTATCTATCTATCTATCTATCTATCTATCATCTATCTATCATCTCATTTATCTATCTATCATCTATCATTTATCTATCTATCATCTATCTATCATCTATCTATCATCTATCTTCTATCTATGTATCTATCATCTATCTATCTATCTATCTATCTATCTATCTATCTATCTATCTATCTATCTATCATCTCTACATACATACATATATACCCTGTTTCCCCGAAAATAAGACATCCCCTGATAATAAGCCCAACCGGGCTTCTAAGTGCATGCGCTAAAATAAGCCTCCCCCCCACCCCGAAAATAAGCCTTCCCTAAAAATATTTAAATGGAGAGCTGGAAATCAGGTAAGATGGCAAGAGGATCCCCATCTTGCTCCATGTGCCCTAAAATAATAAGACCTCCCCAAAAATAAGGGCAAGCGCTTATTTTGGGGTTCAAAAAAATATAAGACAGGGTCTTATTTTCGGGGAAACACGGTACATACATACCACACACAATAGATGCACACAGTTTCAGAAGGGCTGCCTTCAGGTTTAATGCTTGTTGCTTCTCTTTTTCTGTGCCCCACATTTCCAGGCCTCAAAATCTTAATTTAACCGCTGTGAGTGAAAGTATCTTAATGGATAATCTGGAGATTTTCCAAAAAAATGGATTTGATTTTGTGGTTGATGAAAACGGTGAGTTCTGCCCTACTCATCTCTCCTAGCTTTGGTATAACGGAAGTGGGGAGAAAGTGATTGTCTCTGCTTTGGGAGCGTGCAACATCTTTCAAATAATTAAAATGGAAAAAATTAGCACACCAAACAATTCCATTTTAAATCTGCCTGAAAGAAGGATCTTCTAACGGTCTTTGAAATTGGAGTTCAGTTGGATATTCTTTTCCTGCCAGAAAAAAATACACTCGGTTTAAAACTTAACCTACAATTATTTAGCTCCTAATTGGCAATTATTACATGAGCAGCTGGGTTAGATGTTGAAATGTTATCTCAGTGTAAAGAGACGGTGACCATTATGTTATTTTTAAAACCTTTCAGCTCCTGTAACTCAGAGAGTAAAGCTCATATCTTTACCAACCAGCAAAAACTGGACTTTTGGTCCTCAAGATGTAGAAGAATTAATCTTTATGTTAAGCGATTCTCCGGGAATCATGTGCAGGCCATCCAGAGTAAGGCAGATGTTTGCCTCTCGAGCGTGTCGGAAATCCGTAAGTATAACGCTGTAAACTGGGGCATGGATGGATGGATGTGAATCTGGCTTTCCCATTGACTTTGCTTGCCAAAAAGTATTGTGGCCCGTCAGCGGCCTGTGCAGCTAGTAGCTGATTCCGACAGCGAGGAGGCTGGTGTGCAGCTGGCACTCGAGTCGGACAGTGAGGAGGCTGGAGAAGATGTGGTGCCAGAGGCGGGGATTCACCCAGGGCCTTCAGAACCTCTAGAAGCTCCCTTAAGTGAAGAGGACGAAGAGGAGGAGCCTCTTCTCGATGCATGGGCATGCAGAGCTACCAAAAGGCAGGAGTGGCTCCTCAGGAGGAGGTCTCCTCGAGAGTAAGGCTTGGGGCTAATTGGCCACTCCCTTAGCCTAGGAAGTCCAGTTCCCCCACCATAGAGTCTCCTCCTACCACGCCGTCCTTTTTCCTCTACCTGTCCTAACCGAAAGCCCCATCAATTGTGGAGCCGACCAGCGACAGGGAGCCACAGTAGAGGGATGAAAGAGCCACATGCGGCTCCAGAGCCACAGATTGCTGATCCCTGGGCTAAGCTAAAACGAATTGATACTGAACTCTAGACTTTGCTCCTGTTACAGGTGATGATTGGAACCGCCCTCACGGCCAGTGAAATGAAGAAACTGATTTCTCACATGGGCGAAATTGAGCATCCTTGGAACTGTCCCCACGGCAGACCCACCATACGACACTTAGCCAACCTGGACCTCATTACACAATTGTGACCGGCTACTAGCTCTTAACTTTATTGTGGAATGCAACCGCGGTCTCGTTTTAGAAACACAGGCTATGGCAAAGTTCTCGATTTTGCTGGACCGGAAGCTTAAATCATGGTTTCGTGTTGCAAAAGAAGAATGTGGGGTTTTTCCCCCCCCGCTTCTTCTTCTCTTTCTCTCTCAATAACTGGACACAATAACTTTCCATCTCCTGCCTTCTAAAAAAAAGACTTTTCACATTTTTGTTTGAAAAAGCGGTCAGAAAATAGAGGGGGGGTCCCCCCCCCAAAATGGGCTTGTCTTATTGCTGCCTTTGTAGAAATATTGATTTTCTGTCCATTTTATCGATTTCCTCTGGACAGAAAGAATTGAGTGTACGTAACTGACTCTTTAGAGGACTTCCTGTTTTAGGGCAGACCTGTTTTGTAAATAAAGATTTTTTTTAAAAAAAAATACACGTGTTCTTTGTGCTTTAACAGAGTGGTTCCCATCTACAGTGTACAATGGGAGGGCCAGTTCCTGTAGGTATGAGAGAGATGGTTAATGCCAGTTGTGAGTTTTATGGTGTCACAGCCTTTTAGTGCTGTGAAAGGCTTAAACAATTCTCTATTAACAGCATTTAATATCTGATTTGTCTAATTGTGAATGAATGATCAATTTTAAATCCATTGGTTACTTTATTACAGGTCCCAGATCCATCGTAGCGGGCCATTAGATCACCTATAAAAAAAGTGCGATAGAGAACAGAGAAGAAATATATAATAAAATGATGCAAAACTGTCGAGCTTTAGGAAATATTTTATATAGTCCAGTCAACAATTAATTTATCAAAAATAAAGCTGTACAGGCTGCTAATGTAAATTTTTGTTATTTTAAAATGCTGATCTGCCAGAACATACTAGATATAAAATTCATGTTGATATCTAAGGAATGGCCTTGTTAGAAGTGTTAAAAGCTCCATGTGTGTCTCTCTATGGAACCTAAAGGACAAGCAATATTTCAACCTCAGTAAGCTAAAGATGTGTGGACTTCGACTCCCAGAATTCTCCAGCCAGCAAGAGGAATTCTGGGGATTGAAGTCCATGCTCTTAAAAGGTCAAGGTTGAGAAATAGTTCTGTAATCTGCGGATCAGTAGTTTGATATTCCCAGACTTTCTGCAAAATATTTTTTTCTGAAACTCGCCCTCCATTTAACAGTGACAGCGGCATAATTCATGTTCCAATTGGCACTTTTAATCTTCATTGTTTTGAGCATAACATTCCCCTTTAAATTCCTTTCTAATCTACTGTATCTAAATGACTTTCTTGCTCCTGGATAATAGAAAAGCAATAACTTCCCTTCTAAAAACGGCATCAGTTTAGCCTCCCACCGACCAGTACGCTCCCATAGAAAGGGGCTCCTCCGGGTGCCGTCGGCCAAACAATGTCGACTGGCGGCCCCCAGGGGGAGAGCCTTCTCTGTGGGGGCACCTACTATCTGGAACGAGCTCCCCCCGGAGATACGGAGGATCCCGGATCTGCGTACCTTCCGTCGCGCGCTTAAGACCTTCCTATTTCATCAAGCCGGCCTGACCTAAGTCTTTCCCCTTTTTAAATGGAATTTTAAATCTGGTTTTAAATTATTGGGGTTTTAAATTTGTTCAGCCAAATTATTTAATTCATTTTAATCTATTTTAAATTTTGTATTTATATGTTTTATTCCTATGGCTGTTCACCGCCCTGAGTCCTTCGGGAGTAGGGCGGTATACAAATTCAATAAATAATAATAATAATAATAATAATAATAATAATAATAACAACAACAACAACTGGTTAAGATCAGGAATACTGAAAAAAGAAACAAAGCTTTATTTTGGCAGCTCAAGAACAAGCCCTAGCCACAAACTGTATGAAGGCAAAAATTCAACATGTTACCACCAACAGCAAATGCCGCCTCTGCAATGAGAAAGAAGAGACAGTTGACCACCTGATCAGTGGGTGCAGCAAAATTTCACAAACTGACTACCTACAACGCCATGACCGTGTTGCTAAAATCATTCACTGGAAATTGTGCCAGAAGTTTGGATTTGAGTACAGCAAAAACCACTGGGAGCATCAGGTTGAGAAAGTTTTAGAGAATGAGAAACCCAAGATCTTGTGGGACTTTAGGATTCAGACTGACAGGCACTTGGTCCACAACACACCTGACATAACAATAGTTGAAAAGAAAAAATATGGTTCATTGACATTGCAATACCTGGTGATGCACGAATTGAAGATAAGCAGCAAGAAAAAATCAAAGTACCGGGACTTACAAATTGAAGTTGAGCGACTGTGGAAAAAGAAATCGTGTGTTGTCCCGATTGTAATTGGAGCCCTCGGAGCAATACCCAAAGGGCTACCCCGCTATTTAGAAATTCTAAATTTGCCGGACTTGAACATTTTGACTCTACAAAAAACCACCTTACTCGGAACAGCTTACATCCTCCGACGATACCTTAACAGTTCCTAGGTCCTTGGTTAGGACTCGAGCTGCTGAGCTATTAACCAGCCTCAAAGGCTGTGAATCTCACTAAAGATTAACCAATAAATAATAATAATAAATAAAGGAGTTGTTGGGCCATTTCTAAAATCTGCGTGACTTGGAATTTATCTAGCACCTTGTATCTTCTTTATAACATTACCTTGAAGCTCTGTGTTTCTATGATTCTGTAAAGTTTTATACTGCATTATGCAGAAAGGGGAACCAGGAAGAAGAGTTGGCCAAAGCCCCGCCCACTTCTCTGGGAACAACCAGGAAGCTTCTCTCTCTATCGCCCCGCCCAGCCCCGTGGTTGCTATGGCTACCGCCCAAGCCCTACCCGTGGTTGCCATGGCCACGGCTCAGGCCTCTTAGCAACGGGCATCGCAAGGAAAACTTCAGGCAGCTTTTGCGAAGGGTTGCAAAATAGGAGGGATTTCCAAAGAGGTGGATTTTAATATATTTTTTTTCCCCTTGGTTTTCTTCGTGGCTTTCAAGTTTGCATTTGCTGCCCGGTCCCTGATAGCTGAAGGACTACAATTCCCCTAATCCCCATCCTGTTCCTGTGATTGCTAATAGGGTTATTGCAAATTTTGGAATATTCCTCCCAAGCTGCTGGTCCTTGCAAGGATTTGGGGCTAGTAGTTATTATTCTTATTTTCGTTATTGAATCAGATCTGCTCAAATCTGGATCTGTTCCGGCTCTTAAAAGGCCTTAAAATTTGATTAAATTTTAATCAAAAGGCCTTAAAAGGCCTTAAAATTTGATTAAATTTTAATCAAAAGGCCTTAAAAGGCCTTAAAATTTGATTAAAGAGTTACAGTTTTGAGCGGTTCTTTTGCAATTACATTTGGAGTTTTCAAATGTTTTCTAGAATAGAAACATTTTTCCCCCCAAAAAGCCTTACAATCCAAGGACTGTTAAAAATAATAACAATGAGATAAAGCTCTCAGTTTTTAGAAAGTGGTCTGGGTTTTTTTTTTAAAAAAAAACTTGTGCTATGAGTACAATGTCCATATTTTTGTGGGGGAAAAAAATAAAAAGGATCCATCAGAGTAAAGAATTTTCATTGTTTATGTATGTAACTTGGCTTTACAAAGGAAAATTCAAGAGCAAAACTATGTGCAGTTAAACATTAATAGCTAAAAATATCTAAAAAGCGCTTTTTTTAAAGTTATAAACTTTAAACTGGAGTTATAAGAAGCAAGTATTAAAAAGGATTTCTGCACTTAGGCTGTGCATTAAACAGGTCCATTTGTACAGTATAAAAGGGAAACGGGCAAAAAAAAGAGTGAATTTTTGAAAATAAATACATAAATAAATCCATAGGACAGTTTTCTGAAATAAAGGACTTTTCTTTGTAATAAAGCAACATAAAATAAATTCTAAATATAAATAATTATAAATAAATATCTCCTAGTTCTACGAAGCCTTTTTTATATATATGCTTAGCTATGCTACAAAGCAGTAAATTCTTTGAACACCTATAAATATTATAATTTTTTTCCATTATGTATCAGGTTTTATTTATTTCAGTAGATTTCTGGTCAACGACTGTAAGTTTTTATTACAATTCAGTATCATCATTGCCTTGAATTGCTCAACGAAGAAAATAAGTAATAAACATACTCGTTTTAAATTTTATTGACCATGTGATTCACTTAACAACTGTAGTGATTTGAAGAACCACGGCAAAAAGGTCGTAAAATCGGGCACGATTCACTTAACAACCACCTTCTGGTTGACAACAGAAATTCTGGTTTCATTGCGGTCGTATGTCGAGGAATACTTGTGTATCTCATTCAACCATTTTTCTCTTTCTGAAGTCTAGGTAAGTCTCCTAACGAAATATTTATTTTTTTCCCCACCTCTAGATTAAAAACAGGAGCTTCACTCTTTGGCAGGACGGCTAATTCTGCCCTACGCCGAAGCGATGGGTAAAGATAAGAAGAAAGACAGTAAAAAAGGAGATAAATCCGGATCTGCTGCAGCCCACGACACGTCCATCGAGTTAGCAATTTCCAGCCTGAATGTCCCACCTCTGTCGGACCAGGGGGATGAGCACTTGGCTACTCGGGCAACTTCCAAAGAAAACAACAAGGATCAAGAGCCTCCCCCTGTCCCTGAACCCATTGAGTACGAAGAACCCATCCTCACACAACTGATTGTTGAAAGGTAAAACCAGAGTTTTGCTAAAAATGAGGTGAGGTCACAGGGAAATGGAATCTAAGGTGTTTTTTTTGACCAATTTTGGAGCCCGGCGGAATCCCTGCTCGTGATTTTTGATAGTTTGTGGCAGGGGTGTGTTCTGTCCCCGTACCACGCACACACCCCCACAGACGGTCCGGAGTTAATAAGCCACATGACAAAACTCTTTGATGATAAAGCTGGCAGCAACCCAGTGGCTAGCTGCCAATTCAGACTTTACTCACACAAAACAAAGATTAGACTGCCAGCATTCTGATAAAACAGGCAGAGTGTCAACAATACAAGGATTAATCCAAATGGAGTCCGATAAAGCAGGCAAAGTCCAGTAAAGCAGAGATCATGGAGTATTTCCAGTTTTTGCTCGTCACAAACTGAACGGGCCATCACACCCACATTTATACCCTGTGGGGTGTGGTCCAGTGACTCAGCTAATCTCTGGCATGCCTTCCCCTCTGCTGTGCACGCTTCTCCCTGCGCCTCTGTCGAGGGTCCAGCCAGCACTTATCTTCCTCGTCACTGTCCACCTGTGGCTGTGGGGATGTGCTTGGCTCTGAGCCTATCGTTTGGCCTTTGGTGTCCTCCGGAGGCATTGCCAGAGAGGAGGGTCCTGGAGAGGGAGGCCTTGCCAACTCCTCTCCCTCACTCTCAGAGTCTGCATCTGTTGATAGCCCAGGCTCAGGCAACGGAGCCACAACAGGGTGGGCTTCAAAAAGTTTAGCAAGGGGTTCTCTGTCCGGTTGCTGGGTGGGTGTGGCTTAGTCGGCCTCCTGCACCATGGCAGGGAGGGGCGTTTTTGCCCTCCCCGGGCTCCCGAGGTTTTCCTCGAAGCTCCGGGAGGCTGAAAACGGCCTCCCCAGGCTCCGGAGGCCCGTTGGAGGCCCATTTCCGGCCTTCCCGAACTTCCGGTAGGCCCGTTTCTCACCCTCCCTGAGCCTCCACACGTGCCCTGCACTTACCTGCATCCAAAACGGGCCACGTGGGAACTCCTGGGAGGGGAGGGGCGGGTTGAGCGGGGCCAGCCAGGAGTGGGATTTGGGGGTTCTCCGAACTGCACAGAATCTTCATCTTGAATTTTCATCTTGAATTTATGTTCTCCATAGGTACGAAGGAGAAAAGGTCCGTGGGTTGTATGAAGGGGAAGGAACTGCCTATTTTCAAGGAGGCAACATCTACAAGGTGACAATATCTGTGTGTTAAATCTTAAGGATATAGAATTTCCTTCCATGTGATAGGTGGCCCTTTCATTATTTCCTTGAGGAGTAGGGTGGATTCAAAGACTAGTTTCTTTTATTTCCTGTACGTGGCTTGAAAGGGTGGCGTGAACCAGGGGTGAAATCCAGCAGGTTCTGACAGGTTCTGGAGAACCAGTAGCAGAAATTTTGAGTAGTTTGGAGAACCGGCAAATACCACTTCTGGCTGGCCCCAGGACTGGGGTAGGAATGGAGATTTTGCAATATCCTTCCCCCAGGAGTGGGGAGGGAATGGAGATTTTGCAGTATCCTTCCCCTGGAGGTGGGAGGGAATGGGGATTTTGCAGTATCCTTCCCCTGGAGTGGGGTGGGAATGGAGATTTTGCAGTATCCTTACCCCAGGAGTGGGATGGGAATGGAGATTTTGCAGTATCCTTCCCCTGGAGTGGGTTGGGAATGGGGATTTTGCAGTATCCTTCCCCTGCCATGCCCACCAAGCCACGCCCACCAAGCTACACCACGCCCACCAAGCCACACCCACAGAACAGGTAGTAAAAAAAAAATTGAATTCTACCACTGGCGTGAACTCAACCCTGGTGTGAGACAACCAGTGCTGATTGAAGTTCTAGCAGAGATGTGGACATATGATTTTTCTTACTGTTCTGCGATTTAGCGGGATCATCATACCATCCACTCATCAGCTTCTTCTTGCCATTTTGTAGGGCGTGTTTTCAGAAGGGCTCATGCATGGACAAGGGACTTACACGTGGAGCGACGGAGTGCAGTACGAGGTAAGCACTGTCCCAGAATTTTCAGGGAAAAGGGCTATTTTTAGATGGAGATGCAGGTATCCAAACCTCCATCTGGTTGGGAAGGCCTGGTCTGTCTTAAAATAACGCTCCTGGGTTTACGGAACGGTAGCATTGATGTTCTTTGTCTCTTCGAACTGATCCACTCTCGGTCTGGTTTGCAACTGCTTGCAAATCAGAACAACGGAAAGATAGTTACTTGCCAGCACGTGTGCTGGATTTAGGTTCTCCAAAGCATGAAGGCAGGACAAGAAGCATCTCAACCCTGAAGCTGATCCTGGCCGAAGACATCTTGGATGCTTCAGTGTTGCCACACTGAAACCGAGGGGTGGGGGGTGGCGGTTAGAGAGAGCTGGGGTTGTTTGGTCAAAACAAAATACTTTCTCATGGGAACCAAGGATGTTCTCACACCTGGTCAGAGGAAGGAGGAGTGATGTCACCAGACCAGCGGACGCTGCCATGATTGGGCCATGTGACTGATTGTTTGGGTTTGAGGCAGGGGTAGTATTCACTTACCTTCTCTACCGGTTTGCAAATATGTGTGTGCGCCTGTGCGCAGAGCCTTGAAAACGTGGAAAATCAGGACGTCATGAATCTTGCAATCGCCCCTACCGGTTCTCCCGAACCGGATAGAACCTGCTGAATACCACCACTAGTTTGAGGGGGAAAACTTTCATTTTTAATTAGGTGAAAACTAAGGAGCCTCTCAGAGTCGGTTTCCACCAGACATGTGCCAATGTGATATTTCCAATAAAGCTATTCTTTGAGGAATCCACTTGCCTCGGAGTTTTTGCTTGCGATGGATCTATTACTTGGAACCCTGACATTGCAATTCATGGAAACGACTCAAGAGAGAACCAATCTAGAACTAAGGCAGAATTTCCTGACAGAACAATGAATCAGTGGAACGACTGGCCTCCAGAAGTGCTCCTTCATCACTGGTGTTTTTAAGAAGAGATTGGACAACTGTTAAGTCCGGACACGAAAAGAGAGGCAGGGCGATCGTAGTAGAGTAAAACAACCGTTTATTGTAGGCAAGAGGGAACAACAACAAAATAATTACGAACTCGGGACTGCCTGAGGCTACAGCTCCTTTTATCGGGAGCTGTCCAGCCTGTCAGCCACTGAAGCTTGTTCGTTTTCCCGCCAGCAGGAAAATGAACCAATGAGTGAAGGCTGATGTAAGACTCACTCCTACTTGCATATTCAACAACAACCACTCATATGAAATGGCTGGCTGGGGAATTCTGGGACTTGAAGTCCACAAGTCTTAAAATTGCCAAATTTGGAGAAACATCACTCCCCCCCCCTTCCGTTCAACGTTGTCGAGTGTTCCTACCTTTCTGGGTGAAAGGAAGCGAGTGAGCTTTTTCTTACTCCTATATTTTCCTCTCTTGCAGGGAAACTTCGTCAAGAATGTGCAAATGCATCATGGCACTTACAAGTGGCCGGATGGCAGTATGTACGAAGGCGAAGTGAAGTACGGGATCAGACATGGTTTCGGCATGTACAAATGTGGCACCTATCCTGTTTCGTATATTGGCCAGTGGGTGGAAGGCAAGAGACACGGCAAGGTAATGAAAACGTGGCCGCTGGAAGCATACAGGGAGTCCTTGATTTACAACAGTTCATTTAGTGACCATTCAAAGTTACAAAGGCACTGAGAAAAGCAACTTTATGACCCTCTTTCACACTTCTGACTGTTGCAGCGTCCCCGTGGTCATGTGATCAAAATTCAAACGCTTGGCAACTGACTCATAGTTATGACGGTTACAATGTCCCGGGGTCATGTAATCCCCTTTTGTGACCTTCTGACAAGCCAAGTCAGGAAAAGTCAGAGTCACTTCACAACTGTGTCACTAACTTAACAACTGCAGTGATTTCCTTAACAACTTGCGGCAAGAAAGGGACAAAATTTACATCAGAACTGTCTCGCCTAGCAACAGAAATTTTGAGCTCAATTGTGGGTTATAAGTGTGAAGTTACCTGTAGTTGCCATGATTGTATTCTGGGCAGGAAGCTCTCCCTTGCACAGATCATGGCATCCAGCACATCCAGTATCAACTTAAAATCCTCTTTAAGAAAAGTTCAAAACATTCTTAAAGATCCATCTCATCCTGGGCACCCTTTTTTTTTTTTTTGAACTATTACCATCTGGCAGACGGTACAGGACAATAAAAACAAGGACAAAAACAGGCTGAAAAACAGCTTCTATCCCAGAGCAGTAACTATATTGAATTCTACGGTATAGTGCAATATTAATGCAATATCGGGTTTTCAATTCAATTATATAGAATGTGAAGGATGTGTGTTTTTATTTTATTTTCATAGTTATAATGTATATTGAAGATGGCATTTAATTTCGTTGTACGAGGTGCAATGACAATAAAGTAAAAAGTAAAGTAAAAAGTAAAGTAAAGTAAAGTAAAGTAAAGTAAAGTAAAGTAAAGTAAACTAAACTAAACTAAACTAAACTAAACTAAACTAAACTAAACTAAACTCTTCCTGGCCTTTCCTTCTCACAGCCACAAAGGGGGAAATCTTGGCGTTGGCTTCTTGGCAGACTGATGGATAATCCGAAGTGGTTTAGTCAGGGGTGAAATGCTCCCGGTTCGGATCAATTCAGCCGAACCGGTAGCGATGGCGGCCGGTGGTCAGGGAATCGGTAGCGATGGCGGTGCGAGACTCCGCCCACCCACCCAGTCATCGTTACTTCCTGCTTTTAACCAGGAAGTAACCTGTTTTTACCCTCTGCACATGCACAGAAGGGTTTGCACACACGCAGAGGGTCCGCGTGTGCACTTCCAAACTGGTTGGGAAGGTAAATAGATTTCACCCCTGGTTTTAGTAATGTAATGTGTGTCCTGCCTTGGTACCACCTGACGGAAGGTGCTCGAGTCTTCTTTAAGTGGTGTTAAACTGTTTGTGCGATTGATTTTCAGGGCACCATTTACTACAACGAAGCAGGTTCTTCTTGGTACGAAGGAGACTTTGTGAACAATGTAAAAAGTGGATGGGGAGTAAGACGGTAAGACGATCCTTTCTTCTCTGTGGGGAAGTTAGAAGTTGATGGACACTTTCGGAGGAGTTACATAACAGAATAACAGAGCTGGAGGGACCTTGGAGGTCTTCTAGTCCAATCCCTTGCTCAAGCACGAAACCAGACAGCTTTTCAGGCAAATGGTTGTCCAGTCTCTTTCTTAAAAGCTTCCAGTGTTGGAGCATTCACAACTTCTGGAGGCAAGTTGTTCCACTGATTCACTGTTCTCTCTGTCAGGAAATTTCTCCTTAGTTCTAAGTTGCTTCTCTCTTGATTAGTTTCCACCCGTTGCTTCTTGTCCTGCCCTCAAATGCTTTGGAGAATAGCTTGACTCCCTCTTCTTTGGGGCAGCCCCTGAGATATTGTTCACCCTGGATCACAAGAATGATCCATTTTAAGGAGCCAGTAGGACAGGGACCACAATAAAATGCAACTGCGGGATATTAGGAAATACTGTTTGCCCCAGAAACCGAGTTTTAGGATGAAGAGAAGGGATGATAAAGCTTCAAACTGAGTGGTGTTCCTGAAGAAAAAAATACTCCTGCATATTTTAATTTTTTTTTTAATGGGAGGAAATCTTGTGATGTATGACGTTTGACCTCCTATCCCAGAATTTTCAGCTAGGATAGAATAGAATAGAATAGAATAGAATAGATAGAATAGAATAGAATAGAATAGAATAGAATAGAATAGAATAGAATAGAGATAGAATAGAATAGAATTCTTTATTGGCCAGGTTTGATTGGACACACAAGGAATTTGTCTTGTTGCATATGCTCTCAGTGTACATAAAAAGAAAAGATACATTTGTCAAGAATCATAAGGTACAACACTTAATGATAGTCATAGGGAACAAATAAGCAATCAAATCATATTAAGAAAACAGTCAATATAAATCGTAAGGATATCAGCAACAAGGTTACAGTCATACAATCATTAGTGGAAGGAGATGGTTGATAGGAACGATGAGAAGATTAATAGTAGTGCAGACTTAGTGAATAGTTTGACTAAAAGGGCTATTTTAGATGGAGATCCTGGGAGCCGAACCTCCATCTGGAAAGTTCCTGATAAGGGAAGGCCTGGTCTGTCTTAAAATAATGCTTCTCCATTTATTGAACTGTAATGTTGCTGTTCTTCTCGGTCTCTTTGAACAGTTACAAATCTGGAAATATCTATGAAGGACAATGGGAGAGAGACCTGCGCCACGGAGAAGGACGAATGAGGTGGCTTACATCAAACCAGGAATACACTGGAATGTGGGTTAATGGTATACAGGTGAGACCAAATAGAACAGTTTTATCTTTTCCCAATTCCTCCAACTAATAGAGAGTTATGGCCACGTCATGTGGGGAATTCACTAAGAAAGCAATTATGTTGGGAAGAGTTAGAAGTAAAAGGCCGTCAAAGAACATGGTGGCTGGAGACCATAGAACAACTCAAAGAAGTAGTGCAAGATTGGAAGATGTGAAGAGATCTGGTCCACAGAATCCCAAGGGTCAGACACGACTAAATGAATAACATCTTCATCACCACCATCATCATCAATGTTTAGGGCTTAGTCTTGTATGGACCTGAGGGTCTCTCTAGACCTTATTTCTCAAAGTTTGGATACTGTATAGAATTCTAAACACTGTCTAAACAATGGCCTAGTTAGATATGTTAAAAGTCCATCTATCTCTCTCTGTAGAAGAACCTATAGCTCAGCAGATCTCCAATCTTGGCAACTTTTAAGACTTGTGGACTTCAACTCCCAGAATTTTGAGAGTTGAAGTCCAAAAGTTGTCAAGCCTGAATCTTACTGGGATGTGGGGTTGTTTCAATCATGGGTTATTCTCACATGAATTCAGGTGGACACATTTTGGAGCTGAAGGGGGAGAGTAGAGGTGGGTGGAGTCTTCAGCCAAAACAACATAGTTGGCCGATGAGTCAGATACATTCAAACGGCTGGCCGGCCAAAGGAGGAGGAGAGAAGTCACCAAGCAACGGGCTCGATTGGACAGTGTGACATATTGTTTTAGAAAAATGAGAAACTCTTACTTTAAATGGGGTGGAAAGCGCGGGAACCTTTAGTACTGGCTTTCCACCAGTTTGTGCCAAGATGATGTATCTAAATAAATTTGTTCTTTGAGAAAACGGAATGCCTCGGAGTTCAATTTGTGATGGATACATTAATTGGAACCTGATATAAGTCTTAAAGTTCCCAAGGTTGGAGACCCCCTGGCCTCTAGGACAAGCAGTATTTCTCAATCTCAGTACCTTCAAGTTGTGTGGACTTCATCTCCCAGGATTCCCCAGCCAGCAGGAATTCTGGGAGCTGAAGTCCACACACCTTCAAGTCACTAAGATTGAAAAACACTGCTCTGGAGAACGTTCTGTTGGTTGATTTCCCTAGCATGGGCAAGGTACCCATACCTGGTATCTGAAGAGGATCGCTGGGTCACAGTATCCCCTAAGGAATGAATACGTTGGAGATTTCGTCAACGGTGATCGGCACGGACATGGGAAATTCTTCTTTGCCAGCGGCGCAATGTACGATGGAGAATGGGTGCTGAACAAAAAACATGGCACGGTAAGGATGAAGAAGTTTGGGGAAAGAGTGAGAACATCAGAGCAGCCATTTTGCTCTTCTAAACACGTACCGTATTTTTCGGAGTATAAGACGGACCTTTTTACCCACAAAAAGAGGGTGAAAATCTGGGTGCAGGAACTGGGTATGTCTAGTTTAATGAAGAGAAGGACCAGGGGAGACATGATAGCAGTCTTCCAATATCTCAGGGGTTGCCACAAAGAAGAGGGAGTCAAGCTATTCTCCAAAGCACCTGAGGGCAGGACAAGAAGCAATGGGTAGAAACTCATCAAGGAGAGAAGCAACCTAGAACTAAGGAGAAATTTCCTGACAGTTAGAACAATTAATCAGTGGAACAGCTTGCCTCCAGAAGTTGTGGATGCTCCAGCACTGGAAGTTTGTAAGAAGATGTTGGATAACCATTTGTCTGAAGTGGTGTAGGGTTTCTTGCCTAAGCAGGGGGTTGGACTAGAAGACCTCCAAGGACCCTTCCTATTCTATTCTATTCTATTCTATTCTATTCTATTCTATTCTATTCTTCTATTCTATTCTTTCTATTCTATTCTATTCTATTCTATTCTATTCTATTCTATTCTATTCTATTCTATTCGCAACCACATGGAAGGGGTTCCCCACTATCTTTTCTCATATCTTTTTTTGGCTTCCTATTCTTAACTACCTCTCTGAAATTTAGGCACCATCCCATCCACCTACTACTCAGATCCAACCCTGCTGAGCTTCTAAAATGTTTCCCAGCCATGATCTAGCACCCGTTTCTAGCCAGCAGTCTCATCTCTTCCTCTAACGTTGTAAACCAACAGCCCAGGAGGTCTTGTGTGGGTCTTGTTATGGGTAGCTAACCAGGTTTTAAAAGCAGAACACTGTTCCTTCCCCACCCCCACCCCCACCTCCCCAGGGCAAGCTAGTTTTCAAGAACGGCCGTGTGTACGAAGGCGAATTTAATTACGACCACATAGCGGAGTGTCCATCCTTGCAAATCGACATGACTAACATGGAAGAAGTGTGCAACCTCTCCCTGAAGGGTTTATCTGGCATAGGTGAGCTGCTTCGAAGGAGGTGGAAGAAAAGATTAAGCTTGATGAGCTTTGTCTAAAATGCCCCATTAGCCCCTCAACAGGCCTCTGTTGACTTCACGGCCATCGGCGACCCATCCACACATTAATCAGGTCATATGCCCTGCTTAGTTTTTTGAGATCAAGAAAGGTTAGGGAGTTGTTACTTCTTCTTCTTCTTCTTATGCCGTATCCGTCATCGGACGTTGGTGATCATATTGGCGATCCTATTTTTATCAACAGCCGCACGAAAAAGTGCTGTTGAGTTTTGTCCCAACCGGTCCCTTAGATTTTATTTATTTATTATTTATTAATCAAATTTCTATACCGCCCTACTCCCGAAGGACTCAGGTTGGTGAACAGCCAAGATAAAATACAGATAATACAAATATTAAAAAAATCCCTTAAAATTATTAAATATTTTGGCCGAAACACAGATTAAAACAGATTTTGAAGCCATGACATTCTTCTTTTGCCTGGACCTCGTTTGCCCTCAATCTTTCCCTGGAGGATTAAGTGAAGGATGCCGTATTTTTCCGGGTGTCGCATCACAGGTCCGAAATATTCCAATTTTTGCTTTTTGATGGTTTTGATGGCTTCCCTTGGCTTTCCCAGGAGGCTTATCACCTCCTCATTTGTGATTTTGTCAACCCAATTTATATGTAACAGCCGGCTGTAAATCCACATTTCAAATGTTTCCAGTCCAGTGATGTCAAACCTTTTTGGCACCGAGTGTCCAAACCGGAATGCGCGTGCATGCATGCGCCAGAGTGTTGGAAACCTGAAGAGGAGCTGGCTGGTGCACATGTCTGCGCCAGCCAGCTGGTTTTCGGGTTTCCGGCACGCACATGAGCGCCAGTCAGCTGGTCTTTGTGCATGCGGGAGCACCGGAAACCCGAAGACTAGCTAACCGGTGCGCATGTGCCTGTTTTTTGGCCATTTTGAGCTGTTTTTTCAGGCTGTTTTCAGGCTGTTTTTCAGGCCTGTTTTTTTGCCGTTTTGGGCTGTTTTTTCAGGCTGTTTTCAGGCCTGTTTTTTGGCCATTTTGGGCTATTTTTTCAAGCTGTATTCAGGCTGTTTTTCAGGCCTGTTTTTTGGCCGTTTTTTCAAGCTGTTTTCAGGCTGTTTTTCAGGCCTGTTTTTTGGCCGTTTTTTTGCTGTTTTTTCAAGCTGTTTTCAGGCTGTTTTTCAGGCCTGTTTTTTGGCCGTTTTTTTGGCTGTTTTTTCAAGCTGTTTTCAGGCTGTTTTTCAGGCCTGTTTTTGGCCGTTTTAGCCTGTTTTTTTAGGCTGTTTTCAGGCTGTTTTTCAGGCCTTTTTGGCCGTTTTTTTGGCTGTTTTTTCAAGCTGTTTTCAGGCTGTTTTTCAGGCCTGTTTTTTGGCCGTTTTTTTTGGCTGTTTTTTCAAGCTGTTTTCAGGCTGTTTTTCAGGCCTGTTTTTGGCCATTTGGGGCTGTTTTTTCAAGCTGTTTTCAGGCTGTTTTTCAGGCCTGTCTTTTGGCCGTTTTAGCCTGTTTTTTTAGGCTGTTTTCAGGCTGTTTTTCAGGCCTGTTTTTTGGCCGTTTTTTGGCTGTTTTTTCAAGCTGTTTTCAGGCTGTTTTTCAGGCCTGTTTTTGGCCATTTGGGGCTGTTTTTTCAAGCTGTTTTCAGGCTGTTTTTCAGGCCTGTCTTTTGGCCGTTTTAGCCTGTTTTTTTAGGCTGTTTTCAGGCTGTTTTTCAGGCCTTTTTGGCCGTTTTTTTTTTTTTGGCTGTTTTCCGGTGCTCCGACACCTGCGAAGACCAGCTGGCCGGTGTGCATGTGCGTGCCGGAAACAAGATGAACAACTGGTGATGGCATGCGTGCCCACAGAGAGGGCTCTGTGTGCCACCTCTGGCACGCGTGCCATAGGTTCGCCATCACAGTTCTAGTCTCTTCAAGTGGCTTTCTGTCCGAGACCAACTCTCCACTCCGTAGAGCTGTTACTGGGAAATTTTAATAGATGCAATATTTACCTGAGCTTTGTTACCCCCCGTTTTTTCCCCACACTCTTGAAATCCTCTCAGCTCCTAAAATATAATTAGTTTCAAAATACAGGTATTTTGACTGGATGCATTTGACGTTTTCTCTTTTTCACTGCCCTAGATAGCGTCAAAGTTGTTGACAATTCAAGGACCTCCTCTTTGTCAGGACCAAACATTGAAATAGATCTATCGACCTTGTTAGCTTTATTTCCGGAAAAAGACAAGGAAGATGAAATGAAACAGGTATATGGAAAGCTGGTCTACACAACTCTGTGGCCCCGAAGGCGGAAACAAATTTAGACACAAAGAGAAGAGAAAAAAGTTAAGAGGGATAGTGGTCTAAAAGAAGAAGCCAAATTCTTTTGGGGTGTTTGGAAGTGGTGTCCACGATTTGCACAATCCAGAAGCTTTCCCGAAGCAACGTGGGAGGCTGACGTCGTGCTGGAATTGTCTTCTTCTGTGCTGGAAAGGGACACCAGCAGACACATCATACAACTGCAGGACCAACAGAAGAGAATATTTGTAGCTCAGGGTTGAACTGGTGAGGTCTTTGATGCTCTCTTGGTGGTTTTCTTGCAGATGTTTCATTACCCAGGTAGGTAACATCATCAGTGCTAGGAGGAATGGGGATTGTGGAGAGAAGGAGGAGGAGGAGGAGGAGGAGGAGGAGGAGGGAGGAGGAGGAGGAGGAAGAAGAAGAAGAAGAAGAAGAAGAAGAAGAAGAAGAAGAAGAAGAAGAAGAAGAAGAAGAAGAAGAAGAAGAAGAAGAAGAAGAAGAAGTAGTGGTGGAGGAGCTTGGAGGTCTTCTTGCAGATGTTTCATTGCTCAACTAGGTAGCTAGCACTGATGAAAGCAAACTGATGACATTACCTAGTTTGGCAATGAAACATCTGCAAGAAAACCACCAAGCCCAGAAAGCACCAAGGATCCCACACATCTCCAAGACCCTACTTACTTAAATATCAGTGGTGGCCCTATCAGTCCATCCACCTCTCTTATTCTCGATCCATTCTTTGCTTCTCCCAGACAGAATACGCTGTGCTGAGATATATTTCGGAGCTGAGGAGAATCTACACTTTCTACAGCAGCTTGGGCTATGACCACTCCCTGGACAACACCTTCCTGATGACCAAGCTTCAGTTCTGGAGGTTCTTGAAGGACTGCAGGTTTCACTACTGCAACCAGACCCTCGCTGCCATGGACCGGATTCTGAACGGTGTGTATGTCTTATTACAGGCCATTACTTTGGGATGGCTCTTTCTACCACAGGCCCTGGTTTAATCCCAAACTCTAGTTTAATTTCTAAGCAATCTGTGGAGCCATTGCAAGGGACCACCATTCCATTAGAACGGTGTAAACATTCCCCAAAATTTAAGCATTGTATAGGTAGTCCTCGATTTAGGATTTAGTGACTGTTTGAAGTTACAACGGCACTGAAAAAAGTTGGCTTATGACCGTTTTTCACACTTATGGACCGTCGCAGCATCCCCAGGGTCATGTTGTATAGGTAGTCCTCGACTTAGTGTCAACTCACAAAGCATCCCTGGCCTGCTCTCAAGTTGCCATAGGCAAAGGGGATGGGAAACCAACAAAACAGCATGGCAGCCAAAGACAGATGCACATTCCAGACTTATCTCTCTCAAGGTTGTCTCCCAGGGTTACCCACAGCGGCCGGAGGGGAATGGTTTCTACAACCCGCGAAATTGCTCCCTTGGCGAGTGTGATTGATGACACACTGGGCGGGGGGGGGAAACAGGGTCATGATTGGGGCGTAAATTACGTAGGGTCAGAGCTGGCTTCACTTGGGAACGTGCCTACATGAAGCTCCTTATAAATAACTGGATTTTTTTTTGAAGCTTGGCTCGAGGCTACTGATTTAATTAGGGCATCCGTCAAAACCCTGACACTTAGGAGAGTTCATTTAGTGACTGTTTGAAGTTACAACGGCACTGAAAAAAGTTGGCTTATGACCATTTTTCACACTTATGGACCGTCACAGCATCCCCCCAGCATCATGTGATCACAATTTGCTTGGCAATTGACTCATATTTATGACAGTTGCAGTGTTCCGGGGTCTCATGATCCCTTTTTGTTTTCTTCCTCCCCCAACCACTATTTTTAACATGCCCAGCAACTGTGTAGTTGCTCCCACTTTTTGCATTTTACAAGATAATCCAATCAGTGCTTGAAGCATTCAAATGCAAATTTTCAGGCTCTTCTTTTGCAGTGGGTGGGATTTTCCCTCACTGCCACCCCCTTACATACTTCTTTCCTTTTGGAAATTTTTCCAAATGTTTTTAAAATGGCTTTTTTTTTTTTTTTTTTTTGCAAGAAGGAATGAAAGAGAAAAAGGATTGAAACGACAAAAGGTTAAAGGAAATAGAAACAGGATGCAAGGAGAGTCGGAATGGGGAGAGATAAATACAGGGACTGATCTCTCTCTCTTTCAAAAAAAAAATTCACCTCCAAATCTCTGCGAGATGGATCGTGATTTGCAAAAAACAAGTTTCCTGTTGTTGTTTTTAAGTGGAAGATAATAAAACAATAGGTACTGTAATCTAAGCTAGAGAGTTTTGGAAGTCTTAAAAAGCGACAAGGTATTGAAAGCAAACTTCACCAATCCTGAAGAGGCAGGGGGTGGAGTAATGCAAATCTAAAACCAAAGGCGAAAGCAGAAAGTCCCCAAATTTGTCACAATCGAGGAAAATCTATAAATTCTGCAGATCATCGTAACCGGAAGGAGTTCCTTCTGGTGGGATTTGGAAACGATGCGTTTTCAGAGGATACTCCTAAGAGCAGGAGCTGACCTGACTTAGCTTTAGCACTTAGCCTGAACGCAACTCTGATGTTGTCTCACAAACCTCAAATTTCAAGAGAAGGGAAGCCGTTGGCATCCCTCCCACCGTCGGGTATCGCTTCTCGGCCTTTTGGCTAAGATCAAGTGTAGTATCTGTTCTTATCAGTTTAATATCTGATATGTCCTCTATCTGAGGACTGTGTATTAAATGTGTTTTTGGAACTGGGAGATGGACTAGGGGCTTGCTCCATCCACTCCACGCATTGACCTGGTATTGCAGTGCCTCCAGGGACAGTGCCCCCTCCCCTAAATTGGTTCAAAGTTAGATTTGAATTGTCTTTCTTTCCTTTTGCTTTATTTTTTTCTTCTTTCTTTGTTCTATATTTTCTTCCTACTTCTTTTCCATCCTTATCTACATCTCCTTCTGTTCCTTTTTCCACCATTCAACTTCTACTTCTATTTTCCTTTTACTTCCTTTCCTATTTTCTTTCCACCCCTTCTCCATTCACTTCTACTTCGTGTCCCTTTCTTCTTCTTCCTTTATTTCATTTCCTTCCATGTTTTCTTTCTATTCATCCTCTCTCCATATTTATTTCCGCTTCTCCTCCTCTTCTTATTCCTTTCTTCTCCTTTCACCTCATCTTCTCTTTCTACTTTTCTTTCTTTCTCTTTCTTTCTTTCTTTTTCTTTCTTTCTTTCTCTCTCTTCTTCGTGTATTATATTTCTGAGTGAAAGATGATAGATAGATATAGATGATAAATAGATAAATGATAGATAGGCTAGCTAGCTACATAGACACACACATACACAAATGATAGATAGATGATAGATAGATAGATAGATAGATAGATAGATAGATAGAAGCTAGCTAGCTAGCTAGCTACATAGACAGACAGATGATATAGATATTTATTTATTGTAGTTATTTATTGGTTCGATTTATATGCGGCCCTTCTCCGGAGACTCAGGGCGGCTTACAATGCGTTAAGCAATAGCCTTCATACTTTTGTATATACCTGCTTAGTAGGGCTTTCGCCCCCCCCAAGCCGTATTCTTTTTTATACAAAGTCAGCTTATTGCCCCCACAATCCGGGTCCTCATTTTACCTACCTCGGAAGGATGGAAGGCTGAGTCAACCTTGAGCCTGGTGAGATTTGAACTTGCAGTAATTGCAGGCAGCTGGTGCTACTTAACAGCACTTTAGTCTGCTGCGCCACCAAGGCTCTGATAGGTGATAGATAGATAGATAGATAGATAGATAGATAGATAGATAGATAGATGCTAGTTACATACACACACAGAGAGAGATGATAGAGATAGATAGATAGATGATAGATAGATAGAAAGAAGCAAGCTACATACACACACAGAGAAAGAGATGATAGAGATAGATAGATAGATAGATAGATAGATAGATAGATAGATAGATAGAAAGAAGCAAGCTACATACACACACAGAGAGATGATAGAGATAGATAGCTAGATAGATAGATAGATAGATAGATAGATAGATAGATAGATAGATAGAAGCTAGCTAGCTACATAGACACACACGCACACACAAATGATTGATAGATGATAGATAGATAGATAGATAGATAGATAGATAGATAGATAGAAGCTAGCTAGCTAAATAGACAGACAGACACATGATAGATAGATAGAGAGACGGAGAGATAGAGAGGTATAAACTTCCTCTGTGCATGGTATTTGTGTTTTTCAGATAAAACATTACTGGAAGAGATTCATTCTCCTTACGAGACTTTGCTACTTAGGATGTTTTTGACCTACCTGATTTACCTGTCCTTCCACATTTATCACAAGGATTTTGAGTAAGTAGAGTGCAATTGATGAGCTGGTAACGCCGTTTGAGTCCCTCTGCCCAGGTCTATCCGGATCGATAGGCACATCTGCCTGGAGTTTCTAGACGTGCCTCCAGTTTAGATGGGTTTAAAATCTCCAATTTATGGAGATTTTACACCTGGAGAAATAGGTTGTACGGTCAACTTTTTGCTTGCTGTTTGATAAATGCCGATGATCTCAATCACAACAGGAGCCACAGATGAGGAATGTGGGCAGTGGTTGCGTTTTATCACATCAAGGCCACAAGTTCATTGCCACTGATCTAAGTGAATCTGGGCTCTTATCACCAGTTTAATCCCGAGCTGATCTGATTAAGAATGTAAATTGGCACCACTGCACCCAAGCATAAATCATGCTTTGATGCTTTGATGATTTTTGACCTCATCGTCCTCTTGAAAGCAGCATCCCTTCTCACGTGTAGCAGATGTATCTTCTAGGGGCACTTAATTTACCATCTGCACTTAATTCTCAGGGCAGGCTTTATATTATTATTTTTCTAGTGCGGTCCCATTAATTGAAGTGGCTTTTTATTTTGTTAAAGCTATGGTTTTCCACTTCTGAATCAGGGGTGCTAATTCAGCAGGTTCTGACCAGTTCTGGAGAACCGGTAGCGGAAATTTTGAGTAGTTTGGAGAACCGGCAAATCCCACTTCTGACTGGCCCCACCCCCATCTATTCTCTGCCTCCCGAGTCCTAGCTGATTGGGAGGAAGTGGGGATTTTGCAGTATCCTTCCCCTGGAGTGGGGAGGGAATGGGGATTTTGCAGTATCCTTTCCCCAGGAGTGGGGTGGGAATGGGGATTTTGCAGTATCCTTCCCCCAGGAGTGGGGTGGGAATGGGGATTTTGCAGTATCCTTTCCCCAGGAGTGGGGTGGGAATCCCTTCTCTGGAAACTCAGGGCGGCTTACAATGCGTTAAGCAATAGCCTTCATACTTTTGTATATTTTATTTATTTATTTATTTATTTATTTATTTATTTGATCAAATTTCTATACCACCCTACTCCCGAAGGACTCAGGGCGGTGAACAGGCACAAAATAAAACACATAGATACAAAAGTTAAGAGCAGAATTAAAACCAAATTAAATATTTGAGCCCAAGACAATTTAAAACATCCCAAAAATTTAGAACAAATTTAAAATTTCAATTTAAATTTAAAAATTAAAAAATTAAAAGGGGGAAAGGTCAGGCCAGGCCTGCTTGCTGAAATAGAAAGGTGTTTAGAGCGCGGCGGAAAGTGTGCAGGTCCGGGATTTTATACAAAGTCAGCTTATTGCCCCCCACAATCTGGGTCCTCATTTTACCTACCTTAGAAAGGATGGAAGGCTGAGTCAACCTTGAGCCTGGTGAGATTCGAACTTACAGTAATTGCAGACAGCTGATGTTAATAACAGCACTGTTAATAACAGTGCTTTGGTCTGCTGCGCCACCAGGCTCTTCCCCAGGGAATGGGGATTTTGCAGTATCTTTCCCCAGGAGTGGGGTGGGAATGGGGTTTTTGCAGTATCCTTCCCCTGGAGTGGGGTGGGAATGGAGATTTTGCAGTATCCTTTCCCTGCCACGCCCACAGAACCGGTAGTAAAAACATTTGAATTCCATCACTGTTCTGAATCTGGCCCAACTTTCTCTCACTCAACCCTCTTCAGATTGAGCTGGAACCAAACTCCCAGAATTAAGTTTTGGACCAAGCTGAGTATGGAAAGAACCAGGTTGGGTTGACTCCTGAATGCATCTCACCACTTAACGTAACGGGGATAGCCTTTCAGGTGTAAAACCGAACTGACCTTGATTTCCCCCCACACGCACACACCCCTGAATTTTTGAACCTGTTTTTGTCGACTTTTCCAATAGCAACCTTATAACGGTGGTCTTCTCTAACCCTAGTGACACAAGTCCTCGCCTGTTCAAGTGCTTCTCCAAGCTGATGGTCAAGAATATTTGTCCTTACGCCTGCCGTACCAAAGGTAGGGCCAACTTTTGCATGGCTGGTGGGCAGTGGTGAAATCCTCCGTGAGTTGCCACTGGTTCGTTGCATGCGCGGTGCGTGTCAAATGCACCCTGTGCGGGCATGCGCTGTGCACACCAAACACACGCTTTGCGCGGAAAATGTAAAGGTAAGTAGAACAGCGGTGGGGGGGGACAGCACAATTTAGATTCGCTAGAAAGCAGGATTTTCTGCTTTCTAGCAAATATAAATCACACGGCACAGCTGATCGTTGGAAATACCCGTTCGGACCAACCGGTAGCTTTTTTTTTTTTTTACTACCAGTTTGCCCGAACTAGGGCGAACCGGTAGCATTTCACCCCTGCTGGTGGGTTTTCTGACCTTCTCCACTTTCCTCTCCTATGTTGACCAATCCATTAATATCCATGTACTAACCAGCTAAGGAGCACAATGGCTCACATGGTTAGGATGCTAGGGTGCGGGTTAGCAAGCCCACGTTCGAGTCCCAAGTGCTGCCGTCGGGCAGGGTTGAGCTCCTGTCCTTCACTCCAGCTCCTGCCAGAGTCATGAAAGGAGCCCCCAACTGGGTATCCCCGGGGCAAAAGTGACGTCACCAGCTACTCCTTTCAACCCAGAAGCATCTGGGTTGAGTGCTATATTAATCATCTCACCTTCTCCTCACTTTCCCAGGCATTTTGTTCAGCGACCGACAGCAAGCCGTCTACGCGCTCAGTTACATCGATAAGTGCTGGGAGGTTTTCCAGGCGTTCTGTAGACCGAGCACCCTACCTCCTTACGAACCTACAATGAAGATGAGACACTTCATTTGGATGCTGGAAGTAATCTTAACTCTCAGAAATTTAGCAGCAGATCTTTAGCTAACCTTGACCAATCTGATCTTATGGAATATCAAGGTCGCACGATCTAATCTGGGTCAGTCACAGGGATCCAGTGACTGACCCAGATTGGATCTTGCAACATTCTCCGGGGCATGTTTTGCCATCATTTGCCTTCATTTGTAATATGTATAATTTGTAAAATCCAGAGGCTTTTAAAGGCATTGTTTTTTCCTACAACCTCTTCGGCTGAAGAGGTTGTAGAAAAAATGCTTTTAAAAGCCTCTGACGATCCCAGCTAAGCCGCGCGATCATCTTTTTCTTTTTACTTTTAAAAGCATTTTTTTGGCCAAAGAGGTTGTAGAAAAAATGCTTTTAAAAGTAAAAAAAAATAAAAGAGCCTCTGATGATTGCGTGGCTCAGTTGGGCATGGGGGGGGTGGGCAGGGATTTTTGCTACCGGTTCTCCGAATCACCCACCACCATCGCTACCAGATCGGGCAATCCTGTCCGAACTGGGACCGTTTCACCCCTGGCTTAAAGGTCACATGCAACGGAAGGGCTAAAGAAATAATATTGGAAGGCCCGAAAGGCCAGCTTGGAGATAGATCATCCTAGAAATTCTATGTCACTGCTAAGAGGGGGCACCAACATGGTGGCTCATAAATCAGTCATCAAAATGCACTTCTTAACACAACGATGGCTAAAACTAACCATCCATCTTTGCTGTTTTTTCTGTCTTCAGGATTTAAGACTCATCAGCAAACAACTAACAGCTACCAAGGTTGTGAACATTCTGGCCAAAGACAATCCTTTCGTCTCGGATGCAGAGACCGTTAATTTGGAGCACGAGGTATGAACGTAAGAGAGTTTGGGATGGACAGTTTGGCAACAGCAAGACCATTTCAAGGAAAAGGTTTCGAGCAGAATAGAGCCGGAAGGGACTGTTCTGTCCCCAACCCCATGCACACACACCAACAGACGTTCAAGAGTTAAAGACCAAACTAGCCGGCAAAATCCTTTTCCTTATGATAACGGAACTTGGCAACAACGTAGTGGCTGCCTGCCAAGAGTTTATTATTTACGAAGAGGAGAGATAACTTCTCCCCACTTCTGGTACATCAAAAGAAACAGCTCAATAATTACGGAGTTAATCAAGTCCAGAGATAATCCAGCAAAGTCTATAGCAAAAGTCCGGCAATGCAGAATGGCGTGGAAGCTTTCAGCTTTGTTTGTCACAAGGTTTGACTGGCCACCACGCTCCCTTTTATATCCTGTGGGGTGTGGTCCAGTGACTCGGCCTAATCTCGAGCATGCCTTTTCTTCTGTTGTGCGCGCTTATCTCTGCGACGCTGGCGTGGATCCAGCCAAGACTCATTACCCTCATCACTGTCCATCTGTGGCTGCGTGGACGTGCTTGGCCCCGGCCCTATCTCTTGCCCTTTGGCGGACACCGAAGGCATTGCCAGAGAGGAGGGTCCTGGAGAGGGAGGCCTTGCCAACTCCTCTCCTTCACTCTCGGAGTCCTCTCCTGCCGATGACACAGGTTCAGATAACGGAGCCACAACAGGGACCTTGGAGGTCTTCTAGTCCAATTGAATTCTTCAGCCTATTATATCCACAATATTTTGCTGGTCTACTCATTTGTCAAGAATGGGATGAGATTGGTTTGGCACGTTCTGCTTTTCACAAACCTGTGCTGGCTTCTAGTTATAACTTTATTTGTTTCTAGATGTTTGCAGATCTGGGTTTCCCCCCCCCCCCCCATTATCTTTTCCAGTATCTTCCCAGGTATTGATGTATTGAGTGCAACCTTAAGCACTCAAAGAGCCATTTGGACCCGTTTCCCACAGAAAAGAAAACATCGGAAGCCACAAAACCTGGGTGGGCGTGGCCAACTCGATGTCACTCATTTCCACCAGTCACATGACCCACCCCCCCCAGCCACGCCTACCCAGCCGATCATTAGGGCAGAGAACCAGTTGTTAAAAAACACCGGGAACCACAAAACCCTTTGACATCTCTCTCTCTCCCTTCCCTCCCTCCCTCCCTCCCTCCCCTCTCTCTGTATCTCTCTATGTCTCTCTCTCTCTCTCTGTATCTATGTCTCTCTCTCTCTCTCTCCCTCTCTCTCTGTATCTCTCTGTTTCTCTCTCTCTCTCTGTATCTCTCTATCTCTCTCTCTCTCTCTCTCTCTGTATCTCTCTATGTCTCTCTCACCCTCTCTCTGTATCTCTCTGTCTCTCTCTCTCTCTCTGTATCTATGTCTCTCTCTCTCTCTCCCTCTCTCTCTGTATCTCTCTGTCTCTCTCTCTCTCTCTCTCTCTATGTCTCTCTCACCCTCTCTCTGTATCTCTCTGTCTCTGCCTCGGCCGCTTCTCCATCCCCCACTGTTGCCCTTACCTTCTCAGCCCAGGCAAGGAGTGACTGGGAGGGGAGGACGAGGGGCGGGGCCAGCCAGTGGTGAGATCACCCGACAGGGAGCCACAGCAGAGGGCCCAAAGAGCCGCATGTGGCTCCGGAGCAGCAGGTTGCTGACCTCTGTGTTAGGATGATTGGCCTGTAGTTTCCAGGGTCTATTTTTTTTTCTACCAAGGTCACTTGGTAGAGAAAGTGATGGGGGTTTGGGTCAGTGGTGAAATTCAAAAATTTTCCCTACCGGCTCTGTGGGCATGGCTTGGTGGGTGTGGCTTGGTGGTCATGTGACTGGGTGGGTGTGGCTTGGTGGTCATGTGATCGGGAAAACCAACTATCACACTTTACACAAAAATAACACAAAAGCTACACAACTGACTCACACACTGTGCAAAAGCAGCTGGACTTCACACAAAATGGCCCTTGCAACAAGCAGGAACCTCACAGAGTCATAGAGAGCTCAAAAACCAACTATCACACTTTACACAAAAATACCGGTTCGGGCAATAGGTAGTAAAAAAAAAATGCTTTAAAAAGTAAAAAAAAAGTTCCGTGGATGGTGCAACACAGCTGATTGTCACAGCTGATTGTTGAAACTTTTTTTTTTTTAACTTTTTTAAAGCATTGTTTTTACTACCTATTGCCCAAACCGGTAGTTTAAAAAAAAATGCTTTAAAAAAGTTTTTAAGAAGTTCAGGGGATCAGCTGTGCCACGCAATTGGTGGAACTTTTTTTTTTACTTTTTAAAGCATTTTTTTAAAACTACCGGTTCGAGCGAACCGCCCCAAACCGGTAACATTTCACCCCTGGTTTGGGTAACTCAGGAGGGCCTTTTGCACGTTGGATTTGAATTTGAGACCCTCGATCGTCGTAAGCCCATTTGCTTACGGAAGGGGTCTCCTTCCGCTGTGGAAGCTCAGCCTGGTCCTCAGATCTGATTCCCTGCCAGGATCTTATCCCTGAATCTTTCTCCAGCAGAACTTCTCTTGACTTCTTTGCCCGGCCTTGTCTTCTTTGGTTTCTCTTTCAGCTTGTCTTCCTTGAGTTCTTCGAAGCTCTGGTAGACTGTGCCCTTCTTTATGTCACCGATGAGATGTTGAAGCAACAGGCCGAAGAGGTGGCCCAAGCAATCACCGCTTCTTACAGACCAGATGAGTTGCCTGACAGGAGCGAAGCTGCCTCCCTGCCTCCCGAATTGGCTTCTCCTCAGGTTAGTCCAGCTCTGGTTCCTTGAATGTCCCTTTTTTTAAAAAAAAAAAAGAAAAGTTTTTTTACGCACGGTCACTCAGGCACTCGTCACTTCCCGCCTGGACTACTGCAACGCTCTCTACATGGGGCTCCCCCTGGGGTGCACCCGGAGGCTCCAGCTGGTCCAGAACGCGGCCGCGTGGGGGATTATGGGGGCGACGAGGCACTCCCACGTAACACCTCTCCTGCGCGAGCTGCACTGGCTCCCGGTGGTCTTCCGGGTGCGCTTCAAGGTGTTGGTGACCACCTTTAAAGCACTCCATGGCTTAGGGCCGGGGTATCTACGAGACCTCCTTCTGCCACCAATAGCCTCCCACCGGCCAGTACGCTCGCACAGAGTGGGCCTCCTCAGGGTGCCGTCCGCCAGACAATGTCGGCTGGCGACCCCCAGGGGGAGAGCCTTCTCTGTGGCGGCGCCCACCCTCTGGAACAACCTCCCCCCAGAGATACGTACAATAACAGACCTCCGGATTTTTCGTCGGGCCCTGAAAACCCATTTATTTCAACTAGCTGGGCTGGCTTGAGTCAAATTTTAAATTGATTTTAAATTGGGTTGTTTTAATTTACGGCCAAAATATTTAATTATTTTTAACTGGTTTTAAATTTTGTATGTATTGTTTTTTACTTTGGCTGTTCACCGCCCTGAGTCCTATTTTGGAGAAGGGCGGTATAGAAATTTAAAAAAATTAAAAAAAAAATATTAATAATACAGTTAAAAACATTGGACATGGTTTGACATTTCTGGTTTAGACATCAAAGTGCGTTGTGGAAAACCAGCCAGCAACTGTCTTGTGGGAATGCAGCTATTGACAATATGCCAAGCTGTGGTTGATGAGAGATGTGTTTCTCCAAGATGGTTGCTGAGAGGCTGTCAGGTTTCGGTGCTATCTCAAAATAAATGAATTTCCAAACTGCCGATCTTTGAGGAAATTTTCTCTTTATTGAGCACAGCGATCTGATCCTGGCTCTTTCGCGGTCAGTACTGACCTTTACCCCCCCAATCCCTCCCTTTCCGATCCCCAATTCTCTGCTTCTCATTGGCTATCTTCCAAGCCACTTTCCTCATCTCTTCTTCGTCAGATCACAGGAATGTCTCCCCCCCCTCCCATCTCCGAGGAGACAGAATCTTCATAGAGATTTAGTAGGCAAAAGTTCAAGCTTCTCCTCTCTTTGTATATGTCAGTGCTGGGATGCTGACAGAGGCGCTGTGTGGCCTAGCCCTGGCCAGATTTTGGGGACAGGAGAGGAAAACGAGGTGCCTTTGCTTCCTTTTTCTAGTCACACTGTGTTCTGTTTTCAACCTCTAGTCCGTTCATACTAGAAGCACCAGCAGCGACGAAGCAAGCACCGAAGCCACGGACGCTGGCACCGTCCAACTTAGCTCCAAAAGTTCCTCAAGCAAGATTGTGCATTTCGAAGTGGGCAAGACCAAAAAATCGGAAGGCCATAAAAAGGGAAGTCAAATGAAGGGAAGTGAACTGCTCTGCTGTCCCAACCCTCCAAGATGAGAGCAACGGAATATCACAGTTGGAAGGGACCTCGGAGGTCTTCTAGCCCAGCGATCACCAACTGGTGGTCCGTGGACCACCGGTGATCCGCGAGAAAATTTTGGTGGTCCGCAGGAAAAAATTATTTGCATTTTTAATATTGCACTAAATCAGAGGTCCACAAACTGCGGCCCCTGGGCCGGATATGTGCAATGAACGTTTGTGTTGAGAGTCTTCTCCCTTCGGGGTCTTCTTGTGTGGATCGGAGGGGGGCAGAAATTCCGATTTGGGGTCTGCTTCGGCCACCTGGGGTTTTGGGCGAAGGCTGGAGGGAAGCACCGCTGGTGGCGAAGAGCCGGAGGGCCTCGTTCCAGTGGGACTGCATCATGGCCTGGAACTGGCTGACCATCTCAGCCTGCTGAGCCTCCAGGTGCCGATACCTGGCCTTGCACTCCCGCAGGTCCTCCTTCTGCTTGGAAAGCCTATGCTCCTAGTCCTCAGTGAGGTGCTTCTGCTGAGCCTCCTTTTCAGCCAGATCCAATTCGAACTGAGCTGTTTTGCCAACTCTTTCTCGTGGTGGCTGCTTAGCTCCAACATCTGCTTCCTGTTGGGGCCCTAAGGAGCCCGGACGGGGAGGGGAGGAGTGGCTGGCAGGGGAGGGGCGAGTAGAGGCCGACGAGGTGCTCCTCAATGTGAGTGACATCGAGTTGGCCACGCCCATCCAATCACATGACTACCTAGCCACGCCCACCCAGCCGGTCATTAGGCAGATCATATTAGTGGTCTGCCGAATTTAAAATTATGAATTTAGTGGTCCCTGAGGTCCGAAAGGTTGAGGACCCCTGTTCTAGCCCAACCCAATTTATTAATGTTGATATTCTGATATCATAATCACATGCTGGGCTCCTAGCGGAATCCAAGGGGAGAAATACATTTACCAATAGAAGAGAATATTGGGAAAGGTTGAACTGTGGGGTCCTCAGTGATCTCTGAGCTTGGTTTTTTTCTTGCAGACGTTTCATTACCCACCTAGGTAACCTCATCAGTGCTTGAAAAGAGTGGAGTTTGCAGAGTAGAGGAAGAGGAGGAGAGGGGGGAGAAGGACAATGACTGTAGGATCCTTGGTGCTCTCTGAGCTTGGTTATTTCCTTGTAGACATTTCATTACCCAACTAAGCAGTATCATCAGTGCTAGAAGAGAGTGGGGTTTGCAGAGGGGAGGAAGGAGGAGGAGGAGGAGGAGGAAGAGGAAGAGGGGAAGGACAATGACTGTGGGATCCTCGGTGCTCTCTGAGCTTGGTTATTTCCTTACAGACATTTCATTACCCAACTAGGTAACCTCATCAGTACTAGAAGGAAATGAGGTTACATTTAACAACTATCCTTAGCTCTACTCGTGGCAATTCAAAAGGGATGAATTGAGGGGAATCCGCACATCGTTTTCTTGAGGAGAAACATCACAACGTGTCCTTCTCTAGCACTCCTTCTTTCTCTGTGGTGCCAGGCTAAATTTTTCTAACCCTTCCTTCCTCCGATTCCCGATTTATCACCTTTTTCTTTTTTTACCTTTTCTTTTCTCAGAAAGGGAAAAGCAAGGAGGGGAAGAAAGAGGAGAAATCCCACAAAGGAAAGTCCCACGGCAAAGAAAAGCCCGCTTCCGCTCAAAGTGAGTGTGAGACATCCAGGCGGTATAATCTACGAACTTTGGACCGGCTCTCCGGAGAAATAAATGAGGGCGGAATGAAGAGTTTGCCCTTTCCTGAGATGATGTTCCTGGTAGAACAATTGCACCAGGGAAGTTGTCCTTGTGAAAGTCAGGCTCAAAGAACCAAGAACAACACAAGGAGTTATTTCGGAGTAGTTTCTTTATTGCTATTCACCTACAGACAGAATCTTGCCAAATTAAAGCAACCACAGAGGAGAATCTTGCCAGAGAAAAGCAACTACAGACACAATCTTGCCAGAGAAAAGCAGCTATCTGCTGTTGTGACCTAGGCTTACTGAGTAAGCCTTACAAGACACAATTAATCCCAAACAAACCTATTTTATTGTAACAGCTGAGAATTACGTTCATTCCCAGCTGAGTCCCAATTAGTTGCAAAACAAGTCCTTTGGAAGAATAATCACCAACCTTTATCTTCTTTGACACCCTGCCAAAGGCCTTACTTGGCAAAGCCCTACACAGTTCAGAAACAAACAAGAGATGCCGACTGGAAACAGAGTTAGCAACGTTGCTTTCCTGCAAAAAGCCCCAAGTGCCTTTGTTTCTCTTTTAAGCCTTATGGGAGGGGCCAATTATCTCCTGGCCTTACTCCTGAGTTGTCCCTTTTGCTTGCTGCTCTTGCCTTCTGGCAGCTCTGCGCATGCGTGCACTAGGAACAGGCTCCTCCTGTTCCTCTGCCTCTCTGCTGTCCGACTCTGGGGGCTCCGGAGTCCGTGCATCACTCCCAGATGGCCCTGGCCCCATCTCTGCCTCTGACTCAGAGCCCTCGTCCAGGCCTTCTCCAGACTCCAGGACTGGCCCATGTTCCTCCCCAGCCTCCTCACTGTCCGACTCCACTGCCAGCTCCGCAGGCTGCTGGCGGACCACAACATCTGCATAAGTATAGATATACAAGTAGTGCTCAATTTACGTCCACAATTTCTGTTGTTAAGTGAGACATTTGTTAAGCGAGGCTTGCCCCGTTTTACGACCTTTCTTGCCCCAGCTGTTAAGTGAATCCCTTCAGTTGATAAAGTTAGCAACCTGGTTGTTAAGGGAATCCGGCTTTCCCGTTCACTTGGCTCGTCAGAAGGTTGCAAAAAGGAATCCCATGACCCCAGGACTCTGCGACTGTCATAAATACGAGTTGGTTGAATTTTGATCACATGAACAATGGGGATGCTGCAAAGGCGGTAGCTGTGAGAAATGGTCATAAGTCACTTTTTTTTCCGTTGTAACTTTGAACGGTCCTTAAATGAACTGCTGTTAAGTCGAGGACTACCTGTAATGGGGAAAGGCATCACGAGTCTGTGTTTTTTTCAACATAACTGGAGGCTTCCCTCCACACACACACACACCCGAAGGCAAAGCATTGTTTGATTATTCATTAGTTCTGTTTTGTTCGTTTTTTTTCCTTTCAGGCGTAACTGTGAATGTCGTGTTTTCTCCCATCCCGGAAGAGAAAGAAGCAGTCATTGGGCCTCCGCCAAGAAGTGAGCCGGATAAAAGCCTCCGTACTCCAATGAAGGAATTAGCAGGTGTGAGATTTGCAAGGTGTTTTTGGAAACAAAGCAGGGGTGGAATCCAGCAGGTTCTGACAGGTTCTGGAGAACCGGTAGCGGAAATTTTGAGTAGTTTGCAGAACCGGCAAATACCACCTCTGGCTGGCCCCAGGACTGGGGTAGGAATGGAGATTTTGCAGTATCCTTCCCCCAGGAGTGGGGAAGGAATGGGGATTTTGCAGTATCCTTCTCCTGGAGTGGGATGGGAATGGGGATTTTGCAGTATCCTTCTAGATAGATAGATGATAGATAGATAGATAGATTAGATAGATAGATAGATAGATAGATAGAGATAGATAGATAGATATACTGTAGATAGATTCAATAGATAGATAGATAGATAGATGATAGATAGATAGATGATAGATAGATAGAGATACTGTAGATAGATTCAATAGATAGATAGATAGATAGATAGATAGATAGATAGAAGATAGATAGATAGATAGATAGATAGATAGATAGATAGATAGATAGACAGACAGACAGACAGACAGATAGATGATAGAGATAGGTAGGTAGGTAGGTAGATAAGAGAGAGAAAGAGAAAGAGAAAGGGGGGGAATAATAGATATAGATATACAATTTCTGGATTTGGATGAGTTTTGTCCAAAGCAACACATTTTTTTTTTTTTACTTTAGTTCCAAAATTCCCCCTTTGAAATGGATTTTCCAGGCTATCTTATTAGACAGTCGGAAATATACATTGGATAAATGTGTATTTCTGCAAGCATCGATGTTCTCACAGGAGGGCAGTAAAGGAATATCCGAGGAGGATATTACAAGCTTCTCTTCCTGAGCTTTGCAGGGTGCATCATGCAAAGGATGCGTAGGTCAGAGCATCCATCCAGAGGTAGAAGTGTTCGAGGCATAGATTCATTTCAGTTCAATTTTTCCTGATCAGTTTTTTTTTGGGGGGTGGGGGGGAATTCTTTTCAAAATCACTTGATTGATGAATTAATTTATTTCTTGATTAGCCCTTGGGCCATATCAAAGTGCAGAGTTCCAGAAACAAATCACTTGATTGATGTGGAGGCATTTAAATTTGGTACTGCAATTGGTATCCGTAATCTGATTGGGGTGGGGTGAGGAGGAGGATTTTGTAGTTCCATTGCTTTGGTCAAAGTAGCTTTCAAACCAACTGCAAGTTAAAGTTTAGCCCCCACAAAGGGTGTTATCTTATCCATGCAAGGCAGAGGGAGCTCTTATCGGAAAAAAATATAGAGGAAGAATGTGGAAAATGACACCGTCCAGCTTTCCCTGGTTGTCAACAGCATGCCAGATTAGCTGTATCCTCTCCTAGGGAGCCAGTTTGGTGTAGTGATGAAGGCATCAGGTTAGAAACTGGGCGACCGTGAGTTCTAGCCCCACCTTAGGCATGAAAGTCAGTTGGGTGACTTAGGGCCAATCACCAGGAAGTTGTGAATTCTAGTTCTGCCTTAGTCATCCAGGCTGGATGGGTAACTTTGGGCCAGTCACTAGGAGACTGTGAGTTCTAGCCCCACCTTAGCCATGAAAGCCAGTTGGGTGACTTAGGGCCAATCACCAGGAAGTTGTGAATTCTAGTTCTGCCTTAGCATGAAAGCCACCTTGGGCCAATCACCAGGCGATGGTGAATTCTAGTTCTGCCTTAGGCATGAAAGCCAGCTGGGTGACTTTGGGCCAAACACCGGAGACTGTGAGTTCTAGTCCTACCTTAGTCATCCAGGCTGGATGGGTGACTTTGGGCCAGTCACTAGGAGACTGTGAGTTCTAGCCCCACCTTAGGCATGAAAGCCAGTTGGGTGACTTTGGGCCAATCACCAGGAAGTTGTGAATTCTAGTTCTGCCTTAGGCAAGAAAGCCAGCTGGGTGATTTTGGGCCAAACACCAGGAGACTGTAAGTTCTAGTCCCACTTTAGGCATGAAAGCCAGCTAGGTGACCTTGGGCCAAACACCAGGAGACTGTGAGTTCTAGTTCTACCTTAGCCACAAAGGCAGCCGAGTGACCTTGGGCCAGCCCATTTCTCCCAGCCCTAGGAAAGATGCAATGGCAAACTGCTTCTGAAAAAAACCTTGCCAAGAAAACCGCAGAGTTTTATCCAGACAATCTCCGACAAACAAGATACGATTGAACAGAAGAAGAAGAAAAAAATCTAGGCTACTTGGGACTTCTTTTCTGGTGAATTGTTGGCAAAAGCTTGACTTCTACCCATTCCGCGTGGTTTTATATAAAGGTACTTCCTTCCTGCTACCATTCGGTTGGTTTGTTTGTTTGTTTCCCCTTTTCCAGAAAAGCTCGAAAAAGAGAAAAACGAGGAAAAAGACAAGCTCAACCTCTGGATGAGTCAGATGTACGTTTTCTTTGTCAAAAACTTTTTCGCCAACTACAGGAACTTGCAGCTGGTGAACAAAACCATCATCGATAACAGAGCTCGAGAAGTGGAACTCTTAATCCTGAGGCAAAAACAAGAGGAGGAGGAAGAAGCCAAGTAAGCCACTGTGGTTTGTTTGACGTGGAATACGGGTGGGTGGGTGGGTTGCGGGGGGGAGGAGGGGTTCTGAAGGTAACCAAGGTGGTGACCACAACCTGACGGTTTCTCCATACGGCCAACCATCCGTGGTCCCAAGTTGGGTTGATTTGGATCAAAGCTGTAGCACAAGGGTCAGAGGTGGGTTTCAGCAGGTTCTGACCAGTTCTGGCGAACTGGTAGCGGAAATTTTGAGTAGTTCGGAGCTTCGTTTTCGCTGGCAGGAGCGCTGCAGGAGGCCGTCACAGCCGAAAACGGCGCTCGGGAGGGCCATACATTTTCTCGGGAGGGCCGCTCCATTTTCGCTGGCAGAGGCACCGTGGGGTCAGTCCTTCATTGTTTCCAAGGCGGCCCCGCTGGCCAGATCTAAGCAGCCTGTGGGGCAGATCCGGCCCCCGGACCTTTAAGTTTGACGCCCCTGCTCTAGACCTTCCTATTTGGAAAACAGTGGTTTTAGGTCAAAACCAGGGGTGGGCTGCTGGGGGTTCGCAGGAGAAGCTAAGATTCTGTGCCGTTTGGAGAAACCCCACATCCCACTCCTGGCTGGCCCCGCCCACCCCTCCCCTCCCCAGGGCCCGTTTTGGATGCAGGTAAGTGCAGGGCGTGTGCAGAGGGCGGAAAACGGGCCTACCGGAAGATTGGGCCTGTTTCCGGCCTCCAGAGGGCCTCCGGAGCCTGAGGAGGATGTTTTCGACTTCCCGGTGGCTTGAGGAAAGCCTCCTGAGCCTGGGGAGGGCAAAAACGTGCAGGAGGCCAACTAGGCCACGCCCACCGTGGCCACGCCCACCCAGCAACCACCCGACCTGTAGTTTAGGGTTCAAAAACCCTGACAGATCTCCTCGGTTTTGGTTTGACAGGCTCAAGGCTCTGAAGGAGGCCGAGGAGGCCCGAAAATTAGAAGAAGCGGCAGCTGAAAAAGCAGCCTTGGAACTGGAGGAAACTCTGACTCGAGAAATGGAGGAAAACCTGAGCCAGGTCCAATCCCCTCCGAAAGAAGATTCTCCTACTTTGCTCCAGAGCACGGCCACCAAGGCAGCCATGGCATGGAAGAAGAAGAAAAAGTGAGAAGAGCCGCACGGCCGCCGTTACAGCCAGTCCTCGACCAACGACCGCCATTGAGCCCGACACTTCTGTCGCTGAGCGAGACAAGTCGTTGGGTTTTGCCCCATTTTGCGACCTTTCCGGCCACAAGTTCTTAAGCGAATCGCTGCGGCCGTTAAAGTTAGCAACGCGGTTGTTGAAAGGAACCTGGTTTCCCCGTTGACTTTGCTCGTCAAAAGGTCACAAAAAAAAAAAACCCACACGACTCCGGGGACGCTCCAACCGTCGCTAAGTCCATGCCAGTTGCCAAGCCTCTGGATTCTGATCACGTGACCCTGAGGATGCTGCCATGCGGTCGTTAAAAATCGTAAGCCACTTAGTGGTAAGTTCATTTAGTGACCGTTTGATGTTACAACGGCACTGAAAAAAGTGACTTGTGATCATTTCTCACACTAACAGCCATTGTAGTATCCCCAGGGTCACGTGATCAAAATTCGGATTCTTTGGCCACTGGTTCATATTTGTGACGGTTGCCGTAACCCAGGGTCACATGACCTCCTTTTACGACCTTCTGCCAAACAAAGTCAGGGAGGAAGCCAGATTCACTTAACAACCGTATTGCTAACTTAACAACTGCTGTGATTCACTTAACAACTGGCAAGAAAGGTCGTAAAATGGAGCGAAACTCACTTAACAAACGTTTCCCTTAGCAGCAGAAACTTGGGGCTCTATGGCGGTCGTAAGTCGAGGACTTCCTGTGTTTACAGGCCGTCAAAACATCAGAAGGCAAAAAGCTGCCTCTAAAACCATTTTATTTTGTAACAAAGAGCAGAAAGAGGATTCAAGTGGTAACAATAAAGTTTTATTATTCAAGTAAGGTTACGCAGTGACGAACAGAGACACCGAATGACGCAGGTTTCCTTCTGACCAATTTTAATCGATTTGAACATAAATACATTAAAATCTAAAAAAAAAACAAAAGAAAATCCGGTCCAGTCGGAGAGCAGACGGTTTTTGTAGAAAGTGGATTCTTACGCAGCAAGTATTGCTTTACTATTGTCATTAGGCCAGCCAGTAATACGACGCGATGAACTGGTCCCAGTAAACAAGTTACACCTTTTTTGGGGGGGTGGGTCTTGAAGCCATCTTCAAAGAATGAGAGCCGGGGCTGCCGATCAATCCAAGAAGAAGATATTGTTGAACTGGGTCGCGCAGAGTTTCTTTACTTCTTCTGAAGGGGGAGAAAGGAGGGAGTTTTAAAGCTTAAAAGAATGAAGTATTGTTGTTGAAAAGTTACCATCGGTAAGACATAAAAAGTATCTTTAGCAGATTTCCTAAAGGCTGTCTATCTTTGTATTATTTCTTTGGTTCCAAGCAGGGGTGAAATGCTACCGGTTTGGACCGGTTCGTCCGAACCGGTAATAAAAATGCTACCGGTTTCGGGCGAACCGGGAGTTAAAAAATGCTACCGGTTCGGGTGAATCAGTATTTCCCACGATCAGCTGTGCCGCTCGATTTATATTCGCTAGAAAGCAGGATATCCCAAGGAGACAATAAAAACTATTAATCAATGGAACAACTTGCCTCCAGAAATTGTGAATGCTCCAACACTGGAAGTTTTTAAGATGTTGGATAACCATTTGTCTGAAGTGGTGTAGGGTTTCCTGCCTAGGCAGGGGGTTGGACTAGAAGACCTCCAAGGTCCCTTTCCAACTCGGTTACTCTGCTATACTACACATAACTGAACCAAATGCAAATTCTAGGCCTGCCTCGCTCACATCTGCATTTCCTTCTGTTTCTTCTGCCTCAAAACTTACAACCGCCTCCTCGTTGCTCTTCTCTCATGCTTCGCGACGATGGTTCTAGATTGAAAACGACGCCGAACAGGCCAATGATTAGTACTTCCCAGTGAGATTAAAGCCGGACAATTTCTGCGTTCCTTACCGTTCACTTCAATCAGGTTGGCGTTTTTCTGATTCAAAATAACGTACAGTTCCCGCTGATCCGACTTCTTGCCGACAATCCAGTAGTCGCTCATGGCTTTCACAATGATTTCTTCGTCATCGTCCACCCTTTGAATGAGAAGCAGATCAGATTCCGATAAAAGAAAATATCCGTAGCTCAGGGTTGAAAGGAGGGATCCTTGGTGGTCTCGGAGGGAGCCTGGTGGCTTTCTTACATACGTTTCATTACCCAACTAGGTAACGTCATCAGTGCTAGAAGGGAGTTGGGATTACGGAGAGGAAGAGGAGGAGAAGGAAGAGGAGGGCTGTGAAGTCCTTGGTGCTCTCTGAGCTTGGTTATTTTCTTGCAGATGTTTCATTACCCAGGTAGGTAACATTATCAGTGCTAGAAAGGAGAAGGGATTGTGGAGAGGAGAAGGAGATGGAGAAGGAGAGGGAGAGGGAGAGGGAGAAGGAAGACTGTGAAGTCCTTGGTGCTCTCTGAGCTTGGTGTTTTCTTGCACAAGTTTCATTACCCAACTAGGTAACATTATCAGTGCTAGAGGGGAATGGGGTTTGAGGAGAAGGAGGAGAGGGAGAGGGAGAGGGAGAAGGAAGACACTGAATTCTTTGGTGTTCTCTGAGCTTCGGTTATTTTCTTGCAGAAGTTTCATTACCCAACTAGGTAGCAACATCAGTGCAAGCATTACCTACTTGGGTAATGAAACATCTCAAGAAAACAGCCAAGCTCAGCTAATCAATTGAGGATTAAACCAAAAACACCCACAACATTTTCTTAGCAACTAAGTGCTTTACTCTTCCCTTTTTCCCTCTGTGGTTTCTGTGTGTGTGTCTTAACTTCCCAGTGTAGCCTATACCTCGGACTTCTTTGTGATCTTCAACCAAATACTACACTCAGCTTGTTCAAGAACAACGAAGGTCAGATCGATTGTGAGCCAGTTCATAAATACACCAAGCCAGTGGTGAAATTTAAATTTCTGTACTACCGGTTCTATGGGCGTGGCAGGGGAAGGATACTGCAAAATTCCCATTCCCACCCCAGTCCAGGGGAAGGATACTGCAAAATTCCCATTCCCACCCCAGTCCAGGGGAAGGATACTGCAACATCCCCATTCCCACTCCACTCCAGGGGGAAGGATACTGCAAAATCTCCATTCCCACCCCAGTCCAGGGGAAGGATATTGCAAAAACTCCATTCCCACCTCACTCCTGGGGGAAGGATGCTGCAAAATCCACATTCCCTCCCCACTCTGGGCCCAGCCAGAGGTGGCATTTGCCGGTTCTCCGAACTACTCAAAATTTCCGCTACCGGTTCTCCGGAACCTGTCAGAACCTGCTGGATTTCACCCCTGCACCAAGCCTGAAATATCCTCTGAAGAAGCAAGCTTTGGTTTTTGCTCGGTCCCAGATTTGGGGATTAAAAACTGTGATTTTCAACATTCTGGGCACTCACACACAAACTGGCTGCCCTGATGTGTGTGGCACAGTAGAAAACACCCATATACAAGAAAACTAACCAACTCACAGAGCCCAATTTTATTTTCTTGGAAAGTCCCCGAGACATTCTTGATGCCCACTGGCATTGTTGGAAATGCCAGTTCCATTGAAAAGAGGCTTAGGATAAGTCATGAACAAACGTTGGTCAAAAAAGGAAATACGATTCATCCCGCATCTGAAACGATTAGGAGAGCGATAAAATACCGTATTTTTCGGAGTATAAGATGCACCTTCCCCCCCCCCAAAAGGGGATGAAAATTTGGGTGCGTCTTATACACTGAATGTAGCCCCGCCCACCCACTGGCCCCCACCCTTTTCCCTCTGCCTCCCAGCAATTTACCTCCTTGCAGCCAACAGCAAGAAGAAACAGCCCATTTCAGCTTCAGCACAGCCTGATTAGCACAAGTTGATTGTCGGTTGGATTGGCCTCCCGACTCTCAGCTGTTTCAGGCTGCAGGGATTCCCATTGCCTATTGCTGCACGGGCCTCCGCTGCTTGCTGCAAAGAGGTAAATTACTGAAAGCAGATTTTTTTTCCCTTGTGCTAATCAAGCTATGCTGAAAACGAAAATGAAAGTAAAGCAGGCTGTTTGCTGCAATGAGGCAAAATTGCTGGGAGGCAGAGGCAGATTTCTTTTTCTTGCTTTCCTCCCCCAAAAAAGGTAGGTGCGTCTTATCGTCCGGAGCGTCTTATACTTTGAAAAATACGGGAGTTGGTGGAGATAAAAGAAGGTAGATCACCTCGTAAAGTCGTTGTTGATATCACCAAGGATCTTCATCAAGTCAGGATGGACGGATCCAAGGGAGACAGTTGACGTCCTCCTCAGATGGATGGTACTCTTCTCGGCCAGATTCATATGATTGAAGTAGATAAATTTAAACTGAGGCTCCTTCTCGGACCTAAGAAAGCGATGAACCGAGAGATCAAAGGAGGCATCACAGTTCCTTCTGCGAGCAGGATGAAAATGCATTTCAGGTATATCAGAATGGGTTCTTCTAGAATAGAGTAGAGTAGAGTAGAGTAGAGTAGAGTAGAGTAGAGTAGAGTAGAGTAGAATAGAATAGAATAGAATAGAATAGAATAGAATAGAATAGAATAGAACAGAACAGAACAGAACAGAACAGAATAGAATAGGAGTAGAGTAGAGTAGAATAGAATAGAATAGAATAGAATAGAATAGAATAGAATAGAATAGAATAGAATAGAATAGAATAGAATAGAATAGAATAGAATGCTTTCGAACTGCTAGGTTGGCAGAAGCTGGGACAAGTAATGTTAACAGCCAGAAGGTGCCGTTCCCTCTTCCCTCCAGCCAAAAATTTTTTTAAAAAAGGAACTGACCCCGACACCCTTTTCTTGAGGTTGTACTGTTCGCAGATATCCGAAGCTAAGACAGTAAGCTGCGGGCCCACGAGGCTATCGAGTCGGCGGCAGAAATCCAACGTAGGTTGCACCGAGGCTGGGAAAGAGTTGGGAAGAAAGGCGAGAATCAATTTCATTGTACGCATGTTGTGCATTGACAATAAAGGTTTGATTTGAGTTGAGTTGACTCAAACCATTCTCTCATTACAAGATTCTGGGAATCTTACAGAGAACGGATTATCGCCGCTCATATCCAAACCGCCACGGAGAACGTTCAAAGGACGGGATTTGGGGAACCGAGACAGGAACGGTGATTTCAACCATTATTATTTGATACTCACCATCAATCATAAAGCAGACAGCTGCGCTCATTGCCTGGAAGGGACAAAAGATTGATCAGCCGTTTTTGAGCTATCTCGTTACTATACAGTCCGGTTCTATGGCTAAGTGAAGAATGTCGGCCCGAGCGAGCATAACAAAGACTTCGAGTTTGAGGATGTTCTCTTGAGATGAAAGGATAAATTCGATTGTGGAAGGGGAAGGACTGGTACCCCCCAAAATTGGTCTCCAGCCACCGTCAAGCCTAGTGTCAGGTTTCGATGCTATCTCAAAATAAATGAATTTCCAAACTGCCGATCTTTGAGGAAATTTTCTCTTTATTGAGCACAGCGATCTGATCCTGGCTCTTTCGCGGTCAGTACTGACCTTTACCCCCCCCCAATCCCTCCCTTTCCGATCCCCAATTCTCTGCTTCTCATTGGCTATCTTCCAAGCCACTTTCCCCATCTCTTCTTCGTCAGATCACAGGAATGTCTCCCCCCACCTCCCATCTCCGAGGAGACAGAATCTTCAAAGGGATTTAGTAGGCAAAAGTTCAAGTTTCTCCTCTCTTTATATATGTCAGTGCTGGGACGCTGACACCTAGCTAGTGTGGCCAAGGGGTGGGGGTGTGGCCCGCCAGCGGCCTGCGAAGCTGGCAGCAGAGTTGGAAAGCTCAATAAATGCGGGTGACGCACATTGGCGGTTATGACGCATATTTTGAGTGACAGGGAGCCACAGCAGAGGGGTGAAAGAGCCACATGCGGCTCCAGAGCCACAGGTTGCTGACCTCTGGCCTACGGCACAGCCCCTTTCCATCCACATTACTGAATTCTCTGGAGGATCAACACCTCTCTTGGGTTAGAAATTCTCTTCTCAAGAGAATTGAGGAAGGTTACCTTATACACAATTAAATGAAGCTCTTCGTAAGCACCGTCCGTGTTCACAAATATTTTGGGGAACCTGCATTTTGCTTCGGGGTCATTCAAATTCAGAGGCCCAGTCAGGAACCTAAAAAGCAAAGACGGCCATCGTTCCACGTGCGACTCTTAAGACCTTGGCCCAAAAGACCAGCTTTATAGCTTTCTAACCCAAGAAATCCAGCTTCGTTTTATAGACCTGATTCCCAAATGGATCACTTCTCCATTTCTTTGCTTTTAACATAGAGCGGTCTTGGATAAATAACAGCGGATTAAGCAAATTAAGAAAGCAGATTAAGCAAATTAAGAAAGAGTGCAGAGAAGAGCAACCAAGATGATTGAGGGACTGGAGGCTAAAACATATGAAGAACGGTTGTTGGAATTGGGTATGTCTAGTTTGATGAAAAGAAGGACTAGGGGAGACATGATAGCAGTCTTCTGATATCTCAGGGGCTGCCCCAAAGAAGAGGGAGTCAAGCTATTCTCCAAAGTGTCTGAAGGAAGGACAAGAAGCAATGGGTGGAAACTAATCAAGGAGAGAAGCAACTTAGAACTAAAGAAATTTCCTGACAGTGAGAACAATTAATCAGTGGAACAACTTGCCACCAGAAGTTGTGAATGCTCCAACACTGGAAGTTTTTAAGAAGATGTTTGATAACCTTTTCTCTGAAGTGGTGTAGGGTTTCCTGCCTAAGCAGGGGGTTGGACTAGAAGACCTCCAAGGTCCCTTCCAACTCTGTTATTCTATAACATTCTAAATCAGATTTGAAGAGAGCCAATCTTCAGTATCTGCGGATGTCACTTGGCATGGGGGTGAATCAAGATAACAACAGGCCAAATTGAAAAGGCCGTATCTATGGGGAGAAGCCAGGATTTTCAATTTTTCTCCTGTTTGGGGAGGACTTTGTGATTGTCCATGTAAGCAAGTTAAGCTTTCCGAGCCTTACATTAGTTTTTGCGCCGTTTCAAAATGGCGGAAACCAATGCTGCCATTTCTCAGCAGGTGGTGCCTTCAAAATGGCGGAAACCAATGCTGCCATTTCTCAGCAGGTGGTGCCAGTGTGGTGGGAAGAGGTATAAACAGGACCAGGGAGCCCTCAGACCGAACACTCCATTGGGCATGACACAAAGACACAAGAGATAAGGAATGCCTACCTTCCATAGTGTTGCAGATTTCCGGATATTTCTATATGGATGGGGGAATCTCTTCCGGCCAACTGAAACGGAAGAGACAGTCAAGGAAAAATTCGAGGTTGTCGTTTTTTTTAAAGCAAATCAGACTTGTGCCTGATGTTGTTTCTCTTTAAACCAGGGTCACCGCATGTTCCGGGGGAAGACCAGACACCCAACTCACCTCAGGTTCCATGTGTCTTGGAAAGAGAGAGGTGGTGAGGTATTTGTACAAAATCCTCATGTCCTCTTGTTCCAATCCACTCCTGTTGAAGTTAAAAAAAGGCAAAAAGTTACACCTGTCCAATCGTGTCTGATTTTAGAGCACGGTGCTCATCTCCGTTTCTCGGCTGAGGGAGCCAGGTTGTCTGAAGACATTTCTGTGGTCATTGGCTATGCGCCAAAGATGCATGGAACACTGTTACCTTCCCACCAAAGTGGTACCTATTTATCTACTCACATTTGCATACTTTCGAACTGCTAATGGTACCTCTTTATCTACTTGCATTTGCACCTTTTCGAACTGCTAGTGGTACTTCTTTATCTACTCGCATTTGCATACTTTCGAACTGCTAGTGGTATCTATTTATCTACTTGCATTTGCACATTCTTGAACTGCTAGTGGTACCTCTTTATCTACTCGCATTTGTATGCTTTTGAACTGCTAGTGCGTATTTATCTATTCGCATCTGCATGCTTTCGAATTGCTAGTGGTACCTAACAGTGGTGGGATTCAGCTGGTTCGGGCCGGTTCAGACGAACCAGTAGGTAAATTGCTGGCTGGCCCCGCCCCTTCCCAGAGTCTCCACACGGTCCGTTTTTGCTCCCAAGAGGCCTCCTAGGCCCAAAACAGCGGGCAGCAGGCTCTCCCAACGGTCCGTTTTCGCTCCCAGGAGGCTGCAGGGAGGCCTACTAGGCCCAAAACGGGGTGTGGGGGGGCAGTGTGTGCCCCCCGCAGCCCATTTTTCCTCCCAGGAGGGTGCAGGAGGCCAAGTACTGCTTATCACACCCCCTGGCCACGCCCACCAAACCATGCCCACCAAACCACGCCCACAGAACTGGTAGTACAAAAATTTTGAATCCCACCACTAGTATCTATTTATTTATTTGCATGTTTTCGAATTGCTAGTGGTACCTATTTATCTACTCGCTTTTGCATGCTTTCAAACTGCTAGCGGTACCTATTTAACTGGTCAATGTGGAGAACTAAAGTAAAACAGACGCCTCCAATCTGAAGTCAACGCTTTATTACTAAAACCTGGAGGAGCCTCGATAGAATCCCACTCGAATCGGTTAATTATTTTATGCAGGGCTCTCTACCAAGCGCTTTTTATCTAAGCCTCTTCTCTCGGCTCCTTAATCGCTTCTGAATAGGAAACCCTTCGAGCGCTGGCTCTGAAAAATGAAACTGGAGGCGCCCGGCAGCTGTGCCGTGTCAATAAACACCCTGAAAGCAAACACAGCTGAAGAGAAGCCTTTTGGTTTCTGTTACAGGCTGCAGCCAGCACCCCTCCTTTGTTTCTGTTTAAAATCCAACATTTTTTCTGCGTGAGGTCAAGAGAGAGTTTGGGGGGGGGGAAAATCAGCTACTGTTCGATGTTGAGCATGGGCTTTCTTTCTTTCAAAATTGAAGTTTGTTCTTCCAAGTTTGGGGGAAAAAAAAGAAACCTAAGATTTTGTGAGGCTGAGGATTGGATTAAAAAAAAAAAAACAATTCATCCTTTTTTCCCCCCTGGCTTGCAGTTGGGCACAATGGTGTATGTCCAAAATGATGGCTGCTATTCAGCTAGTCCCATTGCTCAAAAACTGCTCGGCTTCCTTTGTTTTACCCATCTTTTTAGTATATTTGAGGAAAAATAACTAACAGAATAACGGAGTTGGAAGCAGCTTCGGAAAAAGGAAACAAAAAGAGGAAGAGGAAAAAAGACGACAAAGTATCAGGAGATGAAGGGAGAACATTGAAACAGAGAAAACAGAGCTGGGAGGGACCCTGGAGGTCTTTTAGTCCAACCCCCTTCCGCCTTCTGCCGAGCTCTGAAGACTTTTTTATTTCAGCAAGCCGGGCTGGGTTAAAAAATTTTAATTGGTGAATTTTATGGGTAAGGGGTTTTAAATTGGGGGAAGCCAAAGATAAATTTAATTTTGTTTTATAGTATTTTAATGTTTATATTGTATGTTTTTTAATTTTGGCTGTTCACCGCCCTGAGTCCTTCGGGAGAGGGGGCAGTATAAAAATTTAAAAAATAAAATAAATAAATAAATAAAGCAGGAGACCCTACAGCCATGATGGCGAACCTATGACACATGTGCCACAGGTGGCATGCGCAGCTATTCCTGCGGGCACACGAGCCGTTCGCCATAGATCAGCTCCACCGCGCATGTGTGCGCGCCTCCCGCCGGCCAGCTGATTTTCGGGTCTCTGCCACGCATGCGGGAGAGGCACACGCGCATGCCGCCCCTCCCCTCCCAGGAGTCTCCACGCAACACGTTTTGGATCCCAGCTCATGTGGAGGTTCTGGGAGGGTGAAAAACGGGCCTACCGGAAGACTGGAAATGGGCCGTTTCTGGCCTCGAGGCTTCAGGGAGGCCTGCTAGGCCCAACATGGGGCGTGTGGGAGTCGCGCATGGATTCAAGGGGGACTGAGGGAGCATGGGAAGGGTCACGCGTGCCTGCGCAGAGGGGCAGGGCATGCATGGGGGGGCATTGGATTATGGGTCTGGGCACACACATGCGCGCTATCACACGCACAAGCACACTTTTGGCGCCCGAGGAAAAAAAGGTTAGCCATCACTGCGCTATAGCATTTCAGACAAGTGTCTGCCGTCTCCTCTTAAAAGCCTCTGCTTTAACTGCCAAAAGTCGATTAGAAGACAGCTGGATTAAGAATTTTAGAAGTAGCGTAAATCATATTTGGACAACCAGGTGGCCTGACAGGGGAAATAATATATCCCGTGGCCTGGGAAATACAGGGGAATTTTCTCCTGCTTATGCCTAGGTCCCATCCTTGGCACATTCCTACACTTATGGTGAGACGTACGAGTGCAGGGAAGAATGCCGAGCGTGCCCAGGGAGATCCTGCTCCATGAGTGTGCACACAAGCGCCCTACTTCATCCTGGTATCGTGTGTATTTCACATTCCACTGAGAGAGCCATCGGCGGGAGCTCCTCCAAAGCGTTCCGGGGTGCTCACCAGATCAGCTGATCGTTGTACAGGAAGGCCGTGTACTTGACGAGACTTAAGCTCTCCTCCATCTTGTTGATGAACGACTGGATCTTCAAGTAGGTCATCTTATCTAGCGGGAAGAAGCTGATGCCGCAGAAGACATCCAGCAGATCGCAGGTCTGCAAGTGAAGCGTTTGCAAGTACTGGAACACAAAGGGAAGGGAAAGGTCTTGAGAAAGAGGACGATCAGCGGCAAAGGGGAAGGATTTGACTACGGTGGTGATGGGGGCCAGCATCGGAACTTAGAATGAATTAGAATTATTTATTTATTGGCCAAGTGGGATTGGACGCACAAGGAATTTGTCTTTGGTGCATAAGCTCTCAGTATACATAAAAGGAAAAGAGACATTCGTCAAGAATCATAAGGTACAACACTTAATGATACTCATAGGGTACAAATAAGCAATCGAATCCTACTAGGAAACAATATAAATCGTAAGGATACAAGCAATAAAGTTACAGTCATGCAGTCACAAGTGGGAGAAGATGGGTGATGGGAATGATGAGAAGATTAATAGTAGTGCAGACTTAGTAAATAGTTTGAGAGTGTTGAGGGAATTATTTGTTTAGCAGAGTGATGGTGTTTAGGAAAAAACTGTCCTTGTGTCTACTTGTTCTGGTGTGCAGTGCTCTATAGCGTCGTTTTGAGGGTAAGAGTTGAAACAGTTTATGTCCAGGATGCGAGGGGTCTGTAAAATATTTTCACAGCTCTCTTTTTGACTCGTGCAGTAAGCAGGAAGAGCTGAAGGACCCAATTAGGGACAGATTGTCATGGGGAAAATTTATCTAGGTGGCCGCTAAAAGTTGACACTGACTTAATGACACATAATCAGTTGATCAATGTTCTCCCGATAAATAGTTACAGGAGAAAGTAAGCGCTGAGATCAATTTTTTAAAAAGTCTAGTGGATATTATCACTTGTCTTAGTATAGAATCTTGTCAGGGTTCTAAGTTTCCTTCCTTCCTTCCTTCCTTCCTTCCTTCCTTCCTTCCTTCCTTCCTGCCTGCCTGCCTGCCTGCCTGCCTGCCTGCCTTCCCTCCCTCCCTCCCTCCCTCCCTACCGACCTAACCCATTATGTGGAGTCCTTGGCTCTCTCTGAGTTTGGCTGTTTTCCTGAAGATGATTCATGACCTAAATAGATAACCTCATCAGTGCCAGAAGGAGTGGGGTTTGTGGAGAGGAGGAGGAGGAGGAGGAGGAGAAGGAGGCAGCGGCAAAGTAGAAGGAAGAATAGAAAAAAGAAAAGGAATAGGAAACAGGAGGAAAGAAGAGAAGGAGAGGAGAAAAGAGGAGGAGAACTCCGGGGTCCTTGGTGCTCTCTGAGCTTGGTTGTTTTCTTGCTGAAGTTTCATGATCCAACTAACACTGATGATGTTCCCTAGTTGGGTCATAAAACGTCTGCCAGAAAACCATCAAGCACAGAGAGCATTTCAATCCTGAGCTACAAATATTCTCTTCTATCGGCAATCCCTTATATTTCTCTAGTAGAAGTACTAACACCTTAAACATCCATTTGCTGTTCAGATAATAAAGAGGGAAAAATAGTCTTACCCGATGGAAGAATTTCTCCAGTCTTTCTTTCAGAACCCGGATGCCTCCATCTTCCATGGCTTTTCGGAACGTGCCGTTAAAAAGCTAATCGTTATTTTCAAGAGGGAAAAAAATAATAATGGGTTAATGAAATCATCAGTTAATAGCTTGTTTTTCAAGATATAAACATTGAACCGAATGTTGGTCCTGGGATTCCAGCTTCTCTGAATTCAAGGGAAAAATTACACTCCCATTATTTTAGGAATAATGCTTGCATAGCACTTAGGAGTCTATTTACATAAAGCTTATAACAGATGACAAACACTCTGTATTTCTGATGGCTAATGGGCAATATCTTTACCCCTCAACCTATATATTCCAAAAATAGCACGCATCACATCAATAATACATATATGACAGTCAACAGCACACTTTGTTTTATTCATTCATTCATTCCTTTGGCATCCTATTGCAAACCAACGTGATTATCACCTGTAAGTGCTGATTTGCCCTTTCTTCCTTTTTCATCTACGGACTAGATTATAATCCATTTTTAAAAAATCTGTGTGCCGTCAGGAGGGCACAGGTACAAAAATGGAATAGTTCATGACAAGAAATAATATGAAAGAAACGTGCCACGGGATAAGGATCAATAAATATTCAGCGCTGGATTCGTATTTCTGCTGCTTCGGAAAAATTGGAGCAAAGTATTCCATCATGGCATCCAACCCTCTCAATTCCTGGCAAATAGATGGGGAAGAAATGGAGGTAGTGACAGATTTTATTTTCCTGGGCTCCAAGATCACCGCAGATGGGGACTGCGGCCAAGAAATTAAAAGACGCTTGCTCCTGGGGAGGAAAGCTATGGCAAATCTAGACAGCATACTAAAAAGCAGAGACATCACCCTGCCAACAGTAGTGTGTATAGTCAAGGCGATGGTTTTCCCAGTTGCAATGTACGGCTGTGAAAGTTGGACCATAAGGAAGGCTGAGCGCCAAAGAATGGAGGCCTTTGAACTCTGGTGCTGGAGAAGACTCCTGTGAGTCCCTTGGACTGCAAGGTGATCAAACCGCACAGTCCTAGAGGAGATCAACCCTGACTGCTCTTTAGAAGGCCAGATCCTGAAGAGGAAACTCAAATACTTTGGCCACCTAATGAGAAGGAAGGACTCCCTGGAGAAGAGCCTAATGCTGGGAACGATGGAGGGCAAAAGAAGAAGGGGACGGCAGAGAACGAGGTGGCTGGATGGAGTCACTGAAGCAGTCGGCATGAGCTTAAATGGACTCCAGAAGATGGTAGAGGACAGGAAGGCCTGGAGGAACGTTGTCCATGGGGTCGCAATGGGTCAGACACGACTTCACAACTAACAACAACAAAATTCCATTTTACTTTAGGGAAATAAAGGCTGTTTTACCCACTCTAGCTTAATTAACAAATATTATGGCAAAACTGACCTTATACATGTTGTAACATTGCTGTAACACTGAGCTATAAACCTTGTCCTGTAAGAGATCCAGAATCAGAAAGTTATTACCACAAAGAGACAAAGGCAGATATTTTGACTAAGGATGCATTCAGTTACAGAGGCTCTCTTTTTTTTTTTTTAATCAAACAAAAACAAAATTGCCAATCGGTACTTTTCTAGCAATCTAGAATAGAATATAACTTTATTAGAGTCATCGACCAGCAATAGACATACAATATATTAAAAAATAATACTGACATTAACAGTGGATAATACCATCCCTGTTAAGAAAATATATGATCATAAATTGTTAGGGTCACTCCCTAATTTACGTGAGTGGAGAGCCAATAAATATGTGAGTAAATATATTTTTCCAAAAATGGTTATAGATGTCTCCCAAAAATTGGCACGAGTTGACAGCTATAATTCTGCAACCAATTTTTTTCTTGGGTACATTGCAGCGATACAGAATTTTGCCATTGCACGCGTGGTAGCCGGGTTTGAGTCCTGGAGGAGGAAGCTTACATAAAAGTCATCTGCTCTCCCTGGCAATCTCTCTAATAAAGGGAGAATATATACTGACCTATAAACTCTATATAACTCACAGTACCTAGCAATCTATAAATGACAACTCCATTTTTTTGATGCTTTCTATGTGGCGGTCTTTCTCTCAAACCATATTTCCAGAGGAATGCCCGTGAGGAAAAAAATCACTCCAAGGAGTTGCAGATTTGTACCATTAGATACCGTATTTTTCGGAGTATAAGACGCACCTTAGTTTTTGGGGAGGAAAGTAAGAAAAAAAGCTGATTGGCAGGTGGATCGGCCTCCCGGAATATCCCCAATCAGCTGTTCCCAGAGGTGAATTTTAGCAACAGGTTCCTTGGTTGTGAGCTCTGTATCTTGCTTTTTTGGGGTTTTTTTTTCTGCCTCTGAAACTTCTGAAACTCTGTTTCAGAAAAAACTTTTTTTACTGCCTCTGAAAGCCTCCGATTTATGTGACCATAATTGAACCAGAAATCCGGGCATAAATTGTTATGGCAGTTAGCCAAGGCATTCATGAGACTGGAAATAATTTTTTTTTCAACGGTCATTAAACAAACACGTTCATTTGAATGGGCGTTTTTTGCTGGGGACTGGGAAAAATGCAGTAAACTGATATGATCAAATGATAAAAAAAATATGAATCATGGCCACTGTTGCAGAACAGCCCTTCCTTGTGCGTCCAATCACACTTGGCCAATAAAGAATTCTATTCTATTCTATATAGAATAGCAGAGTTGGAAGGGACCTTGGAGGTCTTCTAGTCCAACCCCCTGCTTAGGCAGGAAACCCTACACCACTTCAGACAAATGGTTATCCAACATCTTAAAAACTTCCAGTGTTGGAGCATTCACAACTTCTGGAGGCAAGTAGTTCCACCGATTAATTGTTCTCACTGTCAGGAAATTCCTCCTTAGTTCTAGGTTGCTTCTCTCCTTAATTAGTTTCCATCCATTGCTTCTTGTCCTGCCCTCAGGTGCTTTAACAACACCTGGATATATTTGCTAACATTTCCAATGTGACAGTTCATTCTTACCAGCAGCTCTTCTTCTTGGTATTCGACGACTGTTTTCCCATCTTTGTGTTTTTCTATTACCGGATTGCGTACGACCTTGAAAATGGTACAAAACAGTTCATTTAAGCCATTTTGTTTTGCCTGTTTTAGCTTCTGTAGGCTCTTTTGAGAACCTTTAGAGAGCAGCAGGCAAATGATGATGAGCTGAGCACTATTTTGGCTCTGAATAAAGGTCAATGGAATTCATTTCTGGCTACGTAGGGAATTCTAGGCTGATTACTTTTTTGACTCCGCCTCCAGATGGCACCATTTCTTCTCCTACAACTTCTGGTCAAACTGTCATCCAACAAGTTATTCCATCAGACTCCTGAACTGTTTCATTGCATCTACCGATTCTAACAATCATAGCTTAGAAATGGGGCCTGTGTTTTGATTTCTTTGCCTCTCCTGTCCATCCCCCTCCCCCCCCCTTATTGGAGTCTGATAACATGGATTGTTTAATTATCCATCCGTAAACCGTTCCAGAGACATTTTCAGCGTAAAGGGTATAAAAATCTGACAGGACATTCAAAAAAATATTACTGAAACAAATGCTTAAAAGAACAGCATCACGCATTTATATACCATAACCATCCAGAAGTTTTCTTCCGGCTCATTGAAGAACTGTCTATTTTTCTGGGTATGTAGTGATTTTGCAGGTTTTGTAGGACTGAAAGTCCTAAGAAGAAGAAAAAAATATTATATGAATTAGCTCAGATTAAATGTTCATCGGACCCAGGGGAACATAACATAATCCATTATAGTTATGATTTCCTCATAAAGGATGAAACCATTAATCCCACTGTGTTCTCAGACCTCCTTGCTTAAGAAATATGTAAACAAATCAAGATGGGAAATTTAGTTTAAACCCTAATTAGCCAAGAAATTCACAGGGCAATTTTAGTTCTATTATTCTTCCTGCCTGTTTTTCATAGGGTTTTTTTAGGGGGGGGGGGGGAACAAAACAAATCAGAAAAAAAGTAGGTACATTGTCTTAGGTGAAATGTGAGATCATCAGTAACGAGCCTCAGGAACATCAAGATGACAAGTGTTACGTCATCATTACAGAAATGAGACAATTTAATATTTTTGGCCAAGGTTCATGCCATTGGTCCTGTCCATGCTTTTCACAAACACCTATTTGGGGGGGTGGGGATGTTAATGTGCGAAAAAAATACTGTATGAACCAAGAATGAACATTTTCATAGTCAAGTCATGGAAGGTATAATTGAGAAAAAAGAAGGTTGGACGATCTAATTCAGTGTTTCTCAACCTTGGCAAAAAGGCAAAGGTTCCCCTCGCACATATGTGCTAGCCGTTCCCGACTCTAGGGGGTGGTGCTAATCTCCGTTTCAAAGCCGAAGAGCCAGCGCTGTCCGAAGTCGTCTCCGTGGTCATGTGGCCGGCATGACTAAATGGCAAAGGCGCACGGAACGCTCTTACCTTCCCACCAAAGGTGGTACCTATTTTTCTACTTGCATTTTTTATGTGCTTTCGAACTGCTAGGTTGGCAGAAGCTGGGATAAGTAATGGCAGCTCACCCCGTTACGCGGCACTAGGGATTCAAACCGTTGAACTGCCAACCTTTCGATTGACAAGCTCGGCGTCTTAGCCACCGCATCCCCTTGGTAACTTTAAGCTAAATGGACTTCAACTCCCAGAATTCCCTAGCCAGGTGCTGTCCCCAGTGCTGACTGGGGAATTCTGGGAGTTGAAGTCCACACATTTTAAAGATCTAATCTGACCATCAGCTGAGCAGTCTTTTTTATTTTTTTAATCTGGAAAGAGCCAAGTAAGTTTCATTTTCCCCCCCAAACAAATGAAATACTAGACATGCAGGCTTGGGGAGTGTAATACCTTGTAAACTGAACAATGGCCTCACATAATCCAACATTTCTGATTTTTTCATTTTTCTCTGCTTCATTTGGGTAATAGAAGAGGATCTTTTTTTCTTCCTGAAGTTAGAAACGAAACACCTAATTCATTATTTTAAATATATCAGTGCAGCACCTTTAAATACAAGGCCTTCACAACTTACTGCGTTTTACATATTAACCTATTTTAAATTAATTCACAAGTCTATGAACTAGGGCCCTTAAAAGATACATTGTGCTAAAATGTTAACATTCTGAACTATATATATGAAGTTTTTTGTGAAAAAGAAGGAATTTGCAGCATGTACGCAGACACAAAAAAAGTATACATATGTCTGTGTACCTGTATGAAATATGTAAATGCATGTAAGTTACACGTATCCAAAAGGGGAAAAGGTATAGAGGTGTGTGAAAAAGGTATTTTACAGTATCCTTCCCCTGGAGTGGGATGGGAATGGAGATTTTACAGTATCCTTCCCCTGGGATTGGAGGGAATGGGGATTTTACAGTATCCTTCTCCTGGAGTGGGGTGGGAAAGGAGATTTTACAGTATCCTTCCCCTGGATTGGAGAGGGAATGGGGATTTTACAGTATCCTTCCCCTGGAGTGGGGTGTGAATGGAGATTTTACAGTATCCTTCCCTTGGATTGGAGAGGGAATGGGGATTTTACAGTATCCTTCCCCTGGAGTGGGGTGTGAATGGAGATTTTACAGTATCCTTCCCTTGGATTGGAGAGGGAATGGGGATTTTACAGTATCCTTCCCCTGGAGTGGGGTGGGAATGGAGATTTTATAGTATCCTTCCCCTGGATTGGAGAGGGAATGGGGATTTTACAGTATCCTTCCCCTGGATTGGAGAGGGAATGGGGATTTTACAGTATCCTTCCCCTGGATTGGAGAGGGAATGGGGATTTTACAGTATCCTTCCCCTGGAGTGGGGTGTGAATGGAGATTTTACAGTATCCTTCCCTTGGATTGGAGAGGGAATGGGGATTTTACAGTATCCTTCCCCTGGAGTGGGGGTGAATGGAGATTTTACAGTATCCTTCCCTTGGATTGGAGAGGGAATGGGGATTTTACAGTATCCTTCCCCTGGAGTGGGGTGGGAATGGAGATTTTACAGTATCCTTCCCCTGGATTGGAGAGGGAATGGGGATTTTACAGTATCCTTCCCCTGGATTGGAGAGGGAATGGGGATTTTACAGTATCCTTCCCCTGGAGAGGGGTGGGAATGGAGATTTTACAATATCCTTCCCCTGCCACGCCCACCAAACCACGCCCACAGAACCGTTAGTAAAAAAAATTGAAATCCACCACTGAAATAGTCCCATAACAACAAGGGCCCCCCCCCCATTTATGTATCTCCAGTTTGTTACATAAAACACACACAAACACGAAACAACACAAAAATAATTGTGCATAAACACCCCCCCACACACACCAAGCCATGCAGGCCCTTCCTCCCTCCCTCCTGCCGGCTGGGCCTCGGCCTGTCCGGAGAAAAGGGCCGCCTCTTCGTTCAGTCCCTCCGCTCCGGCTTGGCCCTCAGAGCCGCCCCCCCGAGGAAGGCCCAGCCGGCCCTCCTCCGCCTTCCCTGCCCGCCCTCAGCTGGAGGGTCCCGGCTCTCGCTTCTCCTCCTCCTCTCGCCCGCCCACCTCGCCCTCTCGCGGGCCCAGCCGCGGGTTGTAGACGAAGAAGCCGAGCAGGGCCGGCGACACCAGCTTCTCCAACCCGGCCCCCGACTCCGCCGCCGCCGCTGCCATCCTGCCGGGGGAGGGTGGGGTGTGTGTGGAGGCGGAACGGAGCAGCCGCGGGGTGGCCGCCTTTCGCTTCCTCCCTCGGCCGCCTCTCAGACTGCGGCCTACTCGCCGTCCCCGAGCCACGGCCTCGCCTGGCCCGCCCTGCCGCTGCGCGCGCGTGCCTAGCCGAGATGGAGGCGTCCGCGGCAGGCAGGCAGGCCGCCCGAGCGAGGGGAAGCGGGAGGATGCGGTGGCCTCGGGACTGCTCTGGATGTGGGAAAGGGAAGGGAAGGAAGGCAGGCCTGCGCCGCCCAGTTCTGCCTTGATGTCTTTGCCGTGAATAAAGTTTATTACAGAAAGTTTTAAAATGGACATTAAAAACTTAGGACGAAGGAGGGAGAGAGGTCGGGAAGGAGAGAAGGGGAAGAAAGAAAGAAGGAAGGAAGGAAGGAAGGAAGGAAAAGAAAGAAAGAAAGAAAGAGGAAAGAAAGAAAGGAAGAAAAAGGGAGAGAGGGAAAGAAGAAAGAAAAAGAAAAGGGAGGAAGGAAGGAAAAGGAGAAAGACAGGGAAGGAGGAAGGAAGAAAAGGAAAAGGAAGAAAAGGAAAGAAAGAAAGAAAGAAAGGGAGGAAGGAAGGAGGAAAGAAAACAAGAAAAGGAAGGAAGAATATGAGGAAGGAAGGAAAGAAAGAAGGAAGAAAAAGGAAAGAAAGAAAGGAAGGAAGGAAGGAAGGAAGGACGAAAGAAGAAAGAAAAAGAAAAGGAAGGAAGAACGAGGAAGGAAGGAAAGAAAAAAGGAAAGAAAAAGAAAGGGAGGAAGGAAGAAAGAAAGAAAAGGAAGGAAGAACAAAGGAAGGAAGGAAAGAAAAAGAAAGGTGGAGGAAGGAAAGAAAGAAAAGACAAAGGGAGGGAGGGAGGAAGGAGGAAAGAAGAAAGAAAAAGAAAAGAAAGAAAAAGCAAAAGCATTGCGAGAAAGAAGAAAACTTCCAATTTCCTCTGCAGCAAATACAATTGCAGAATTTATGAAATTATTTAAAAAGCTCATTTTTTTACCTTTACCATTTTTTATATATATATTCATCAATGTAATGACTCATTAGTGCTTTTTTTTCCCCCTATTTCATGCAGAAAGTTTATAAGGGGTTTCTGGTCAAAAATAATGAACAAATTCTTTCCTATAATCAAGGCAGTTAATTTAATCGTCTTTGCAATAATAAGGGGTTAATGATGTGCTATAAGCTATGGCTTCTTCTGCCTTTTAGGCTCAATCACCAACTAGCAGAGATCCAGCAGACCAAGAGCATTGCCCCATTTCCTTACTATCTTTGTTTTCATTTGTAGTTTGTATTGTGATGGGACTTCAATAAAGCTTCAATAAAATATACTTTCAAAAAAGAACGGAGTCGAGGAAAGTGGAATTCAAACACGTTTATTTCTGTGCAAAAGCAAATTGTCGCTGCTGACAATTTTGAATGTGAAAGATAGGTTTGTATCAGATTTTTCAATTTCAAATGTGAAAGATAGGTTTATATCAGATTTTCATACTGTTTGCATAAGATTACAGTTTCATTCATTGGTTATTTATCACTTCCCAGATTTGTTTACTATGTGTGGACTCACATCTACAGTAATCCTCAACCTAATGACTATGAATGAGCCCAACATTTCTGTGGCTAAGCAACGCAGTAGTTAAGTGAGTTGTGACCCATTTTGCGATCTTTCTTGCCATGGTTGTTAAGTGAATCACAGCAGTTCTTAAGTTAGTAACACGGTTGTTCAGTGAATCTGGCTCCCCTGTTGACTTTGCTCGTCAGAAGGTCGCAAAAGGAGATCACATGCAGAGGTGGGTTTCAGCAGGTTCTGACCAGTTCTGGAGAACTGGTAGCGGAAATTTTGAGTAGTTCGGAGAACCAGTAGTAAAAATTCTGACTGGCCCTGCCCCCATCTATTCTCTGCCTCCCAAGTCCCAGCTTATCTGGAAGAAATGGGCATTTTGCAGTAAACTTCCCCTGGAGTGGGGTGGGAATGGAGATTTTACAGTATCCTTCCCCTGCCACGCCCACCAAGCCACACCCACAGAACAGTTAGTAAATTTTGAAACCCACTACTGATCACATCTCTTTGGGACACTCAACGGTCCTAAATGTGAGTCAGTCGTCAAGTGTCCAAATTTTGTAAAAAAAAAATGGTCATAAATCACTTTTTCCAATGCAGTTGTAACTTTAAACAGTCACTAAATGAACTGTTGTAAGTTGAGGTCTACCTGTACATCCAAAATCTTGTGTCCAGATCTAAAAGCCATAGAAGAGATGCCGGCACCCCACGTGGTGTCAACAAGCTTAGTTTTTATTTTTCCAACCTCATCTTGTGTATGATATCTGAAATGGCAAGAGTTTTCATCCTGACTTAGAAGACAGATGTTCAAAGAGAAACATCTGTCTGTTGTACCACGGAGACAATGACTTTGAAATCTGCACCAGCACAAAATTATTCGGTAGCTTGAGAGAATTAACATTTGGAAATTGGACAGGTAGTCCTCGAGATATGACATGTTCAAAGTTACAACAGAGGGTCCCAAATGACATACGACCCTGTTTCAATGTTACAATGGCTGCAATGCCTCTGTGGTCATTCTTCCTTATGACCAATCACAGGAATGCTACACATCCCCTGCCTCTCTCCCCTTTATCCCATTCTATGGGGACCCAAGGGATGGGAAGGGGAGCACGGGACGTCTTGGGGGGGAGGCCTTGGGAGGACCAGGCCAGGGTCTATGCTCAGCCTCCAAGGGCTTCCCCCACTCTGAAGCATCCCATGCTCCACTTAGTGACTCATGTATTTGTTTAATGATTAATTGGGGAAGAACAGAGATATGGGCTCAGCTTCAACTAACAACTGTCACAACCGTAATGGGCAGGCTCCATGATGGTCGTATCTTGAGGACTACCTGTAGTAGCACACCACTGAATAGCAGGCAAAGCATAACAAAAGATCCTTGGGTTTGAAAGTTTCAAGATAACTCTTTCGGGGCAGCAGAACTTCTTCCATCACGCAAGCGACTTCTGGTCCTTTAGGACTGTACCATCTCCCCGAATTCTGCAATAAAAGGAGAAGTAGCAGTTGGAAGATTTTGGCTGGATTTCTCTACCATTCTTCAACTAGATGAGTTGACGTTGAACTAAGATATGTACTGTATATAGAATAGTAGATATATAATCAATCTGTCTGTCTATCTATCTATCTATCTATTTATCTGCATTCTTTTTTGTGTAGTCTTGTGTTTTGTTTTTCTATTATTTTGGGAGTTTGTATTTTAACATTTGCAATAAAATAAAAAATTGATTATAAAAAAATAAATAAAAAGAGAGACTCTTGTTGACTTTGCTAGACTTTTTCATTGACTGTTGTTGGAAATGGGTTCCTGAGGAACCTTTTCTTCACCAAGGGCAGAATTTGAATTTGAATTCTCTGTTCCTTTTTCTTCTCACTGCTTCCTGCATAATAAACCTTCTCTGTTGAAAGTGATGGACAAAACTAAGGGACTCCCAGGGAACAGGAGAACAACATCTCAGGTGACTCTAGAAGACCTCTTTCCACAGCTTAGCTTGCTATCAGTAATAGGTCATCTTCTCAAACCATTTGCTTGGTTCACATTTTGGCTAGGAGCTCCTCCATAGATGGTGCCTGGAGCAAGGATCCCATTCCTCCCTCAAAAAGACCCATCTATTGATTGCATTTCTATCTTCAGGAGGGACCGCATGACAGAACAAATCCAAGTCAACTAACTCCTACCTTCAGCCCCAACTTTCCCATCTCCATCATGATCTCCTGCCGTTAGAAATTTTTCAATTTCTGTCGCTGTTAAGAAGCGAGCCTCCGGTTCAAACCTCTTGAGGAAGTATCTAGAGAGAGGAGAAGAAAAGCAATGTCATGTGATTGTGGCGATAGTCTTTTGAGCCGAGCTGATAAATTAGGGACGCCAGACAAAACTCTAAGCCAGTGTTTCTCAACCTTGCCAACTTTAAGCTGTGTGGACTTCAATTTCCCAGAATTCCAAGCTGGCTGGGGGAATTCTGGGAGTTGAAGTCCACACAGCTTCAAGTTGCCAAAGTTGAGAAATATTGCCCTAGGACAGGGGTCTGCAACCTTAAACACTCAAAAGAGCCATTTGGACCCGTTTCCCACAGAAAAGAAAACACCGGGAGCCACAAAACCCTTCCCGTGCCTGACTATTTCTTGAGCGACCGCAAAACTAGCATATGTAGTTGAATTAAATGTTCTGTTTTCTTCTGAAACTTTTCTTGGATTTATCCATGGTTGGCCTACCGGGAGTTGAAAAGCTCAATAAACCGTGTGCCGGCGGGTGTCACACATTGGCGGTTGTGACGCATATTTTGAGTGACAAGGAGCCGCAGCAGAGGGGGTGAAAGAGCCACATGCGGCTCCAGAGCTGCAGATTGCTGACCCCTGCCCTGGGGGTCATTTGGCATTTTGTCTTTTTTATTTGGCTTTCCACTAAGTTTTTTAACAATTTCTTATTTTGAATCTCTTCATGTATGATGAGAGACGTTAGTATATTAGTACGTTAATGAGTACTTTAACTTCAGCCGTAATAACACAATAGATTCAAACTCAATTCGCTCTAATCTTGATGGTAGGAAATATGACTTCTGCAATAGAGTAGTAATTGTCTGGAACACTCTACCTGATCCTGTTGTTAGTCTCGCTAACCCCCATACCTTTTACCTTAAACTGTCTACTGTGGACCTTTCACATTTCTTAAGAGGTCCCTAAGGGGGCGTACATAAGTGCCCCAGCGTGCCTATCATCCAGTGGCGGGTTGCCCCTGGTTCAGACCGGTTCTATAGAACTGGTAGTAAAACCGGCGGGAAGCTCCGCCCACCAACCCCGATGTCATCAGGACGGTTATGCGCATGCACAGAAATGCACATGCACACCCGCGAGTGAAGTGAGAATGCGCGCGCAGCCCCATTGCAAACCGGCATTAAAGGTAAGTAGAACCCACCCCTGCTACCGTCCCTGTCCTACTGTTTCCATTTATATGTACTCATTTTATGTGTTTATGGCTATGTTTTGCTTATTTATTTAAGTCCACAAGTCTTAAAGCTGCCAGGTTTGAGGACTCCCAGTCTTTACTGTTACTTGTTTCCTTGCACTTGTTGATAGATAGATAGATAGATAAATAAAATAAAATAAAATAAAATAAAATAAAATAAAATAAAATAAAATAAAATAAAATAAAATAATAAAATAAAATAAAATAAAATAAAATAAAATAAAATAAAATAAAATATAAACAAACTAAACTGGTGGTGCAGTGGACTAAACTACTGTTAAAGTAGTATTTAGCTGCCAGCTGCCTGCAATTACTGCGAGTTCAATTCTCACCAGGCTCGAGGTTGACTCAGCCTTCCATCCTTCCGAGGTAGGTAAAACGAGGACCCGGTTTGTGGGGGCAATAATCTGACTTTGTATAAAATAGAACACCGCTGGGGGGGGGGGCAAAAGCCCTACTAAGCAGGTATATACAAAAGTATGAAGGCTATTGCTTAAAAGCATTGTAAGCCGCCCTGAGTCTTCAGAGAAGGGCGGCATATAAATCAAACTAATAAATAAACTAAACTAAACTAAACTAAACTAAACTAAACTAAACTAAACTAAACTAAACTAAACTAAACAAATAAAATAAAATAAAATAAAATAAAATAAAATAAAATAAAATAAAATAAAATAAAATGTGAGTGGAGCCAGGAGTTCAAGAAATATTCTTACATGCATGAAAAGGTTTTTAAATTCAAAGATGTTTGCCTTTTACATCTTCCAACTGTGTAGATCAGGAGTCTCCAATCTTGGCAATTTTAAGACTTGTGGACTTCAATTCTTAGCTGAGGAATTGTGGGAGTTGAAGTCCACAAGTCTTAAAGATGCCAAGATTGGAGACTCCTGGTGTAGATGCAATTTTAAATGAGAGACCTGCAGTACCATTTCAGACAAGCCTGTCAGGAAGGAAAGTCCACAGACTTTACTTGGGCTCCCCCCCCCCCACCCCCAAAGTAAAAACAACCAGGATTCTACCTATAGTACTCAGAATATATTTAAAGAAAGAGAGAAGAAAATTATGGAGCTTCCTTACTTTATCTCGTCTTCTTCGATATATCCATTTTGATCGCGGTCTAAGATTTGGAAGATGCCCTTGATTTGACTGCTGCTCTTTTTACACATCCCAGTAAGCTGGAAGAACTTTCTGTGGTTGAAACTATCTGGAGCTAGGAAGAAGAAGAAGAAGAAGAAGAAGAAGAAGAAGAAGAAGAAGAAAAGAAGAAGAAGAAGAAGAAGAAGAAGAAGAGGAAGAGGAAGAGGAAGAGGAAGAGGAAGAGGAGAGAGAAGAGGGGAAGAGGAAGAAGAAGAAGAAGAAGAAGAAGAAGAAGAAGAAGAAGAAGAAGAAGAAGAAGAAGAAGAAGAAGAAGAAGAAATAAGACCATGGTGAGGTAGAACTTTGGAGAAAGGAAGATAAACTTCTCCCCTTCCTCCTCCTTTCCGTCATCCTGCTCTTATATCTAGAAACGACTAGCACATATGTGCGAGGGGAACCTTTACCTTTACCTTTAATAATTATTTGGTTTCCAGACTCGTTCTGAGTCCAGATGCTGGAAATTCAGCTCTGTTTGTAAATTTCTCAATCCAAGACTCAGAAAAACAGTCTTAGGCTGCATCTGAGCTTTTGGTCAGATCTAATAAAGCAACTCTTAATTTATTTACCCCAATGTCATCTTACCTTGACAATCTTGGAGTGCGGCAGCAATATCCGAAGCACTAAGGAAGTCACTGATGCTCATCTTGGATTCTGCCAAAGGCAGGTATAGCAAAGCAGTATTATAAGGAAAGAAAAAGCACTATTTTCACTCAAGCAGTATAAGAGAAATAAGAAGAAGAAAAAGAAGAAACAGCCTCTTAAAAATTGCTTTACAAACGTCTACATAACCAGTATAATAATCAGTATAATCATTCATCAATCACTTTTGTTTTTATCCATGATATTGAAATAGACTTCCTTCCTTCCTTCCTTCCTTCCTTCCTTGGTTCTTTGAATACATATAGCTAGATGTTCTCCCTTCCTAGGTTCTTCAATAAATATAGCTATATTCCTTCCTTCCTTCCTTCCTTCCTTCCTTCCTTCCTTCCTTCCTTCCTTCCTTCCTTCCTTCTTTCCTTCTTTCCTTGGTTCTTTGAATATATATAGCTAGATATATATTCTGTTCTCCCTTCCTAGGTTCTCCCTTCTGTTCTCCCTTCCTAGGTTCTCCCTTCCTAGGTTCTTCAATAAATATAGCTAGATTCCTTCCTTCCTTCCTTCCTTCCTTCCTTCCTTCCTTCCTTCCTTCCTTCCTTCCTTCCTTCCCTCCCTCCCTCCCTCCCTCCCTCCCTCCTTCCTTCCTTCCTTCCTTCCTTCCTCTCTCCAAGTATCAGATTAAGTACCATAGTTTTTCCAGCTTTGTAGTTCATCCAAGTCAGAACAATTTAATCACAATTAAGAGTGGAGGCACTTTTGTCAAATGCTTCGTTTTGTACGTGTCTCCTTTACATGATTCCTCGAAGGCAAATTACAAACTCCATTTCACAGTCTCTACTTTCTACTTACTTTCCCCTGTACAGGATTCGCAGAGCAGGAATGACAGAGAACCCAAAGAGAAAATAATTTTCTAGCAAGGCGTCTCCTTTGGCCAACGGCGCCCTATCTGATTTATATAAGATACAGTGGTCGACAATAGCTACTTGGGTTACCTTTTCGAGGATCAGGTGCACTATTTGAGACTGCGCTCAGGTGTCGCGTTTAACTAATGAACTGGGTTTTGTCTTCCCCACTGTCTATTTATACCCAAGTGTCAGGATTACAAGTAACACCCCCAACGAAAGAAGACTCCGAGGCTTGAAGTTCCTCAAAGTTACATTTTATTAGAGATGTCATATTGGTACATCTGGGAAACCCGGAATCTGAACGTTTCCAGCTTTTCCTCACCCAAAGAAAAGTTCAAAGAAAAGACCACCACCTACATGTCCATCACATGGTCCAATCAATGCACCATCCCAACTGGAGATGCCTCTTGTTGCATCTTCAGGCCTGCCACATTTACTACCGTGGGAAACTGGGAGGAGGGGGATTGTATGGAGACAGGGTGATATATAATCATAATAAGATTCTTTTCTCAGAAAGTCAAGGACATCTTGTCCTGTACCTGGAGGGTTTGGCCTGGCAGGCATCTCCAGTTGGCATGGAGTTTGGATTGGACCATTTGCTGGCCATGAGAGTGTTGGGCAGGGACTTGAACTTTCCTTTGGGTGGGGGAAAACCTGGAGGCTTTCAGATTCTGGTTTTCCCAGTTGTGCCAATATGACATCTCTAATATTTTAAATTGTTCGAGTTTTCTTTCGTTGGGGGTGTTACTTGGTACCCTAGCAATGCCTCCCAGTCCCAATCCTCTAGGTGCAGATGTCTTGACTCCCTAAGAAAGAATATTATTATGGCTATATATTTTATTTATTTATTTATTTATTTATTATATTTCTATACCGCCTTTCTCCCGTAGGACTCAAGGCGGTGTACAGTCAAGAAAAATATAGACACACAAACATCATAAAATTGCTAATTAAAATTGTTACTTAGTTTGGTCAATTAAATAAAACCCAGAATTAGATAACATTTAAAAAATCATTTGCATGTTTGTATGTTTAGCCCTGCCTGTTGGAACATCAGGGTCTTGAGGGCACGGCGGAAAGCACGGAGATCAGGGATATTCCGTATCTCCGGGGGCAGTTCATTCCAAAGGGTTGGAGCCCCCACAGAGAAGGCCCTCCCCCTGGGAGTCGCCAGTCGGCATAATTGGACTGACGGTACCCTGAGTAGTCCCTCCCTGTGAGAACGAACTGGTCGTATATATATCACCCTTGCTCCATGCAATCCCCGCTCCCAGTTTCCCACAGCAGTAAATGTGTCGGGCCTAAAGGTCCAAGATAAAAGTTGGCTTTGAGGCCTGACACCAAGGAGAATAGGATGGGGAGAGGTCTAGAGACTCCCACATCGAATAACACAGAAAGAAAATGAGAATGGATGACAGGCCAACATTTGTGGTTATGCCAAGCATCAAGGCCCACTCAAGATAGATGGGTCTGGAAAGGAGAGATTAGTGATCAATGCTTTGAACAGGGAAGGATCAGAGTGGACATATCTGGGAGTGGGTGGGGGAGGAAAAATGGAAGGAAGGAAGGAAGGAAGGAAGGAAGGAAGGAAGGAAGGAAGGAAAGAAAGACAGAAAGAAAGGAAGGAATCTAACTATATTTATTGAAAAACCTAGGAAGGGGAAACAGAAGGTTGACATCTAGCTATATGTATTCAAAGGAGGAAGGAAGGAAGGAAGGAAGAAAAAAAGGAATCTAGCTATATTTATTGAAGAACCTAGGAGGTTGACATCTAGCTATATGTATTCAAAGGCCGAAGGAAGGAAGGAAGGAAGAAAGGAAGGAAGGAAGGAAGGAATCTAGCTATTTTTATTGAAGAATCTAGGAAGGGAGAAGAGAAGGTTGACATCTAGCTATATGTATTCAAAGAACCAAGGAAGAAAGAAAAGAAGGGAGGGAGGGAAGGAGGGAGGGAGGGAGGGAGGGAGGGAGGGAGGAAGGAAGGAAGGAAGGAAGGAAGGAATCTAGCTATTTTTATTGAAGAACCTAGGAAGGGAGAACAGAAGATTGACATCTAGCTATATGTATTCAAAGGAGGAAGGAAGGAAGGAAGGAAGGAAGGAAGGAAGGAAGGAAGGAAGGAAGGAGGAAGGAAGGAAGGAAGGAAGGAAGGAAGGAAGGAAGGAAGGAAGGTGATTCGACATTGATAATACATAGAGGTCTTACCTGATTAACTTGGATTCTGGCGGCGAAGAAAATAGCTGTGATATTACCGTGTAGGTGTCTTTTAGCATGAGCGCATATGTTGTGCAGGAGATACTTTGGTGTTGTGGGTTTCACTGACACGTGTCCTTCCCAAAGTCCATCCAGAGATAATGAGGAAGGACAAACACCCCCCACCCCACCCCCAAGGATAGCTGTAGAGATATGATGCCCTCCTGGACACGCTTATCTTATCTTAACAGGCACGCAAGACCTCCAAACCTAGATAATTTTTTCTTCAGAACCATGTTGGTGTCTCAGCCATGCCTGGTGCTACCAGGAGGGCTTATGTGGTGTCCCTTTGCAATGCATCTAGCTTGGTTCGATGATGTCGAGGGCTCCTCCTGAGCTTGGTGGTTTTCTTGCAGATGTTTCATTAACCCAAACTAGGTAACATCATCACAAGCACTGATGATGTTAGTTTCGGTAATGAAATGTCTACAAGGAAACAACCAAGCTCAGAGAGCATCAAGGACCACACAGGTCTCCTTCTCCTTCTCCTTCTCCTTCTCCTTCTCCTTCTCCTTCTCCTTCTCCTTCTCCTTCTCCTTCTCCTTCTCCTTCTCCTTCTCCTGCTCCTGCTCCTGCTCCTGCTCCTGCTTCTCCTTCTCCTTCTCCTTCTCCTGCTCCTGCTCCTGCTCCTGCTCCTGCTTCTCCTTCTCCTTCTCCTTCTGCTTCTCCTTCTGCTTCTCCTTCTCCTTCTCCTTCTCCTTCACCTTCTCCTTCTCCTTCTGCTTCTGCTTCTCCTTCTCCTTCTCCTTCTCCTTCTCCTTCTCCTTCTCCTTCTCCTTCTCCTTCTCCTTCTCCTTCTGCTTCTGCTTCTGCTTCTGCTTCTGCTTCTCATTCTCCTTCCCTATCTCCTCCTCCTCCCCCACTTCCCCCTCCTCCTCCCCTTCTCCACTCCACCAACCCCACTCCATTCTAGCACTGATTATATTACGTAGTTGGGTCACGAAACGTCTGCAAGAAAACCCCCAAGCTCAGAGAGCACCAAGGACCCCATACTTCAATTCTGAGCTACACATATTCTCCTTTATCGGTATCAATGACGTTGGCTGGTGAATTGTCTTTTTCTGATTTATCTCTCGACATCTCCGTAGGAATGCTTGTCTTATCAATGTTGAGGTAGATTTTTACTCACGAGGGGCCAGAAAACCTTCAAAGCAGAGATGCAGAAATCAGGGACTTCCAGCTGTGAAATAACTTTTTGCCCAATCTTGTCCTTCAGCAATGACTTGGAAAGAATGAAATGGTTCAAAAGAACTAACTAGTAAGGAGCCCAGAAAATCAAGTAAAGTAAATGAAATGAATCTGTTTGGTCTCATGGTTAAGGTACCAGGCTAGAAAGCAGGGAGACAATGAGTTCTAGTCCCACTTTAGGCATGAAAGCTGGCTGGATGAGTTTGGGCCTATCACCAGGAGAAAATGAGTTCTAGTCCTTCCTTAATCACGAAAGCTGGCTGGCTGACTTTGGACAAATTACTAGGAGACGGTGAGTTCTAGTCCCACCTTAGGCATGAAAGCTGGCTGGATGAGTTTTGGGCCAATCGTCAGGAGGCAGTGAGTTCTAGTCCTTCCTTAATCACAAAAGCTGGCTGGTTGACTTTGGGCCAATCACTAGGAGACGGTGAGTTCTAGTCCCATCTTAGGCATGAAAGCTAGCTGGGTGACTTTGGGCCAATCACCAGGAGGCGGTGAGTTCTAGTCCTTCTTTAATCACAAAAGTTGGCTAGCTGACTTTGGACCAACCATTAGGAGACGGTGAGTTCTAGTCCTGCCTTAAGCATGAAAGCTGGGTGGATGACTATGGGCCAATCACCAGGAGGCAGTGAGTTCTAGTCCTTCCTTAATCACGAAAGCTGGCTGGCTGACTTTGGACCAACCACTAGGAGACGGTGAGTTCTAGTCCCACTTTAGGCATGAAAACCAGCTGGGTGGGCCAGTCATTCTCTCTCAGCCCAACCCACCTCACAGGATTAGGAGGTGTGTTGAATATGTTCGCTACCTTGAATTGTTTGTAAAAACAATAATGGCAGAATATAAACAAACAAACAAACAAACAAACAAACAAAGAGAAGATTGGATGAAATCTCATCCCAGAGTTCCGGATGATGCTAATCCTATCCGAAGGGTTGGTCTCCAAAGTGAAACAGAATTGCATTTCAGACCGAAGGAGATCCTTCCGTGCAGGTGACGATCTATAGTTACTGGTGCTTCTTTATTCATTGATGACAGCTTTCATCTCAAGCATTGCTTTCTGCCTCCCTTAATTAGAATAATGACATCATTGGGGGTCAGCCACACTAATGAGAGGGCAGTTTTATCATCTCCCCCAACCCATTGCTGGCCAAAATGGAGCCTCCGTGGGCCTCCCCCAGCTCATTGCTGGCCGGCAGACCGACTTCCTACTAAGGCATCTGAATTGGTTTCCTGTTTTGAAATATTAAAAGAAACCAATACTAGCGAATAATACACATTTCCTTGGGACGATTCTCTTCCAAGATGGCGCCATCAGCATGACGGTATGAGACCTCCTTTGTAGGAAAATGTCCCAAATTAGAGACATTTTTTTGGGGTAACATTTATCATTCCGGCTGCTTGGGGGAGATTAAGATTCTGCTCGATCCGCAATTGGAACCCAAATTGCTCTAGCTGCTGTTCGATATTCTCCACCTGTGGATTTTCAAAACAGATTATCTAGAATGGTCCCCATGGCAACTCCGTAACCGTATCTCACGGCTGGGGCCGTCGGTGATGTAATCAGGGAGAGCCATCCTTAAATTGTTGAATTATTTAGGTTTTCCTCCTTTCGCTCAACCACTAAGATGGCCCTAAAGATTAAGGGAGGATTAACCATCTTAGAAAAACAGCTCTTACGGATGGCTGAAAGAAGACGCAAGTATCCAGCAGTGCACAATTGATTGACCCACTCAACACTCTGTTGGCCACTGGCTGAAAATAATCGTCACTGCATGTGGAGAACTGAGGTTCTGGTAGCATTGAAAGGAAGACTTGCTTAGAACAGCAGGACAGGCAAAAAATAGTCCTTGGTTACGGGATATGTCTTTAACTCTTGGCCCCATTAGAGGCACGGAGGAGAGGACAGTGTTGGGGGAAAAAAGTAGATGCCTTCTTGAAGAACAGAGTCAACCACAGGCCCAGCCCAGCCTTGACGATCGAAAGAACTTATTTGCCAAATACGAAAGACAGAGAACTCAAAAGTGTGTTTACGGTCTAACTGTTTTTATCGTTGGGAAAATCTTAAGATACCCAATAGCGGAAGTAAATGAAAAGTGCAGGGGTGAAATCCAGCAAGTTCTGCCAGGTTCTGAAGAACCGGTAGCGGAAATTTTGAGTAGTTCGGAGAACTGGCTGGCCCCAGAGTGGAGTGGGAATGGAGATTTTGCAATATCTTTCCCCTGGAGTGGGGTGGGAATGGAGATTTTGCAGTATCCTTCTCCTGCCACACCTACCAAGCCACACCACGCCCACCAAGCCACGTTCACAGAATCAGTAGTAAAAAAAAAATTGGATTTCACCACTGGAAGAGTGTGTATTTTCCATCTAACAGATCATGCAGAATGCAAATGTCCATTGTAATGTTCATCATCTCCCTGTCCCATCTGGATTAGGTTTTTTTATAAAAAAAATATTTTAATAAAGCCGTTTGCAATGGGAAGTTGGTGTGTTACAAGGTGAACCTTCAATTTCTAGCGTTCCTCACTGTTTCCAAGAATGCTTCATAGACACCACTTAAGTATTTCTAGCAATTGAAGCTGCTGGATAGCTACAGGGCAACAGCAATAGCATTTGGATTTATATACCGCTTCACGGTGCTTGACAGACCTCTCTAAGCGGTTTACAGAGTCAGTCTATTTGCCCCCAACAATCTGGGTCCTCATTTTAACAACCTCGGAAAGATGGAAGGCTGAGTCAACGGCAATAGCACTTAGACTTATATATCGCTTCACAGTGCATTTACAGCCCTCTCTAAGAGGTTTACGGAATCAGCATTTTTGCCCCTAACAATCTGGGTTCTCATTTTACCGACCTCGGAAGCATGGAAGGCTGAGTCAACCTTGACCTGGTCAGGATCGAACTCATGGCAGTAGGCAGAGTTAGCCTGCAATACTGCATTCTAACCACTGCGCCACCATGGCCCTTCAATGAGTTTCATTTGGAGATGACCCACTCAGAAGAGTCTGAGTCTGAGAACTAGAAGGTGATTACCCAACATTGCTAGCTTGTAGGGGCAACTGAGCTGGTGTTTGAACCCAACCATCAAATCCGATGCTTAAAGATCAAATGCCAAAAGCTATGCGCGCCATCAATATCTATTGTCGTATCGATGTTTTCTTGTTTATTCTATTGTTCCACCACTTGATGTTTACGCTTCTTTTCATTTCTCCGTTTTTATCGCTGTAAGCCGCCTAGAATAGCCAGCAAATAAATTGAACCAATGACAAATAATCATTTTGCTACAGGAGCGGTACCCTAGATCGTGTGGTTTTCCATATTTTTTTTTTTTTTTTTTAAAGGAGAAGGGAACAGAAGCAAAATAGATGTGGGAAGCTCCCACATTTATTTTGCTTTTAAAAAAATAACATTATGTCATTACCATGCCTATGACTGGGACAATGCCCTGTCTTTTGAATTTTTTATTTTTATTTTTGTCCTATCTGGATTTTGAACGTCATTTTGCACGACCTCCAGAGGAGGTCCAGGGCTTAAAGTGAGACTCTGAATCATGTACATTTTCTTGCGATCAATCAGTCAAGTCAGGCCAGTACATGTTGATATGACCCCTCATTTAGGCCATGCTTTGGATACAGATGTTCTGAGCTTCCGGTTCCTTCCTGATTTACGATGGACCAGAGTTACAGATCTGGCACAGATCTCCAACCCACCCAGCAATGATACGTTTAAAACTCTGAATGAATTTTGAAGCCAGCCTCTCTCTCTCTCTCTCTCTTTCTCTTGAGTTATGGCATGTTCATTCATCATTTGTACCCTTATTTGTGCTTATTTGTACCCTATGACTGTCATTAAGCGCTGTACCTTATGGTTCTTGACGAATGTTATCTATTCTTTTATGTATGTATGGGCTCCCCTTGAAGAGCACCCGGAGGCTCCAACTGATCCAGAACGCAGAGGCACGGGTAGTGACGAGAGCAGTATGGCGCTCCCATGTAACACCGCTCCTGCGTGAGCTGCACTGGCTCCCGGTGGTCTTCCGGGTGCGCTTCAAGGTGTTGGTTACCACCTTTAAAACGCTCCATGGCATAGGGCCTAGCTATCTTCGAGACCGCCTGCTGCTACCGATGACCTCCCATCGACCCGTGCGCTCCCACAGAGAGGGCCTCCTCGGGGTGCCATCAGCCAAACAATGTAGGCTGGTGACCCCCAGGGGGAGGGCCTTCTCTGTGGGGGCACCTACCCTCTGGAATCAGTTGCCCCCAGAGATAAGGAGAATCCAAGACCTCAGTGCCTTCCGCCGTGCCCTTAAAACCCACTTTTTCCAGCAAGCCGGGCTGGCTTAAGAAGAAATTTTTAAATGTTTTAATTGGTTTGTGATTTTTAATTTTTGGGCCAAATTTATATATATTTTAACTGTTTTTTAATATTTGTATTTCATGTTCTTAATTCTGGCTGTACACCGCCCTGAGTCCTCAGGGAGAAGGGCGGTATATAAATTGGAAATAAAATAAAAAAAAATTGGAAATAAATGTACACTGAGAGTGTATGCACCAAGAAAAATTCCTTGTGCGTCCAATCACACTTGGCCAATAAAGAATTCTATTCTATTCTATTCTTATTTGTACCCTATGACTATCATTAAGTGTTGTACCTTATGATTCTTGATGAATGTATCTTTTCTTTATGTACACGAGAGCGTATGCACCAAAGACAAATTCCTTGTGCGTCCAATCACACTTGGCCAATAAAGAATTCTATTCTATTCTATTCTTATTTGTACCCTATGACTATCATTAAGTGTTGTACCTTATGATTCTTGATGAATGTATCTTTTCTTTTATGTACACACCGAGAGCGTATGCACCAAAGACAAATTCCTTGTGCGTCCAATCACACTTGGCCAATAAAGAATTCTATTCTATTCTATTCTTATTTGTACCCTATGACTATCATTAAGTGTTGTACCTTATGATTCTTGATGAACGTATCTTTTCTTTTATGTACACCGAGAGCGTATGCACCAAAGACAAATTCTTGTGTGTCCAATCACACTTGGCCAATAAAAAATTCTATCTATTCTATTCTTATTTGTACTCTATGACTATCATTAAGTGTTGTACCTTATGATTCTTGATGAATGTATCTTCTCTTTTTATGTACACTGAGAGCCTATGCACCAAAGACAAATTCCTTGTGCGTCCAATCACACTTGGCCAATAAAGAATTCTATTCTATTCTATTCTTATTTGTACCCTATGACTATCATTAAGTGTTGTACCTTATGATTCTTGATGAATGTATCTTTTCTTTTATGTACACCGAGAGCATATGCACCAAAGACAAATTCCTTGTGTGTCCAATCACACTTGGCCAATAAAAAATTCTATTCTATTCTATCATTTGAACCAGCCTTTTTCAGTCTCGACAACTTTTGCGTGGACTCCCAATTCCCACGGTTTCCCAAGCCGGCATGCTGGCCTGGGAAATTCGAGGAGTTGAAGTCCTCACCATCTTAAAAAGTTGCCGAAGTTGGGAATGATGGATTGAAACCAAGCAAGGACAGGTTATGTCACCATAGCAATTGCATCCGGCAAAGAAACAGGCTCAAAAAAAAATCTGTGAATGATGAAGTCACTTTATATGGATGAACGGACAATTCCATGGGTATGACTGGTATAAGGGGGTTTGTGAACCTGGTTAGGTAAGGCAAAGACCAGTTTAAACCTTCTCAATTTTAACTGTTTTTCCAAAATCATGTCATATACTTGGATGGGAAGAAAGGCTTGGCAAACTCTTGATGCCATTTCTTAGAAAGCTCACCTCACCGAGTCGTCTTAATAGACCCTACCGACAAAAGGAAATATCCAATTTCTTTTCCTTTGGGCTCCGACTTTGCCCGGCTTTTGATGTAGAGAGCCCTTTTAATTATGAATTTTACAACAATAGACAATAATAAAGGTCGAACAGTGCATTGGGGGAGTTAACATAGATCCCAAATTGTAAGAAACAACTTGCTGGCCACTGTCAATGCTGTTTCGCTGTATAAAATGTATAAATAAATAGTTGACTTGCAATAAGAAAGGATGTTGTACAATACAATTGGCTTGGTCTTCCCTTGAATTGCTTTAACCCTTTGTAACCAGGACTAAAAACTCTGGAAAAGAAAAGAAAAAGGGAAAAGGAGAGGGACGGCGAATAGGCAGGAAAGGAAAGGAAAGGAAAGGAAAGGAAAGGAAAGGAAAGGAAAGGAAAGGAGATATATTACTTTGAATCTTGTTTTCTCAAGTCCATAAATAATGGGTTCTTAGATTAGATTAGTTCCTTAGTTTCTCATTGTTCCTATCATCCATCTCCTCCCACTTATGACTGTATGACTGTAACCTTGTTGCTGGTATCCTTAAGATTTATATTGACTGCTTCCTAATATGATTTGATTGTTTATTTGTTCCCTATGACTATCATTAAGTGTTGTACCTTATGATTCTTAACAAATGTATCTTTTCTTCTATGTACACGGAGAGCGTACGGACCAAAGACAAATTCCTTGTGTGTCCAATCACACTTGGTCAATAAAGAATTCTATTCTGTTCTATTCTATTCTATTCTATTCTATTCTATTCTATTCTATTCTATTCTATTCTATTCTATTCTATTCTATTCTATTCTATTCTATTCCTATTCCTATTCCTATTCCTATTCCTATTCCTATTATCTTGGATAGCAGATGCTAAAGAAAACAGAGCTTCTATCCATTTCAAGTCACTGACTTGTTTTATTTATTTATGTATATTAATTTTTTGTATAGCCTTAGGAATTAATTCCGGGCTCCGTATCAAGACGTAACGCTTACCTCCCCATACATCCTTGTGGCAACCACCCTTTCCCTTCCACCAACTGTCTCTGAGTCCTGTTTCCCCACCCCACTATAATTTATAAATTTTAAATAGCCTAATTTTAATATTTTAATTATTTATGGCCCATCATGCTGGACATCAAAGAGGGAGATCGATGAAGTTTTACTTACCGTCCACGCCAATTTTGCCATCTCCATCGGTGTCACCTGCTTTCAGAAACTCTAAAGTCTCCTTATCAGTCAATGCTCTGGCTTTCCCATCAAAATTCTGCAGGAAATTCCTAATGAACAGATAATAGCAATAGCGCTTAGACTTATATACCGCTTCACAGTGCTTTTACAGCCCTCTCTAAGCGGTTTACAGAGTCAGCCTCTTGCCCCCAACAATCTGGGTCCTCATTTTACCGACCTCAGAAGGATGGAAGGCTGAGTCAACCTTGAGCCGGTCAGGATTGAACTCCTGGCAATGGGCAGTCAGCCTGCAGTTCTTCATTCTAACCACTGCGCCACCACAGCTAATCAGCAGTAGCTCTTAGACTTATATATCGCTTCATAGTGCTTTTACAGCCTTCTGTAAGCAGTTTACAGAGTCAGCCTCTTGCCCCCAACAATCTGGGTCCTCATTTTATCGACCTCGGAAGGATGGAAGGCTGAGTCATAATTAGATCTGGGCATTTTTTTTTGTTAGAAAAGAGACATAAATGCTGGTGTCCGGTAAAGAAATAATGTAAACCACAATTGTGTGACTGCAGGGTGCTGCAAACAGTTATAAATGTGGGCTAGTTTGTGATCATATGACCACAAAGGGGGATGTGACAACTTCTGGATTGTAAGTCTCTTTTGGGGTGTCCGTCATAATGTCCATCACTCAGCGGCCGGTCGTTAAGAGAGGATGGGCTGTACAAAGGATTGATTATGCGTTTGTATTTGGAAATGGCCACTTGGGACCTTCATCGGGGATCAAGGGATGTTTCTTAAGTTTGACTCACCTCAGTTCCCCTTCCTCAATGTATCCACTCTTGTCTTGATCAATAACTCCGAATACTTTTGTTAGCTGATCCTTGGATTTGCATTGCAATCCGGATTTGGCGAAGAATGTCTTGCAGCTGAAGGAATCGGCAGCTGTGGAAAAGGAAACAAAGCCAGGAAGAGACAATATCAGGAGATGAAGAGAGAAGAGAGAATAACAGAGTTGGAAAGGACAGCTTGGAGGTCTTCTACCTAGATCAATCCCCTGTTTGAGCAGGAGATCCTAGATCAGGGGTCTCCAACCTTGGCAACTTTAAGACTTGTGAACTTCAATGCTGGTTGAGGAATTCTGGCAGTTGAAGTCCACAAGTCTTAAAAGTTGCCAAGGTTGGAGACCCCTGTCCTAGATCATTCTGGACAAATGGTTGTCCAGCCTCTTTAAGAAAACCTCACAACTTCTGAAGGCAAGTCAGTCCGCTGGTTAATTGTCCTCACTCCTTAGTTCTAGGTTGCTTCTCTCCTTGATGAGTTTTCCACCCATTGCTTCTTGTCTTGCCTTCCGGTGGTTTGGGAAATAAGTTGACCCAGAATAATAGAATAACAGAATAATAAACTTGGAAGGGACCTTGATCGTGTGAGTTTTCTGTGCTGGTTGTAAGTGTAAAGGCTGATCATAAATCTACTTTTCTTGTAACTCTGAGCAGTCGCTAAACGAATAGTTGTACGTTGAGCAAATCCAGCATCACTTTTTGCCCTTCCAATCATGTCAGTTGGGGTGAAGTAGACATTTGAGGCACTGACCTTAATTGACTTTACTCTTGGAGACCAAAAAAGTTTAGGGACAGATTAAATATCAGGCAACCAAAAAAAGCAGAGTAAATAGGAGCTGACTTTAAATCTAGGTGTGTCATGAACTTCTTGGACGTTGGTTGCTTGGCCAGTTCTGACTCAAATTCTCTCCAGCTATGTTCTGGCATCAATCCCGGGGGTGCAGGTGGGTTTTAAGCAGCTGGAATGTCCTGTTTCAGATCAAACATTCCTTATTTTTCAAAAGTCAGATGGACGAGTTTAATGAATGACATGAGGCAGACAAGATTTCCTGCAGAATTTTGTAGGGATTTAGAATTTGTCTGTCTCTGCTCGATCTTTTTCTAATGGGAATTGGGCCATGAACATCTTCCGTCGTATTCCCAAATAAGGGTGGCATTGTATTTTCCTTCCTTCCTTCCTTCCTTCCTTCCTTCCTTCCTTCCTTCCTTC